TTTAGATACAAAATATGACAGTCATTGTATAATAAATCATATAAATTTAATATTTATAAACCTAGAAAATACTAATTTTTAAATTTTTAAATTACTTATATAGAAATGTATCAATTTTAAATTGATAAAGAGTTCCAAAAATATTGAGAATTTTTTAAGTTAACAACATGGATGTAAGATAATAGTAAGTGAACTTTAATTTTTTTCTATAATAATATAATTTATATGATTTTTAGACTATGAGATCATAATAAAATCCTATTTAAAATTAGAGAAAAGGGAAATTTGGATGCTTACATTAAGTAGACGTCATCACCTGCTAGAATAGTGTTTAAGATGAAAAAAAAGTTGTATGACAATTGTTATGAAAACGATTTCAGAATCTTTAATCAATGAAATTGAAATTGATAAGCATAAAATAGAGTGTAATAGACTAAAGAAGAATTTTTAACCTTAAATTTAAGTAATACTATTATTAACTTAAAGCTTAAATGAGTTTAAATAAGTAAAATAAAGTTTCGATGTTGTAATGGTGATTGCTAGAATTTTGTATGTTTGGAAGGTTTATGATAGGTATCTGTAGCCTTGAAGGCTTTCTTCGGATGTGTAAAGTATGGGCACTCTCTACATTACATGTGAAGGCCAAAGGGAGAGGAACAATGTCAGTAAAGTGACTCTAGTGATTTTCACTTGACAAGTAGAAGTTTGATGAAAATAGTGTTATGCTGGTTGTCATCTTGAAGGAGTTGAGATTGATGGCGGTGAAGCATGTCTCAAAGAGCTTTTTCCTCAAGTTTGTGCAGTGAGAGCATGTTCTTATCATAAATGAAATACTTTGAAGAAATCAAGTCTTTAGTAGATCACTCTATTCTCAACAACAAGTCATTTGTCAAAGAACATGGAATGATTATCTTCAAAGAATTCATAATTTTCTATCCAAAATCCTTGGTGAGATGCAATAGAAGATCCTCATTTTTTATTGATGAAGATTCCATCAATGAGTGAGCAACTATGGCGGCTCTTTCTATTGACTATTTCTATGTAGAAAAATTATAGAGCAAAAACATGAAGAAAAAGAAATCTTTTGACATGGTGATCTTCAAACTTTCATCGATCATGTGGTTGGGTAAATGAAGGTAAACAATTTCTAGATATACATTTGAAATAGTAAGAACACAAATTCACTATCTTCTCTTAATGTAGGGGTATTGTCGACATTATTTATATTGATGAGATTTGTCAGTGGGATTTAGTCTCACATCAGTTGTTTCAAGGAGGTTTAGATCTATATTAGTCTATGCTATCTTATGTATTTGAATCTTTATCTCATAAATAAAATAGTCAAGACTACTTGGGAAGAAGTGTAAATAGGTGGTTTCTTTCCATGCACACACGTGTGATGAGATCATACCTTGCCCTACACACTAATTCAGCCTGGGTGACATGGAAGAGGAATGATGCATGGGTGTTGTACATGGGGTTCCTCATTGTTGGGGTAGTTGACCATTATTTATAACAAAAATAACACATAAGGCTATCAAAATGATCTAACTCTCCTTACTCTTGTTTGAAAGTCAAAAATATTTTCGAGAATGCTTGGACAATGTGTTCACAAGTGTTGACACATGTAGCCTCTAAGGAAGAAAGATAGCAACCCCCTAGTTTAACCCTTACATATGGGCCTGTAAATATGTAGTGTTTTTTTTTTTAAATGAAAATTTTGATTTAATGCTAGAAGTTTCACCTCACTCTAAGGTTACATGAGTGGGATTTCATTCACACAAAGGTCAAGGATGAGATGGAAGATTATAGACCTCTTTTGAAGGGAGGATGTGACAATAGTGAAAAGAGACTTCACTCCGCTCAAAATGTTTGAAGAAGGTGGTTGATTTGCATTGGTCTAGAAGAGCCATTGAGTTTATGAAATTAAAAGATTCGCTCAACAATAGTAGGGAGTATTATAGCCTTTTGTGTTGTGTGCCATGAGGTGTTCTTGTAAGACAAGAGTTTACTATAGTAAGTGATTCTAAGAAATAAATAAAATGATATAAAGTGGTGAGAAAAGAGTTGTTGGGGCACTGAGAAAGATAAAACTATACTGGAGCATGACAATAAGCCCAAATATGAACTTATCTTCCTAGTGTTGCATGCGTCTAATCCCTTTTGCCAAAATCTTACTAGTACTATTAGTTGTCGTACTTCCTCTAAGTGAATAGGAGACCTTTCACCCCATGAGGAATAACTTGCTCTCTCTTTCTAACTCTCTTCTTTTCTCTTATTCTCTCTCTCTCTCTTTCTCTTTTTTTTCTCTCTTTTTTTTTTGTTGTTTTTGTGAGAACCTCTTCTCTCACCCTCCACTAATGCCCATGATTTGGTGTACAAGGATAATTCACTTTGAAGTATCAGGCTAGTGATTATGGAAAGGGAAGTAGGTTACCTCTCTTCTTTTTTTTTTCTTTTTTTTTAGGGCCCCTTCCCTCACCCTCCACTAATTGCCTATGATTTTGTGTATAGTGGGCTAGTTATTTCAGGAAGAGAAGTAGGCTGTCTCTTTTTTTTCTTTTTTCTTGAGAAAGAGAAAGATAAAGAGGGAGAGAGAAATAGAGAAATAGAAAAATTGAGAGAGGGAGAGAGAGAGAGAGAGAGAGGAGAGAGGGTCAATCTTATCGATATAGATCTTTACCTTCCCATAGGTTTAAGCTGACTGATGGTACTAATGAGATCTTGAGAGAGGTGCTAAGGTAGCGATTCATAGTTAGTTTGGCAAGTCTGATGTGATATAGACTTATAGTTCAAAAGTTGGCAGATGCCAGCATGTGCTAGTAGTTCTATGTGTCCTCACTATCTGAGGGTGATAGATAGTACCCAGGTAGATCGCAATATGCCTTGCCATCTATCTTGTACTGACGTCGACATTGAATTACTCTAAGTGATACGCCACTACCTAAGTGTGGTAGGTAGAAACTTTCACCCAATACGTAGTGCTAGTATGCCGAGTTGCTCTAAGCGGTGTCTACCTTGAGCTTCTATAGATATATCCTACCAAGAGGTGAAAATAGATCTTAGATGGATGCATACTAAATGTGTAGCAAGCACGTCTGCACTCTAATTCCCCTCGCCTAGATGGTATGTGATGGTGCTAATCTTCTCACAACAACACATGATATCCATCTAAGTGATTTTGAGTCACTAATGAGAGCAAGTACATGCACGCAACATTTCAACTAACACTCTAGAGTTAGATTCTAGGACAATACCATGAAGGTTGCGTTCTTCACAGAAGAGCAAACCATCATGGATTGTCATAGCCTCTGCTGTTGTGTTAGTTTGAACATCGTAATAGTGGGAAAAGGCAAAGATAATACTCTTTGTATGGTCTCGTAAGGTGCCTCCGCCCATTGTAGATCTAGGGTTCCCATGTGCTGCCCTGTCCACATTAAGCTTCAGGTGCCCTATCAATAGTGGTCTCTAATAGATGATCTACATAGTGATTTGTGTACAGGTCCGTAAGGTTAGAATTCACTAAGTCTTGAGTGCCTCACAGACAGAGGCTGAGCGTGTCGCAACAGGCGACCTTAGAGGATGGGCACTCTACAACCATTATGTGACGTGCCTCATAATCTCTAAGGCACATATCAGCTATCTTGCAAAACGAGAGAGATTTCGCCCCTTCTATATCTCTCATAATATATATGTTATAGAAATACATAGGTAAGGGTTACTCCTAGAGCTTTGTGGTGAATCAAAGACTCTTCTAAATATCTCTAAAGGTGTGAAAAATGGAGGATGATGAAATATGAGTGACTAATTTCTTAAGAGTTGATTCTAACATTCTATAGTAACGACAATATGGAAAAATAAGTGATCTATAGTTTCATTTCTTAAAGTGTTGTACTAACAATGACATTTAGAACATATTTGGTGTCTAGTGATAGCCATACGGTCATCAGTAGAGAGTCATCAGTACATTAGTTTTCACATAAAGAAAGAGACTCAAGGTATGGTAGTATGATACCAAATAAGATTTTTCCAAACTTATTTTAGGAAATAGTTTTTAAAATAGTTTCAAGAAGAACTATAAGAGAAACTCTCATCAAAGGTGAGAGTCCAAATGACCTTATCATCCCTAAGGCTCAGTTCTATCAACAAAATCTCTAGTAATAAATTTAAGAGGAGTTCATGTCGCTTGATGAGCAGTTTAGTATCCTCCTCGAGAAATTAAGCGACCATAAGTTGAGGCCAAGATAGCATGAAGAAGGTAAAAGAGGTCAAAGGGGTATCTACAAGCCAAGTGTCATACCAGACATTGATAGTGCCTTATTCTACACACCACTAGATTATTTGTCTTCATTAATAAAGATAAATATATAGTGTTATTATTCAAGATAAGCTCTATGTGGTTATGAGAGCAAAGAAGTTAATAGTCATCTCTATAAACCTTTGATATTATGTGATAATAAATGGCAAACTTTGAGAGCAAAAGATAGAGAGAAACATATGCACTAATGTGCTTCAATGATATGTGCATCTTAAGACTCTTACATTACTAAAGATAGTTTGCTAGCTTTGGTCAAACTTTAACTAGAGTCCAAAACTAGTCTACTTTTTAGATACCCTAAATCAAATGTTCCATCTTCACTCAAAAGTTTGTGAAGTAATATCATCTGCCAACACCTCTCTATATAAGGATCTCTGTTCATAAAATATTAGACATACTTTACCAAACTGACACTAGTTGAGGCATAGATCCGCATCCACATCTACAGAGAGACAGTTTTGTACAATTCCAGAATCTTTTGATTGGATTTATCCCCAGTTAGGATGTGTCGTCAAAATAATGGGCTTGGACCATGCGTCAAAGGACTGAAACATAGGGAAAAGCTTCATGCCACACCATTGCATTAGAGAAAAGAGAAACCTGCGAGAAAGGGAAGAAGAGAAGAAGGAAGCAATCAGGCCTTCCATCTCACATTTCTTGTCTTCATCAATCCCAGTCTAGGTCACTTATACTCCAAGATCATGTTGTTCTCTGGGGCCAGGCCGACACAGGCCCTCAGGATGTTCTCCAGCATCGCCCTCTGCTTGGACAAGGCGTTCACCACCGGCGTCCCTGGTGGCACCTGTTTCAGCCCACAGAATCTCTCATCACTTCCATGCAACGACACCTTCAAACCCTATCTACTGGTATGTGTACCAGTGGTATGTGTACCAGTGGCGCCTTGGAGAGGTAGCTCAGAATGGATGCCACTGGGTGGAAGGAGTGGAACTTGCTCTAGAAGAACCGAAGTAAAAGCCTCAGTATCATTACCATAGATGATAAATAAATGTGTTCAGCATATGAATACAAAGGCCTACATACCTCCCCTTCAGCTTTGAGCTGGATCCTTGTGCTCAGTTCCGCCAGGAGGACCAGATCAAGTATGATGGGCGCCGCCAAGAGCGAGTCCTCGCAGGTGTTGTGGAGTATGATGGTGCTCTTCCCGCCCATGAAGATCTCAGAGGTATACTCGTCCATGGCCCTCTTGCTGTCCCCGACATATGGCACGTACTGCAAAATTCATAGAACAGCCACTCAGCCAGTCGGTCGATCACCTTGATGAATACGCTGTCATAAAAGAGGGGTCGTCCTCACCTTGATCACGATGACGTGATCGGGGTGCTCGCCGGGCTCGTAGAGGATGCCATTGCTGGAAACCATGTCGTCAACTACGTTGCTCTTGGAGATCTCCTTGGACCGGAAGGTCTGCGGAGCGGAGAGGTTCATCCCATCGTTGTTGCCGAGATGGTTGTAGCTGACGATCGACGTCGGCTGCCACGGTAGGGAGAGAGAGTCAGAGAGAGAGAGAGATCAATAATACTCTAAAGCTTTGGACATCTAGAGAAAGATGTAGAAAACTTGGGCCATCCAACACAAAACCAGTCCTGAATCAGCGGCGTAGATTGTCATGGTTTGACTTATTCTTTCCATTGAAGAGAACCCATTACGTCGACAGAAAGAGACAAGATTTGTAACCATCAGCTCAAAACCAGTGCAGTAGACCCACAAGATTTGACCCACACTCGAGTGGGTGATTTATGACTCCTGAGTTTTTCCTAAGATGTCAAAATTCTGGCCTATAGAGAATGACAAGTATTGAAAGACTTAATTGAAATCGAGCCAGGGAGTGGGGAGGGATCACCAACCTTGATCCCCGCTCCGACAAGGAAATCGACCAGGACGGACTTCATCTTGGTCTGCCCGCTCTTGAAGTCGTCCCCTCCGATGAGGCTGTTCCTCTTGATGGCCATCTCGATCAGACCTGAGAAACCACCAGCATTCACGGCTTGGACCGACCCTCATAATCCAGACACAGAGGCCACAGATTATGTGTTCTATCTAACCACAGATTCTGAAGAGACGGCTCACCGGGAACGAAGGTGTTCTGGGGACTGCCGTTGATAAAGGGGACGCCCTCCATGATGCAGGCGAGGGCGAAGAGCGTGGAGGGGGAGATCTCCGCCTCGTCCCTCTCCACCGCCGCCAGGAGGTTCTCCATGGTGTCGTTGAGGCCGACGACGACGTCGCTGTAGCGCTCCGTGTTGGCCGTCCACAGCACCACCACCTTATCAACCTTCTCCCTCTCCTTGAACTCGCTGCCATTGCCCACCCTCACTCCTCTCAGTATTGCCATAAATAAACGGCAAAACCCTAGAGTTTATTTTGAATCGGAGGAGGAGGGAGACGGAAGGAGAGATGAAGTGGGCACCTGATATCATCGATGATGCGCTGGACTTGATGCTTCTTGGGGCCTTTGATGACGTTGTTGGCCCGGGAGCCCTGGTTGGCGGCGATGAAGTCCGGGTTGTAGATGCCTGGGAGGGGCACCATGCTCTCCATGTAGGGCCGCAGTTGCTTCTGCAGGTCGATGTCCAGCACCTTGGCCCTCCCCATGGCGTCTGCCAGGTTCATGTCACTGATGTCCCACCCCCCGAACACTACTTCATCTGGGTTCACCTGTTCCACGCACATAAATCAGCACCGCTTAAGAGAGAGAGAGAGAGAGAGAGAGAGAGAGAGGGAGGGAGGGAGGGGAGACCATGGGAAGGAGGCTCTTGAAAGGTGCGTAGATCTCCTCTCCGTTGAAGGAGCCGACCCGGATGGAGGAAGACTGTGTAAGGGAGCCAAAGTAGTTGGCCCGCTGGACCTTCTCCTTGGTCACCCACGAGATCCCCCTGCAGGATTCTCTCTCTAGTCAGTATTAACTCACACGGACAAAAAGGGGGGGTGCCATGGAGAGGTGAAGGAGATGACTCACTCTCGATTCGCAATGACACCCGCCGTCAGGGTCGACCCGTTGTTCCCTCCCCATCCAACCAGCATCACTCTACGCCATTACAACGAGGTTAGAGGAAGGACAAGCAAGTAAGCGAGAGAGAGAGAGGGGGGGGGGGGAGAGAGAGAGATGCCCACCCGAGTTTGGGGACACGGGTGTCGGTCTTGAACTGATACTGCACGGCCTTTGGCTTGACGACCCACTGGTAGGAGCCGTCCCTCACCTCGTGGACGAGCTCCGTCGTCTCGTAACTGTACACTGACTCGATCTCGCCCTCCCCATACTTGACGTTCGGGCTCTCCACCCGGAACTTCTCGATAAACATCCTCTCTCTCTTCTCTCTCTAAACTGCCTACGCAGAGGAAGGAGTAGCAGGAAGAAGAAGAAGAAAGAGGCCTCGTCACTCCTCTCTTCACTCCTGCGATTCTCCTCGCCTCTGCAAGACCACACGGCGGCCCCGGGGGTCCTATTTATCGACTAAGGCGGTGAGGGAAAACCGACACGTGGCCTCTTCCCTTCCAGTTGGCACCAGCCCAAAGGCCCACCCCCGCCATGTGGAACATGAGACAACCGAGAGGTGGCGACATGTGAGTGAACCCCGGGCACATTGTGGAGATCTTAGGGCCACGTGGCCGACTGGGCCCTAAACATCGAAACGGGTGGAAGAGACGGGGCGGACGTTATCGTTTGCTCCTTTATTGAACCGGTGCACCGTGACGCCCGACCAAGATAGGAGCCTAATCGCTTCCTCTTTCATTAGGGCTGTAGAATACAAACCAATAACGTCTCTCACCTTTTTCCTTTCTTGAGGTTGACTCCAGCCCTGTGGGGCCCACCACCTAGACTTGCTCAATCTCTTAGCCTAACTCTCCGTCTCATCAAGTAAAAGCGGGCTAAAAAGAGAAAAAAAACAGACTGAGGGGTTTGGGGGGATGCTAAAGAAGTCAACTTGCTAATGGGTCAGCCGCCGAAAGTCGTTGAGATCGAGGAATATCCCTGGTGGGTGTCCTTTTAGAGTTACTGTTGACGGCATGATTTCCTGTTATTTTCTTCCCCAAAATTGGCCATTTTCCATATTTCCACAGCTTAAATCATTGAGAAATAATTGCCCACCAGCCGCCTGTTATGCCAAAAGCTTGGCTGCAATCGGTCTCGATGATTCCCTTCCAAAGCATCAATAATTCCTCGACGTCCGGAGGCTGAAATTACGGAAGAACCCAAGCCAAGAGAGAGAGTGGAGCTGCCTACGTCCATGCGTTCCAAACTTCTCTTTGGCGGCGTCCCATCGGAGTGAAAAGCTGACCCGCGCCTCGTCGCCCTCCGGCGAGCTCCGCCGTTGCCTGCCACAGATGGGTTGCCGTCGAGGGCCACACCCCTCGACCCACTTGTGCCTCCCGCCGCGGCCGCCTGCTCCTCCGGTGGGTCCCCAGACCGCCACGGCACACCCCCCGACACGGAACCTTCCCGAAAGAAACCGTTTTTCTCTCTTTCTCTCTCACAGCTGGGCCCGGGGGAAGTCTCCCGACGGTGTAGGTCCCCTCAACTCAGAGCCTGAGAACCAGGGAGAGCGTCTTCATCCATTTCAGTCCTCAGGATGATCAGCAGAGAATTCAAAATATAAAGCTTTATATATAAAAAAAATAGAGTTTTTCAAGGGTGGTAATTGATGAGGATGATGAACAATGGGCTTCGCTTCCTAGATTGGAATCAATATTCACACGTCTGAGCTCTATATTCTGGGATTTCCTTCGTTGGGTCTCTGATCTCTTCTGTTCACCCACTTGAAAACTAAGGTGTGGGCAAACCAATCCTTGGAAATAATCTTCGGAAATGAAGATTGAAGGAACAGAAAATGAGGCCCATCTCCTGTTTCGATGTGGATCTCATCACCCGGCAGACCTAGCAGATGATGAACAATTGGATACTAGAGAATGCGCTCCGAAGAGAATCTAACGAGGAAGATGATGAACAAGAAACTGGGGGGGCAAAGTTCTACGGACTAGGGCAGAAACCCTGCCGAATGAAGATTGTTTATCCCGCAGAGATGATCATGAAGGAGAGGGGAGACTGATTCTCAGCCTCTGTAAGTTGCAATGGCGATCCCTCCATAAACTCTCTCCGTGCCTGATGATCAAATTAAGCAAGGGAGGCAAAAGATTGGATACTCGAGAATGTGCTCCGAAGATTATCTAAGAAGGAAGATGATGAACAAGAAATTGGGGGGGCAAAGTTCTGCAGACTAGGGCAGAAACCCTGCTGAATGAAGATTGTTTCTCCCCTGAGATGATCATGTGTGAGAGGGAAGGGTAATTCTAAGCCTCTGCTAGTCGCGATGGTGATCCCTCCATAAACTCCCTCCGTGTTTGATGATCTTAGCCCAAAATCGAGCAGCAAGGGATGAAGAAAGAATCAAGGATTGCGTCCCCGTCCTCCTCAGACGCGAGTGCAGGAAGAATCGAAGTCGTCCGGCGCCACCCGCGCGATCCAGGTGCTGAGGCTCTTCTTGACGTCGACGTGGTTGGCGTAGGCGAGCTCGTACATGCTGCAGAGGTTGACGACGGCGGTCTCGTTCACCGCCGCCGTGGGGACGCGCTCTAGGGCTCCCTCCAGCACCTTGATGGAGTCAGAGAGATCGCGGGAGTACATCAGACAGAGAGCCTTGTTGTTGATCGCTATCACGTCCGCCGGATCCCTTTCGATGCAGGCCTCGTACTCCCGCACCGCCGCACGGTAATCCTTCGCCGCGATCAAGCTCAGCGCCCGGTTCCTTGCGAGCAGGTTCTCGTTCTGGACGCCGCCGCGATCTCTGCAGATCGTCGCCACGCGGTCGAAGGTGGCCTTGGAGCCGTCGAGGTCCCCGATCTGCATCTGGACGAACGCCAATCTCGACAGGAGCGCCGGATCGGAGGGGTTCTTGGAGAGGAGCTCCCGGATGAGCAGCAGGCACACGTCAAACTCCCGATGGGAGAAATGGTGGCGGCAGAGAGTGCCGATCACGAACGCCTCCCTCCGTCGCCACAAGTCAGATTGAGCGGCGCCGCCGCTCGCCTCCCTCTCGGCGATCCTCGCCCTGACGAGGTCGAGGAGGGCGTAGAGGCGGTCTAGGGTTTCTGCGCGATCGTCGTCGAGGCGGAGCGGGAGCTCCGCGTGGAAGTAGCGGACGGCGAAGGGGAGCATGGAGCCGGATCGGCCGGGGTAGGCGGCGGGATAGGAATCGTACCGGAGGCTGGGAGAGTCGAGATCGTAGTCGATGGATTGGAGCTCGCGATCTGCCTCCCGGTACCGGCGGAGCTTGAACAGGGCGAGGACGGCTATGGCGAGGTACACGAACTGCTGGTGAGGCGGCGCCGTCGAGAGGATGGAGAGGGATCGAGCGTGGTAGACCTTGTCGAGGACGGCGCGCCATTGGCCCCGGGCGGCGAGATCGTTGAAGGAATCAAGCTCGAAGCAGAGATCCGAGGGGGAAGTGAACAGCGCGGCGGCGGAGAGGGGATCTGCGCCGGAGAAGGAGGTAGAGGACGGCGCATCTAGGGAGAGCGATTCGACGGAGGAGGCCAGGTCTAGGGTTCCGGTCAGGTCCCCTTGGCGATCCATGGGCAGATCCGTAGCCTCTCTGTCTCTCTCTCTCCCCCCTCTCTCTCTCTCTCTCACTCTCCGAGAGTAGGGAGGACTGGGAACGGGATCTGGGCTGAGGCCAACTTGAAGCAACAATGGGCTTTTTGGTATGGATAGATAACCCGACCCCATATTTCTCCGGGGCCAAGCATAAAATCATCTCCTGAAAGGATATGGGCCGGTCCGGAATGTGTGAGAATATAAATAAAAAAACTCCCGTGCCTCGATATTATAAATAATATTGAGGGCTTTAATCAAATTTTACCCATCCATATAAATTATCTCATAGATTAACTTAAATTAAATCCTAAAATATAATGAATTTCACACCCATGAAATTCATTTTACATAAAGTCACATAAGCCTTGTTGTGATCATGTCCACCCTCCTAGTTGACTTTGTTCACATCTGTGAGAATATGAAAGGTCAAATGATAATGAGCCAAGTCAACTCATCACCTTGTGCATGCAATTTCATCCATCAGAACACCAAAAAGTCAACATTTATGAGGGATTTTTTAGTACAAATATATTGGGCTAGCACCTTGTGATCATTTTTGGAAAATGTGATTGGGTTCAACTATTACATGATTTCATCTTAAAATTTTATTTTAATTCATGCCTTAAGTAACAAAAATTGATTATAAGGTCAGTTCCTTTGAATGATAAAATAAAAAATTAATGACAATTTTCACATAAAAAATAATGAATTTTTTTTTCTATAAGTTGATTCCTAAAATATGTGTTGACTTGGAGTGCATCTAGAATTCTAATGAAGAGAATGATGATGTACATTTGATTATTTTTGTCATCTTCTCATTGAGATGCTAGATGAATGTAGAAGGCATTGCCACAAATATGGTTATAGAAAATCTCTTATAGTTTGAATTTTGTTCCATGTCATGTTGATGACATGTCATCTAGACCAACAAGAAAAACCTTTCAAATTCTCATAGAATTTCCCACAAAAAGAATCATTCAAGTTTGCAAGAATGTAGAGGGGTTAGAGGTGATTATTAGCAATTGGAGAGGTACTAAATTTTATTAAAAAAATCATTCAAGAACCTCTTACATCTTTTGTTATTTCACAACATTTAAATTAAAAAATTAATCAGAAAATAAAATGACTAAAAATTAATAAACATTACCTCCAAAAGTTTATATATCCTCTATGAGGAATCAACATACATAATTGTTAAACAACAAAGTATATGTCTGAAGACCATCGAGTCAATTAAGTCTACAAAAGGATCTATTATTATTGAAAAAAACATTATAATAGAACTCAAAATACGGTAGTGATTTGACAATCAAAACTTATTCAAAGTTCCTCAAAAAAGTTATGCTCATCAAGTGGACATTGAATCTCCATCTCAATATATAAAATTAGAACTTCATTGATGTATAATATTTAAAACAATTCTTATCTTAATTTTTTTTAATATTTAGAAAATATTGAGTGATAGTATGAGTGCTTAAGTTAGATAAATTAACTTGATATTAAAAATATTTTAAAGTAATAATTTATCACGATGGGTATCAAGTGTACTCAAATAGCATTTATACCCATATTAAACTTCTTGAAATATCATTGATTTCCCAAGGCTAATTCTTACCTTTCTAAGGTTGTAGTTTATGTAAATATTAAAACATTTCATAGAAATATACAAAGTAATAATTTCGACAAATACAATCTGCTAAATTCTGAAGTCAATATTATAAGATTCATATGTATTCTTTATTTTCTTTGTTGAATATTTTTTATTATTAGTTTGATTTTTTTATTTTATTTTTAACAAAACATTTATATCATAAAAAAATGTATGCCATTAGGCTTCAGAACATGATTATCTCTAGACGCAACCTGCCTACCACTTAGAGTTTTTTCTTCCCGAAGAGTAGTACAGAATAGCATTTAGACAGTCTTGGGTTCCTACAACTAGAATAATATACAGGCTTAAAATGTTTGTTCATCATGGAACAATAGAGATTTATTCTTGCTTATCTTGCCTTACTATGATAATGCATCCTTTCTTTCATTTCCTACTATTGGTTCTTTTCTGGAGAAAAAAGAAACCTTATTCCTTTGACTTGTTCTTAAAGTTATATTCAATTAACTTCAAGATCATATATAAAAAATATTTTTTTATTAATTAATTTTCTAATTAAAATCATAATTTGATGCTGTTATTAATATTTTTGGTGTTTCCAACATAAAAAAAATGATATATTTTATACTCTAACACTACTTACACTCACTAATGAGAAGGTTACTCCTAGGAGTTTGCCCCATATATTTAAAAATTATGAGAAAATTATGTCATTAATTTATAACATATTCATATTTATGGTTATAGAATGTCAACTAAATTCATAAGCACTAATTTAGCTTAACAAGGCATCTAGAACCTATTATCATGTTATAGTTAAACTAAGATAACTTGGTCAATTACAATAACTTATGTTTACATTTAAAAAATTCCCAATAAGCCCACTTCTTTGTCCTAATTTATGTTTCTAAAAAACTAGATTCATCTTCATAATTTTTAGTAAAATATTTTTAATATTTTTAGTGTCTTGCAAGTACCAAAGCAGTTCTCCACTTAATTTTATTTTCAAAAAGCAGCATAATGAATAATTTAATTTATTAACAAATGAATCCTCTTTACCTTGAATTTTAAAATTGGACTTTTTCATAAATTTATTATGAGACTAGCCTAATCTACTCCTTTGGGTATTCATTATTTAAAGTATGCTAGATTAACTATCCAAAAAGTATAACCAAAATTTTTTCTTGAATTACTTTAAGCTTCAACATACCATATAAATTAGTAAATTATCTTGACAAACCAACTAAATTGAGATTATCAAAGACTTAAACTATAAGTGCAAACCTTTCAATGTGGAAAACAATGGCCTTCATACATGTATCATGTTTCACATCAAATATTAAAAAGAGCATAATAGCAAGTGATCACCATTTTAATCTTATATTGCCCCTATTTGGGTTGTTTGATCAACATTAAAATGAAATTCATCATTAAGTCCCATCTTCAAGACGGTATTCCTTTTACTTAATAGTCAGCAGCCTTGAAGTCACTATCAATTAGCCTTCAAAGTAGAATTTCGCTACTTCATGACTTTTAAAAGCGCATCATTATTTGCTTACATTGATGGGCATTTCCATTCTAATCATTAATACTCTCTCTCTCTCTATCTCTCTCTCTATCTCTCTCTCTCACACACACACACTCCCCTCTGTTTTGTGCACTCACTCTATTATCACTTATTGGTTGAAGTAATCTTAGTATTAGGCTTGTCCAACTAACAGTAGGGGACATAAAGAGGCATAGAGACATAAATATTGCTTCCCCATCACGCTAGGGCTACTTATAACTTAATTGCTACCCACCTAGTAGAGTTTATGGTCTGAACTAATTTTTCAAATTTTGCAAAATAAATATTGCTTGACAATTATTTTATATTCTCTATATGCATAATAATATGATGGAATTCACATGCTACAATTCATCCTCTAACTTTGTAAGGACATCATTATTAGCTAACTAACTAAGTAACTTGATATAGTCTACACTGTCATAAAATTCATTCACAAATAATGTTCATTAAACTCAATTTGCAATCATATGGTACGAACTAACAAATGAACATGAATAATGGAATTAGCACACTAGGAAACCGATCCCAGAAAGCAGTCTTCAATTCATGAAGCATTGTAACTCACAAACAATAGATCTTACCTAGCCAGTGAGTAGAAGACACCCGGAATTTATTACCTCTGAAGTGTGCCGCTGATATTTTCCTTTTAGTTCATGATTATGATATGTATCGGATTCAGCGCTACATATATATCAAGAGAGAGAGGGAGAGAGAGATGTAAACATCCATCCAAAAAAGTAAAGTATTTTGGATTTCATGAACTCAAGAGTTATCACTTGCAGGAAACAGTCAATGGGCAATCGTTTCCATTTTCGAATAGATTATACGTGAATAAATTTCCCATCACGCATAAATAATCTACTGTCCATCTCCCCCTCCGTTCTCAGATTCTCTCGTGTACATGGATCGGCTGTCGGATGGTGAAAGACCCCACTGGCACTAAGGGACGGGAAATCCACTGCTCTCTGATCCCGGCGCTTTACTCACTGCCCTCTACAATGAGATAGTTATCTGGAGGGGTCCCCCCACAGTTCACGGGCTCCCCCAATGGTCCTCTCTCTCTCCCTCTCTCTCTCTCTCTCTCTCTCTCTCTCTCTCTCTCTCTCTCTCTCTTAAGAAACCTATTGAAGAGTAATGGCTAAGGGACGGATGAACGCATACTGACGACATCATGAACCATGGCTGACCCGAAGAAGAAGAGGAGGAAGAAAAGGAAGACGAAGAAGAAAAAGAAGATGGGATTGTAAAGACGATGAACGGAACGAGGAGTGAGAGGGCATGAAGGACCCCAGGTCCCTGTCAAAGCCCCCCCTCCCCGCATTAAACACTGCCCTCCGTGAACTGGTTCTCATTGTATCGGTGGCTGCCAAGCACCCACAGAAGAACCCTCATCAAATGCCCCTGCAACCCTTCTGAGAAGGGTCCCCCCCTCCCCAAGCTTAATCTCACAGGCGAAGGAGAAGGAGAGAACCACCACCCAACCCAATCTCCATGCGGGCTTTCCAGGTTTTACTCCCCACTTCACGGCCTCTCCGGGGGGTTGCTGGGCCAGAACTCGGCCTTCTTTACCTTGGAGATGCTCTCCAGGACGCTCTCAGGGGACACGTGGCCCATCACCGTCACCCTCTTCGACTCCAGGTCAACGCTGAACGACGTCACACCTGGAAGCAAACTTAGAACGATTAGGGTTACATAATCCTCTCGGTAGCCACCATGACCAGGCCTTAAATCGGCAAGCTTAGGCGATACCTTCCATCTTGGAGATGTGCTTCTTCACTTTCCCGGCGCAGCCTTGGCAATGGAGGGAGACTCTCATCACCACCACCTGGACCAGAAGAAAGATAGCGAGAGAGAGAGAGAGAGAGAGAGAGAGAGAGAGAGAGAGAGAGAGAGAGAGAGAGAGAAAGAGGGAATGCGATGGGAGATCAGCGTGGAAATATCAAGAACAAGAGGGAGGCTACTGTTCCTTGTATTCTAGCAGTGGAATGAGATGCATCACGTAAATCGGGGTGACTGTTCTTGTCACAGGGGGGGGGGGGTCTGAGAGGGTTCACGTGGTCTGCGGAGGTAAACAACAGGTCAGTGCGCAGAGTAAACAGTGAGAGCTTGGGAGCTGAAATCTACTGACCCACATCCCAAAATCTGACCGAATTGGACAAGCCATGGCGACGGAAAGGATATATAAATCTCCGGGAGCAACGGCTAGTAAAGAAGACGAACAGGGAAAAAGAGGATATAGTAGTACGTGGGTCTACGATGGACTGAACACTTAACCTGTTCATAAGCTTTCAAGGTAGAATCAAGCTGGCCGTGGGAAGAGAATACAGCAGAGAGAATGCGTGGGATTAAGAGAAGATGTTCACAGCAGAAGACCGTTTTTCATGTTTTCCTGGATCCACGTGAGGTTTGATGGCAGGAGAATGCGGATCCGGGGTGGAGATCAACACCTACTGAGAAGTTTCTGAGAGAAAACCCCCCTGGCGGGGGCAAGAGAGTGTGCTGTTGCTGGGGATCGGGTATGGATGGAGGTAGATAAAAGAAGCTGCTTTCAGAAGCAAACTGTTTTTTTCTTTCTTTGACCTTTGTTTTTGGATCAGAGCAAGTTTGATAGGAGGAGGGCATAGATCCCGGTTGGTAGTTCCACCTTCTGAGGAGCTTCTCAGAGAAAATGATATCGAAGGTGGAAGAAAGATTTGCCAGAGGATTTGGCAAGTTCGGAGGCATAAAAGAAATTGTTTACAGTAGAAAATCTGGCTTCATTTTTCTATGGTTTTGGATCAAAGCAAAGCTTGGGTTGTCTCCGAGGAAGAAAGATCACTAGGTTGGGCTTACGCCATCTAGATTGAGAAGCTTCCGTTAATGCGGATCATAGCGGTGAAGTGAACGAGAAAGAGGGGAATGACTCACCTGGAAGACCTGGTCATTGCTAGAAGGAAGTGAAGGCACCGCCGTCTTCCTCTCCCTCTTGGGCGGCGCCACCACCACCGCCGTCGTCGGCAAGGCCACCATTTCCAGCCTTCTCTCGCCGGCGTCCGACATGGGCACTATCATTTTAAGTAGCTTTTCCGCCTTCGGCGGTGGCACTGACTTTGCCGCGGTCGGCGCCGCCAGCTGGTGAAGCTTCTCCCCCTTGGCTAGCGCCACCGCCGCCGCCGCTGCTGGGCCGGCGAGCCTCGGGTGGTCCACCAGCCGGGAGTACCTGAGATCGACGATTCTGGCGTGGTCAACGAGGGTCCTGTCTGGCCTCCTCGGTACGACCACCGAGTGAGCGTCCCCAGGGATGCACACCGCCGTCGACGCGTTCGGCTGGCACATGAACCCCCGCATTCTCCCCCCCTTCATGGCCCCTCTGGGATAGAGAGAGAGAGAGAGAGAGAGAGCGATGATGAATGGGTTAGCAAGTGGAAGGAGGCGAGAGAGAGAGAGGAGGATGGTTTAATGAGAAGGAAGGAGAAGGAGAAAAAGGGAAGGAGGACGAGATCTGAGTGGAGTGAGGTGGGGGTAATAGAGGCCCCCGGTTGTCATGTGAGAAGTTTATAAGAAGCCAAAGCGCCAAACAAAGCGTTAAGAGTGAGACGAAACCAGTGAGGAAGAGAGAGAAAGAGATAGATGATGAATCTGGTCACCTCCATGACCTTACCCGGCTTCGTCTGTCTCTCTCTGACGTCTCCTCGGTTCTGCACCGTCTCGAGGGGTACAGAAGACTATCGTCGTCGGCCACCCAACTCAAGCGGGGGGGGGCATGTCGTTAATGACTGAGTCGGTCAAGCGGCAGCTCTCGAACGCCGCCGTGCGCCGCGGCGGAGCGGGGGAAGCGGCGGCGGAGGGAGGGGGGTGGCGGGGGCGGTGGTGGTGGTGATGGTGGTCGTGGTGGTGGTGGTCTCTTTATGAGCACGCCCCCACAGTAGCGGCGTTCAAAGCTAGCCGGTCGGAGACAGACAGAGATCCGTTACGAGAAACGGGCCTCCATGTGCTTCGGCCTTCCCGCGGGGTCGGGGGATTTACTCCCCCAGAAGACCCTCACGGACCACAATACCCTCTCTCTCTCTCTAGAGTCCTACGTCACCGTCTTCTTCCCGTGGGGTTCCAGGCAGCTCTTGCTGATCACCTTAGAGAGACCTTACCTCCTCTGTCGTCTTCTCTGTGGAGTTTCAGCTCTCTTGTTTCGCATGATATATAAACAGAGAGAGGGAGAAAGAGATTAGCCTCTCCATTATCTCCCAACCTCCATTCTCCCTCGTCTTCTTGCCCATGAGCTTCACGCAGCTCGCGTTGCATATGACACCGAAGATATAGACATTATAACTCTGTCTGTGTGTGTGTGTGTGTGTGTGTGTGTGTGCGTCAGAGAGAGGGAGAGAGAGAGCTGATCTCTCCGTCTATTGGCCTTCTTCCCCCATCCCAATCCTCTCTGGTGCTGCTGCTGCCAGTTCTTGTCGCTCATGATAGAATCAGAGCGAGAGAGAGAGAGAGAGAGAGAGAAGAGGGGCAAAGTTTACGGGAGGCCAAATTCCCATCGGGGGCTCCCTTCTGATGTTATGCAGAAGCAGAAGAGGATCTACGGACAATTGGGAGCTTTCCAATGATCAGTCCCGAGAAGAAGCAAGACGACTTAATGCTGCCCATCTAGAGAGACAGTCTAGGGAGATAGAGATGGCAATCAATGCGTACGCCTCGCGCAAAGGGTTCGCAGGGGGGAGCGGGGGGGGGGAACAGCTCTGCAGAGCAGAAATGAGAGGAAGAGAGGAGAGGACTCGCCTTCCTCCCTCCTCGTCCACTCCTGCAGAAGCAGAAGCAGAAGCAGCAACAGCAGCAGAAGCAGCAGAAGAAGCAGAAGCAGTAGTAGTATTCGTAGTACCACTGCAAGGTCCTGTTCACAACTCCCAGTCCTCCACGGGCAGCGATGGCATTTTCGTCAGTCAAGAACCCTAATAATCTCCATTATTCTCCTCTTCCTCTCGAACCCATCACCCCATTTTTTTACCAAGTCCGAGGCTCTGCATGCTCCTGAGGATCGTCGGCGCCCTCCGCCCCCACCCCCCCACCTCCCACGGAGGGAATGTCTCCTCCTCCTCCGCCTTGGGGACCGCGGAGGGGAGAGAGAGAGAGCGACAGAGAGAGAGAGAGATTATTAAACTATTATGATGCCCTTCTTCTTATAATCTTCTTCTCTTCTCTTCTCCGTCAAAAGCTCTGCGATTCCCTGCCTTGTGGCCGACGTTTTGTCTCCACCGTCGTCTCCGCCTCCGTTTGGTGGCGGGATCGCCGCTGTCTTCTTCCTCGTGAAACCTTTTTCTTTAATAGTTGTCATTCTTTAATACGTTTTCCATCGCTTAATCACAAAATTACCATTTTCTTAAATATATCTGTGTATCTACCAGCACATGGAACCGATATAAAATATTTTTAATTAGAAGTTCTTTTCTGTCATACTTTAACTTTATGAGAGTCTTCTCGTGAAACCATTCCTGGTTAATAATCATGTCATTGCTTAATCACAAAATTACCATTTTATTACATATATGGATCTGATACCAAATACTGTTAAATTAGAGGTTTTAATGTAATGTTTTGACTTTATAAGGGATCTTAAAGGGCAATTTGTTCTCGTCCCCTCCTTTCCCAATCAAGGATTACTAAGATGACCTTACGAAAAATTTGGGCTTATCTGTAATTGTACTGCTGCCAGATCTGGAGATGACGTGTGAGGGTACGTGTCGCGCAAGACGACAAGGCAGCCCCTGTTAGCAACTCAGGAGGCCCACTACTCGGGCCCAAAACCAGAGCCCACTTGTTTTGACCAAACTTCTGGGAAAATTGTAAGGAAGCCCATTTTCGATTTTTATGATGATAAATACCCGATCAAATGGGCTGTGATGCAATTTTTACAAGGTCTTAACTTTGCTTGTCCATAGCGGTATAAGGCATAGTCCAGAATCTCTCTCTCTCTCTCTCTCTCTCTCTCTCTCTCTCTCTGGTCTGCCTGCATCTATCTTTAGAAACATGAATGTGTACTGTGGGGATGGGGTCCTCACTCTTTTAAGTAAAGAGCCCAGAATCGGTCTCTCTCTCTCTCTCTCTCTCTCTCTCTCTCTCTCTCTCTCTCTCTGCATCCATGTATATAACTATGCATGTGTACGTGGGGGAATGGGGTCTTCACTCTCTCTCTCTCTCAAATACGTGGCGCAGTGAGGAAGGCGGAGAGAGGTGGGGATGGCCGCTTAATGGCGGGCCGGGAGCCCCACTTCCCTCCCCCCCCCCCCTCTCAGCCCTCGCAATGAATGCGAGCCATTCAATTGGGCGACCAAACGCCGTGACAGAGAAGCCCCCAGGAGAGGTGATTGCGACCACACTCGGCCGTATCTTCCGGAAACAACTCCTCCCTGTTGAGGTTAGAGAGAGAGGGAGGGAGGGGGGGCGGGCTGTTGACTGATGGTGGTGTACACGTGCTGAATCTGCTTCTGATACTTCCTAAGAACAGATGAGAGAGCAACTCCGAATTCCCCTGAAAGTCCCAACCTTTAACCAGGCCAAGATCTAACTCTGGGGACCCAGCGAGAGAGAGAGAGAGAGATCGACACCCTCCAGTCATGGGTAGCCACCTCAAGACGGCACCTTTAAAAGGGTAAACAGATCAGAGCCCAAAAGGGCATAATATCCCAACCACCACTGAGGAGGAACGGCTACATCCATGGAAAAACTCCCATCTCTCTGTGTGATGCTATCAGAACAAGCAAGCACACCCACTTCCAAGTGGACCACCCACTCTCTTCTTCCAAAGGGTTGTGGTTCATCTGGGCAGAGGAAGATCTCCCAGCTGAGCTGATGAACTCTTTGGAAATCTTTATTTGGAAAGCTCCCCAAATGCCCCCAGAAATGGGGGGGAAAAAAAGGGGTGGGGAGAGGAAGAAGAATGTGGATGAGCAGATGGATTAAGTGAGGCTGATGGAAGTGGCATACGCCTGAAGGAGGGTGAGAGCCTGCTCGGTGATGGCCCGGTCCCTCGCCAGCCTCACCCACTCGTTGACCGCCCCCGCAGCCTCAGTGCCGGAGACCCCTCTCTCAAGAGCATCCGCCGCCTCGGCGAGCTTCCCTGCGGCAATCAGTCTCTCGACTCCGCTGATGACCGATTCGATCCCCTTGCCGGATGTGCCGCTTTCCCTCATCTGCAAATAGCAAGACAAACGATGATTATTATTATTATTATTATCATTATTATTATTATTATTATTATTATTATTGAGAGGGCGATTTGAGTAATAATAGTAATAATAGTTTACAGGTTTGGAAATTATTTGAAGGAGATTTCTGGTCTATAATAGTAATATTCTTAGAAGGAAGGAAGGGTCTATGAATATCAGATGGATGTCAAAGGGCAGGTAATTGCAGGTATATGTGCATGGATGGGCAAGTGATTTCCCCTCAGCCAACTGACCTTAATGGCAGATGCAACATGGGCCACAGCGTGCGCCAGCATGCCGCCGCCGCCCGGAGGAATAAGGCTAAAATGCCGAAGTGTCCCCTTCATTGCCTCAAACTGCAAGGAAATGTTGAATCATTCAATACAATTATAGAAGCATATTAAGCATTGATGTTGATGTGCGACACGGAGGCCGTGAATGGGTATGATCTCCATGGAGAAGAGCCATTCTGAAGGAAACCAGACGTCTTAATAACGTTAAATTTTCCGTTTTTATGTTTTTCATGTTTTTATATTGTTGGCCTCGTCAAGAAGTAGTAAGACCAATAAAGAAGCCATAATGGGAGACCGATGGGGATCAGATAACTGTGAGACTCGAGAAAAATGAAAAGGAACTGAAAGCAATCGGCTGGACAACCTCCGGGAATCCACGAAAAACCCATCTAAAACAAATGGAGAATCAGACGAGAGAGAGAGAGAAAGAATGGAAACAGCCCAGCTCAGCATACAGGGAAAAAAGAGCATCAAATAACACCTGATATTCTTCTGAAACTGAAGAAAACATTACAAAAATCCGATAGGAAATCGGAATATGAGCATGCAAGAAATGGTGCACTTATGACAGAGGAGGCTGGTAAAAGAAAGGAGACATTTCTAAAAATTCATAGAATAAAGATTGGAAGGACTTTGTCAAAAAGATCTGAACATTCATTCGGTACCAAAACGGTTCAACTCCTGGTCGTTGGAAAGAGAAGAAAGGCATAGAAAACCAAACTATGGGCTCGAGTTCAAGGAGCCAGAAAAGCACCACATAATCATCGATGTGATCAAAGTATGAAGGGATAATCAAGGCGAATAGATCTTTGTCCACATGAGAACAAAATTGGCATTCCATGAATATGCAGCCAATATTTTCCTTCATGATATGCAAAAGCAGTGACTCCCTTTAGTCCTAGTTTTCAGCCTATGTTTGTTGAGCTTGGATGGAGACCCATTCATGCAAACGAATCTACTCCGTACTCTCTTACTTGAGAATATGATATTTTCGACAAAAGACTTACAGAGGAAAATCCCTCTTAGTTGTCATTTCCACTCTTTCATGTTCCCCACTTGGGTTTAAGAGCAATATTGTTTAATCTACCCGGAAACCTATCAGATCAATGATCCTTCGTTAGATGATTTACTACCAACTCGATGTCAGACGAGCGCCTTAGCTACTGCCTAACACTTAAAAATATGGTAGCATCATGCAGCTCATAGAAATGAACAGTAAATTCAGCCATCAACCTGCACACTCATCTTCCACTTTCAATGAGGAACTTGGAGTTGCAAAGTTTCCCATGTCACTCGAAAAAGGAAATAATAATGACTGGACAGCAGGTTTCACAGTTAACCCAGCAGTTTTGTACTATTTTCCTTGATGGCCACACTCTCTCAATTTTCCTCTTCATTGAAGAGTCTCCAATCAAGCTTGCTAACCTGTATCTATGAAGGTCTCCAGAAGGAACCAGCCTCAGTCCATCAGGTTCCTCACTCTGTCAGACTCTCTCCCACCTGATGAGATGAAGGCCTTTGCAGAGCAAGGAACTTCTGAAGCATTTTAAACACAGATTGGATAGGTTGCTATCCTATAAACACACACTCTGATGGAATATATTTTCCCTAATTCGCAACTGTACTGCCTTGCCATCCACCGAATTTCAACTCAAATTGCTGAGAATCTTAAGGAAAAAAACCCTCAGCAATCTAACAAGGGCATGATTCAACCAAAGTCCGATTTTAAAGTCACTGGTTACCTTACCGGGCTCCTCTATCAGAGAACCACATAGGTACCCAACAACGAATCATAAAAGGACCATGCTTTCAAAAATGTCGTCTAATACTTGCATACTTGCGTCTTATCTTGTTTTCACTACTAACTGCTTTCATGTTAACCTTCTTAGTCATTAATTATCCTCTTATTCGTCAATCAAACATTAACTTTTACTGAATTTACCTCCATAAAACAGTGGATTTTCTGTACACATGTCAATAAACGTTTTGGAACACGGTCAGAGCATTAACCAACTGTTATGTGTATGATATTTAGAGCATCTTCTATGGATTTGATTTATATGGATAGAGTCTTCTAGACGATAATCCTCACGTACCTGCTGACTGATTTTTCAAGGTTTTTGGAAAATAAATGGGAATTGGCTGCCAATTGATAACATTGCTAAGTTGGATCCAAAATTCCTGAGATAAGACTTCAAAATGATAAGCATGATGCAAAATATGTATACAAGGAGAACCTCATAACCTTAGGGGACAATGACTTCCAAAAGATGCCTCGCTCACAAAGCGAATGCAAGTCTTCTGTTTCTATCCTTAGATGTGATTAGTTGAGATCCCAGGAGCCAGGCACATTTTATTGAAAAACACTTCTAATCAAGCAAATATATTTTAGTTCAATGAAGAATTTATTACAAAACAGAATGAACAAAATACGTCACTCAGAACAAAGGTACTTTTTCTCTCAAAAAGCAATTTCGACTTATATCATTAAACTACACCAAAGAACCATGTACAAGGTTTTTAATATTTAGTGTGATTTTTCCAGCAATATCCTTGTGATTATGCTCTCGATATCTTGAAAATATTGAAAAAAATGTATTTAAAAACTAGCTATAGACCGGATAACTCAACAAATATCAAGATGAATGATAGAATTGTAAAATTGACTCAACGAAAGTTTTAGGTCTCAAATGGATCCCACTCCAGTCCACTAAAATTTTAAATATATATATAAGAAAATCATAAACCCTAAGCCACCAATCTACAGTTGGCTTAGATTCCATCAAGTTCCAGGAAGAAAATCACACTGTTGAACCAAACGACCTCATCAAAGTTGAATCTCTCACTCGGAAGTTACAAACAAGAAAAAATCACATAAAGGAATTAGCTGAAATTCAGATGGACGAATGCGCTACATTATCAGTATTAAATGCACTCTTCCATGGTTGATGTGATATGAGTGCCTGTAGATATATTGGGATGATATTGCTATGACTTTGTTTGAAAAGAGCATCATCTAGTAGTGATACACAGTGAGATTCTGGGGGATATGGAGTGTAAAAGAAGTAGATAGCTCAAAGGCAAACATACAAGCATGTCGATTAACTTTGATCGAAATTTCCAGGCTTATCTACAAGACGACTACAGTCTACATGAGACAAGGGGAAATTTTTACGAGCTGTATTCCTTCTGATGAATCATGAATCAGGTGGCACAAAGAATCAATATACTGACAAGAACAAAAGAACCTAACAACGGAATAATTAAGCGATCATTCTTCACAAAAAATAGGAAATTCCTAAGAACAAGAAAATCCTGAAATTTACATCATCAATGGGGTGTTGAAGCTAGGGAGAATTCGAAAGATGCCCACCTTAACCAAGAAAATCCCAATTTTATAGAACTTCAGATAAATGCTATTGACTCAGACTGATTCGCATATGTCAGTTTTGTCTACACAGCTTACGAGCCAAGATTTGCCTCCAGATCATGCAATTAGACCACTCACGGTTACGATAAAATGTTGATGTCAGATCCCCATAAGTCGACAACACTATCATGAGGTTCACGCTCTATCAACCGTATGCACTAACTCCCAGACAATCTGACACAAGCTGCTACAAAGTGGCTTGAGTCAAATCAAGAAAAGGTTGAGGAAGGGAAAAGACGCCTTATTCATTTAATGTATTAACGATACTGTCCATAACAGATGATGTGATTCTCCATCAGCAATTAGAATAGCAAAGTTTTTCCTTGCCCCTTAAAGATAAATCACGAAATTGAGAAGCATATACGATACATGAGCAAGCTGAGCAGATTTGGATCGGCATTTCTAAATATGACGAGATCTTGCATTCGAACTTACTTCTGAGTCAATAACGTGGAGCCAATAACTGAGTCAATAACTTGGCTGAATAAGATAATCAACCAATTCATGACCTGAGTCAAGCGGAGAGTGGAGCCAATAACTTGGCTGAATTGATCTGATTTTACGAGATCCCAGTTTTACATAGCATTACTTCTCTCAAAAAAACTACATAAGCCATCATAGGATGAAGAAGAGTGAAGGACAAGACAGAGGAGGACGAAAGAGAACAGGAAGAGAAAGAGAAGAAAAGGAAAAAAAATACTATCTTGTTTCCTGACATACAACCAAGACAGAAAAAGCTGAAACTATTTCTGAGCTTACTTCTGCGCATAATTGCAAATTTCCATTGGTATGGCCTTATCCCCCATCACGAACTATAAAATGTTTTTGCATAGAGGGGGCACATGTTCAAGTTTTCCTTCAGCATTTGTCAATCCTATGATCCCATGTGAATATATATGATTGAACATGAAAATACTATGTAAACAGAACATGAAAATTGAGAAAATACGTGTCATATGATTCAGCTCAGCATGTTTGGCGGATATGAATATTATCGTCTACTTTGCCAGACAATAAAGAGAATGCCCAGTAATAGATAAAGAATATTTAGTGACAGAAGGCAACATCATTCACTTACCTTCTGACTCAACTGTAACAAGGTATTCGTGCCATTTGTCAGAGTCTCCTCTGGAAGAGTAGCAAGCACTAAGTCCAAAAGTGAGTCTTTGTCAAGGCCCACAAGTGACGAGTGGAGAGAGTCAACTTCTGCCTTAATTGGCAACCCTTTAGACAACGCATTTTCTAAGGCAAGTGCTCCCTGCAATAGAATAGGTCAGCAGTCAATTTTTTTGTCACATAAAATATCAGAAACCGTAACTTGTCCATCAAGATAGCTCATTTTAATAAATAGCCTCATTAAATCGGATGTTATGAAATCAATAAACTAAATTTGATACGAGCAAAACATCAAAACAACTATGAGAAGATTTGAGTACTTATTTAAAAATAAGAAAATAAAACTGAAAATCGATATATTGAAATTACCAAAGCAAGCTTGTGAATAGAGTAATTCTGACGAGCCTCTTCAGATCTTGCATAGAATGCCATACACAAGGCCTTTATCTATTACACAATACAGAACACAAAAACAAGTTAGCTTTTGTGGAGCGATTTAACATTATAAAACAAAGGAAACGAATGCAACTGTTAGAAAGATGCAAATTTAAAACATGAAAGGATTATTTACATTGAGATTAGCCTCACTCATCTTTTCCATGTGAGATGATTTCTCTTTAGCAATAGCTGCATTCAGCTCTGCTTTACCCATTTCTTGTATTTTTTTAAGCATTGACTCTATTTCTTCCTCCTGCAAGGAAATAAATTAGTTTACCATTTCTTCAATGGAAGAAAGAGGAAATAAATTTCTTTACCCAAGTCTACTTTTCAAGGTTATGAAATACACCTTCCGTTGCAACTCCACCCTCAGATGCTCTTCAGCCTTCTCTTGAAGCAACTTAGCTGTAGCTGCGGCCTTCACTCTCTCTCTATTCAATTCCTGGAAAGCCATGTTTTATGTTACCCACATACATGCAAATAAATAAACTAAGAAAAAAATAGATATGTATGGTGACACAGTTCAGATAGAATTGGGTGCATCAGTAAAATCTGGAAACGATTGGGAATGCTTCAGCAGGTAGTATAAAATGAAATGTACTTCATGGCCTTATAAATCTAAAACGTAAAAAGGGTAGAATGATAAAGGCAGACTATTCTGAAACTATGATTAAGAAGGATATAAAAGGTTTCAATACCTTGTCAAGGATTGCTGCCTCTTCTGCATACATAAGTTCCCTTGCCCTTGCATCCTTCAACTCCTTCTCATATTTCTCCTGAATGAAGATGAAATAACAGTCATCTTGAAAAGTCATCAAAAAGATTATTTTTTAAAAGTAAACAAAAATGTAAAGACAGAAATATCCTTCCGAGAGTAGAACCTTCATTTTCTGTTTCTCCATATCAAAGAAACGAAAATCTGATTCAGCTTGCTTTTTCTCCGCAGCATGAATGGCATCTATAAAATCAAGAACTATTTTCTGATCCTGGGAGACATTTATCTCGCCTGATCCTTCAAGTGAAACCTGTTTGTTATCAGACACATTAATCGAGGGCCAGTAATGAGTTAAATATCAGAATATTCAACGCATGCAATGTCAATCATCGGTTGAAGAAATTAGTAGGACATGATAATGTTTTTGCCATGGTGTACCTCCTTATTTTCATGTAAAGGAACTGAAGTGTCGGGACTTTCTCTATTGATCGGAACTTCTGGTCTTTCTTCTTCTCCTTCCAGAGAATACATCTCAGAGAGGGGACCTACTTCCGCTTTGTGTTCCACATAGTCCTGCTGGAAGACGTCCTCACATCATTAACTGACAAGAAAACTAAATACATGAAAAATACGAATAAATATGAAAAAAAGCTCAAATACAGGATACTGTTGGATATATGAATTACATAAAAAGGAAATAGCAAACAACAATATCAAACTGTTAAGTACATCAATAGATATAAAAAGACAAGAGCAAAATCATTTTAAAGATGAAGACAAAGAAGATGTGGACCAAAGCCAACAACATTAATAATAAATGTAGCTGGAAATAAAAAATTAAAAGATAGAAAATACAACCCCAGCGAGTATATGACATTTACTAAAGGTCAAAGTGCATTGAGCACGTAAACTGATACACAAAACATTAACATAAAGATGATCTTTCAAGATTTTATTGTCTCTGTTTAAACATCATAAATCATTTTTCTGATTACTATTACAGAACTTGGTGCCTACAACAAGAGGATCCCTAGAACCAAGACAGAGATCTGACACTTATTCATTAAAGAAATTTTGAGTTTTTTTTTCTTGTTTGCCATAGCATTGAAGTTCTGTACAAACTGTCTACTATGGATAGATCTCGTGGGGATGCTGGGCTGATGTTACAGATTAAAACTAACTAAAACGTGCTTTTTTACATGGATAATCAATGAAAGAGTCTAATCTCTCAACCATTTCTATAAAGCAATCACTTCCATCTGGATCACAAAAAAGCTGGAAAAAAAAAAATTAGAGCCGTCATATATAAAGATAGCGATTGCACCAGCATTGCCTGAATATATAAAAAATAGCAGAATACACGTGCCCCATCATATTGACATCAGTGATGGAATACGCTTTTACTTATTGTCTACGAAGGATAAACCCTAACATCAGAATTACTGTCAGCAACGTACCACAATCATTTAAATTTCACAAAGATGGCAATTTGAAGAGCTTGCATCTGATTAACTAATTTCCAGAAAAATTAATTGAACGCGTTAAAACAATGTGCATTGCGTCTGCTTAAATACTGCTTTAGAGTTCTGTCGACCGCTGCCATCAAACAAGAGCTATTCTATCAAACGTCTTCTCAGAGTGATCGCCTAACTCTTGCTGGTTTTTTATTTTTTAATGAAGATTATTGATTAAATAGATGCATCCCCAAGAAGTCAATGAGAAATATATAAAACACAGCCTAAGAGGACAACATGGGCCCAAAAATGTGCTCAGCGACATTTCTGATCAAAATAGTCCCAATCTTGAAGCTTTTCCGTCCAAAATTTGTCACTCCTTGCAACAAACTACTTTTTCGAATAACTGACCTCACAAGAACATTCTAGGTTTCATACAGTACTCTGATCCTTCTTTTGCACGAACTCGTATCGCACTATCAGACTTCATTTGCGTTCAGCTGAACTATATCCTTGGCAAAAAAAAAAAATAGTTCAAAAAAGATATACTGTTGTAGATAAATGCAGGACTTAGGCCTCCAGTATCAATGAGAACCACAACAACATCATCATATGATGTCGTAATGTTGCATTCACCATAGAAGATAGTTTGAGAGGGGAAGTTGTAAGATATATTGTCCAACTATATGACCCAAGTGGATCCAGGAAATGAATGAGTGATGAGCAGATATTCTGTTAAATATTAATAGGTGATAAGACATAACTTTTCATGTCATCAAAGATTTCGTAGAAAGATAACACCATTCAGTGACAGGACCTAAACGACCATAAAATATACCTCTCGTCTGAAAACTTTCAATAAGAATAAAACCTGGCCATTAGCATGATGAGAACAAGAGCCATTAGCACGAGTGGATTTGGCAACATGTAAATGAACAGAATACCTCAGCTACTTCCTCAGGGATCTGATGATGAGTTGGGACTTCATTTGATATGGTTTCTTCAGCAGATGTTGGAGCATAAGTAGCATCATTAGAGCCCAGTGAATCATTAATTTCACCGGCAGCCAGGTCAACACTGTTTACAGATGAAATTTCGGAAACAGAGCCTTCCTCACTCTGTGGTGATACATCAAGGGAAGAGATCAGTGACTCATCCTCTTTCACAAGAACTGGCTCTTCTTTGAGGTCGGACAGCTCTTTTGAACTGGATAGAATTTCAGAGACACTACCCTCCTCATCCTGCGTGGGTACATCCTCATGAAAGCTTGAGGAAACATCCTCTTTAACAGGAGTCAATTCATCTTCAACAAGACCTAGATCTTTTGAAGCATCACTCTCAATGGTCTCTGCACCATCAATCTGACGGTGTTCATGAATATTCTCAGTGACCTCAAGCTTTGAGCTTCCATGACTGGTTTCTTTGCCAGAAAAGTTAACTTGATCTTGAGAATACTCCTTTTCTGCTGCTCTCTGGGAAACCTCTACCTTCTTAGAAATGAATGGACCTTCAAGCTTAAACTGGGGGTTACTGACAAATCCAGTTTGATAAGCTGCCGCAACTGCAGCTCCAACCACAACAGTTCCAATGGCAGCCTTTGCAAGTAAGCCGCCCCCTGAACCTTTGGATGGATCTGGTTGAGGTGAAGATGAGGATGCACATCTTGAGGAAAGAAAAAATGGTGTCTGTCCATATGCATGATAAATTAGTATATAATAGGAAAAAGAAACATAACAATTAGTCATCTCCTAGATGTCAACGACGAAAAGGAAAATCTGATTCAAAATTAACAGGAAAAAGCTTCATCTAAAAAACGACAGAAACAAATCAAGAAAGCTCAGGAAAGCTCCTCTGGAATCTTGAGGTCTGATTTGCTCATGCACAGGAAAAAAAAAAAACAATCTCTACGCAATTGATGAGTAGATATGCAGTACAATTGAGTTGATTCCTTTAATCCCCTTATCATAAATTATCCTTGAATCCATTGGAATACAGCGGGATTTAGACTTTTCATCGCAGGAGTTTTTTTGCAAGGAAAGTAGAAAGTAGAATACATGCACGAAATAAATGCAGCTGTCTGTGATAATCCCTAGTTCAGCGTAGTGTCCTAATACCATTCATATTTCTCCAAATAATGATGCCCCAGGAGAGATATACTAAGCCGGACATTCTTTTAATGGGAGATTATTCTTCATCTGCTGCTCAGTAGCATTAACATTTTTCTCTTCATTTGGGGATTATGTCCGGCTTAAACAGTTTGAAGCCCATTTTTCCTCTAGATTATCCATTGCACAAACCAACTTCAGCGAAAAGAATACCTATTGCATACGCAGCGTTAGAGGAACCGAGTGACGAAATGAAACCATAAATTGGCTTCCAGATGAAATCATTTTACAGCGACTGAGCTAGAAGAAATCATACCATAACGTAACAAGAATTTTACTCCACCATTGCCGAAATAGCAACCAAATATCGGTCTAAGAGAAAAAGAACAAAACAAGAATACCTGCGCAGTGGTTCGCTTCGCTGGTGACCTCACATACGATCTGGGCTTCGACAATCCGAAGGCCAACCTAACCGTGCATAGGCATAATCCCAAATCAACCATCCTGACATATGACAAAATCATAACCTAGAAAGGGCGAGGGAGAGAGAGAGAGACCTTCTCAGCATCTTTTCCTCGGAATTCTGGAGACCCCCGACTTCCCGATCAAAAGAAACGTGTCTTCCACTTGCTAATGCAGGTGCTCTCCTGCCGCTCCGGCGACCAGGGGATTGTGGAGTGTGGAGAGCCGACGCAGAGAGGAGAAAAACCCGGCGACGCCGCTGCTGCGCACTTCTCGTGTGAGTGGGAAGGCGCAGGCGCACCCCAGCGGTGGACTGCAGGGTAGGACCAGAGTGTGGACTGCGCCTACAAATGGCACCGGGCTCCAGGTAGAGTTTCGCCTACAAGCTCTTCTTACCCACTAATTAGTAGTTACTACTAGAAATTTCTGGTAACTACTACTAAAAAAAATATGGATTGATAAAAAAAATAAGCCTTGACAAACTAAAAATTGCAAAAAAAAAGGAATTTAACTTTTTTCTACTTGAAATTTTATAGATATTTCAATTAGTAATTGCATAATCATGCAGATTATTGTAAAATTTATGAAAATTTAGATTTTATGATAATTTTGACAAAATGCATAATTATACATATTATTGTAAAATCTAGGATATAAGAAAAATAATAATTTATTTTCATTCCAATGTGAAAAGATATTCACACGAATCAAATTCTGATAATATATATATATATATATAATCAAAGATGAAAATAGTTTAATAGACTCCTTCCCAAGTCATAAGCTCCTAAGAAAGTCTGAATAGCTCAATAGAAATTATGTTTTTATGTTTTAAAAATATAAGTCTGGAAAGTTTTTTTGAATGACTATGGTTAAACTCTTGACTATGAACAAGGTAGTATGAAATTATGAAGTTGATATCTTAAATAAAATTGAACTACACTCTGAATTTGGTATGAAATTAAATCAAAATATCATGTTGAAGAATCTAGTGAACTTATGAAGTTTATAAAATATCCTGCCATTATAAAATGATACATAATCATGGCATGAATATCTTGCTCTATGAAACCCTAGAATCCCATACATGAGGAGCTAAGAAATTTTCATTATATCTCTATAATGTAATATCCCAGATCAAAAATGAACTCAACTCAAGATTCTTATCATATAAAATGGTTTTATAATGTATTATTCGAGTTTTCTCTTCGATCGAGATAGTTTACTATCATTAAAGTCAATGATTCAATAATCCTTCAATTATTTATGAAAGTAATCAAACTTGTAATAAAGTTATATTTATATAATTATCCATATACTTAATAAGTTCATCTGAACAAAAGTACTATTAAGAGCTTGAATAAAATTATCCATACAATATATAATTCAAATTGGTTTAATTCTCTATGCACAACTTTAATCTGTATTTTATCTTCTAATATTTAGCAAGTACATCTTTTATTTTGAATGATTAGATTAAGGTAAATGAATTGATACTATGTTCTTATAGATGATTTGGGTTTCATACACGTGCATTATTTACGATAAGTTTTTAAAAAATCATTTTTAGGCAAATCAACCTGTTTTTTGCTCAAACTATTTGAAATCATAATAAATATTTGCTTTACTTTTGTGTGAGTCTCTATTTTTATCTTTAATATGTTAAACTGCTAAATAATTTTCTTAATTTTATCTATTAATCTAATGAAATTTTGTGTGCGTAATTTCTAAAATTTCATCTCCTAGATCGAGAATTTCATAACTATCTGGCAAAGAGATAAGCAACATGGACTACATAGGCTTTGATTGCAAGAGGGAGATTGATCCATGGTTGGAGCCCCTTATGACTCCACAAATTAGACGATAGAGCCAAACATGGTGCAGTTGAGAGGTGAAGCAGGTCATGCTCTCTAGTTGGAGGGTCTGAAAGTCAACGATTGATCATGCCAAAACCATCCAAACTTTGGCGACTTCCTTTGTTATTGATGGCCCATTCTAAATTTTAAGTTTGGAATTATGAGGCTGATAGAAGGCTATAAACTTTACATTCTGACAAGTATTTCAAAGTAAGATTTCAATCTTCATCCCCACTAATTTGAGGAGTTGGTTATGAGGGCCTAATCACCTTGATAGGGTTAACATCAATCATCCATTTCCACTGGCTGATATCTACATTGACTACCCTTCATCCACTACTTCCCATTTAATATATTTTTATTGTGACTATCACTGAGATTTGGATGATCCATATGAATAGCCACCCTACACATTTGGATGATCATAACCACATGATAATGTTGATTTTGGAACCAACAAAGGTTGAATATCCTACTTGTGTGTGGTTTCCCTAAACTATCTGGTCTGATCCCCCTTTCTATATGTGGATGTTTCCTAGTTATTTCAAGATTTTTCCTCTTTATTTCCAAGAACAAATCGCAATATTTTGATCTTATTTATTTTCATGCATATCGTTTTGATATTAGGGCATTAGATTGTAGGATACTTACATACATGCACATGCCCACTAGGTCATGACTTGCATATTCTCTACTAAGGAGGCTTGATCTTGTCCCCAGATTGAAGAAGATACTCCCCCATGGGGTATTAGACAAATAGGTTCTTGACCTCTACCTTGCATGTGAGAGATATGTGTATGTTAGAACAAGTCTATTAGTTAGTTATTGACTTAGTTTTTCAATCATAAATTCCTCATATCCAGGCCCGAACTAGTGAAGAGTCCAAACTTGACCAAGGAAACCCATTAACTCCTGATTGGAGGCCCATCTTCATCGTCACTGGGTCGTCACCTCCTCCCCTTTGCCCTCTCTCCTGTTTCAGCTTCCTTTCTTGTCCTTCCACGTCCACAGCTCAAGACCAGCACATGCAGCATTGGAGCACGCAACCTTTTCATTCCACATTAGAGATCCCCAAGGGTTGGATCTCTCTCTCTCTCTCTCTCTCTCTCTCTCTCTAAAATTCAGGAGTGAGAGGAACCTTAACCATTACAACGACGTGCCTACCTCAGTCAGTTGATGATATCTCCTTGATAAATCTGTATTGGACCATCATTTTCAAACAAAAAAAATTTATCGAACGAGAAAAATAGAAACTGCAAAGATTCCACGCGAGGGATTGATTGATTCATGGCGCTTGATCAGTCATTCGCTGCCCGGTACTCCGGCGAGCTCTCATTCCCTCCCCCCGCCAGCGCCGGAGGAGGTGCTGCACTCCGGTGCAACTCCGGCGGCGGCGGCGCCCACGGCCACGGCGGAGACGGTGCGGAGGATGAGCAGCAGTCCGGCGAGGTTGAAGTGCCAGCACGCGGCGCCGCCGCCGCCAGGGAGCGGCGAACAGCGGCGGAGGGGGGTCATCGCTCCGCCGGATAGATCGCCGGCGGCGGCCTGAAGGACGTGGGCGACGTCGGAGACAACGCGGAGAGTGGGGAAGACGAAGGTGGCGCCGCCGGAGATGTCGCCGGAGATATGAATGTGGTGAGAGGGGTTGGCGATGGCCTTGAGGGCTTGCGCCACCAGCTTGGTGGCAGAGGAGGCGCGATGGGCGGACTGGATGGAAAGAGCCGCCGCCGGGGGGGATGAGTACCCCCGCGGAGGGAGGGCGGAGGAGGAGAGAAGGTCGATCTTGGCGTAGGCTGAGGCCCAGAAGTCTGTGTCTCGCCGTCGCGGGGAGAACTCGGCGTCTGCGCGTGACGAAGGCAAAAAGGTCGGAACTTTTACGAGAGAGAGAGAAAGAGAAGAGAACGGGAGAGAGATGAAAAGGAGAGACAGAGGAGAGAGAGAGGGGGGAAAGGGTGAGAGGGAGAGAGAAAGAGAGAGGGAGATGGAGAGAAAGGGAGGGAGAGAGAGGAGAGAGAAGGAGAGAGAAGATAGAGAGAGGAGAGAGACGGAGAGAGAGAGAGAGAGAAGATATAGAGAGAAAGGAGAGAGGAATGAGAAAGAGAGAGAATGAGAGAAAGAGAGAAACGGAGAGAGAACGAGAGATATAGAGAGAAAGGAGAGAGAAGGAATGAGAAAGAGAGAGAATGAGATAAAGAGAGAAGGAGAGAGAGCTTTCGGGGGGGTGGCTACCCACCTCGGCGGCCAGCATGGTTCTGGTAGGTGCAGAACCTCTCGAGGACGAGCTCGAACCTATCGACGTCGCGGTCGAAGCTGCCGTCGGGGAGCGAGAGCCCGTAGAAGAACCCGGGGAAGGCGAAGCTGAACTTCCTCGGCCCCACGCGGATAACCGGCGAGTCTCGGGCCAGAAGCCACCGGTGATCCCCCACCGAGCAGGCCAGCAAGCACAAGGGCGTCCCCTCCCTCGTTACAGCGACCAGCGAGAAGTCGCCGCCGTCGACCCTCGCGACGGCGGCGTTTGCGTCGCCGCACACGACGGCGAGCTCCGCAGGTCCCACGCGGCCTCCGATGCGGAGCAGCTCGCTCTCGGCACCACCGCCGCCGGTCCGTTCCATGCCCTCCTCCCTGCGTGAGCAGAAGCGGGTCGTCGGAAGGGATTTTGTTCCGGATTTTATGAGAAGGAGCGTGCTGTCATAAGATGTTGAAATCTGGACATGGTTTTCTTCTCAGCTGGATATTGCGGACGAGGGAAGATCAGAGAAAACTGAAATGAAAATTCTGCAGAGATGAAGAAACCACGGAGAACCCTCGTTGATCGATCGCAAAATCCCCGTTTAAGAGCGAAGGGTCGCTGAATGTGTGTATGAGCGAGAGAGAGAGAAGGGGGTGGGGGGGTGGAGAGAGAGAGGAAGAATGGGATAACTCTTCGCAGAACGCGGGGACGCAGAGAGAGAGATCACCAAGCCTCGGAGAGAGATGGAGCGAGTGAGTGAGTGATGCTGAGAGAGAGAGAGAGAGGAAGAATGGGAGAACTGTGCCCAGAAACGCGGGGACGCCCCCAGAGAGAGAGAGAGGAAGAATGGGAGAACTGTGCCCAGAAACGCGGGGACGCCCCCAGAGAGAGAGAGAGAGAGAGGCTGCAACTTGGGATGGGGAGATCTACGGGGGGAGAGGCGTCCTTTAAGTAGAAGGTGGCGGGAGGGAGAGGGTGAGACTGCTTATCAGGGGAGTCGCGGCGTGGTCAGCGTGTAGAGAGAGGGATGCCTCTTTCTTCGCCACATGGCGGACGCCACTGGAGAGAGATTGAGAGGAAAAGCTCCCGACGAGGGGAAATTCAACCGTTAAGGCCGCCGCCGTCGTCCACCTGTCGGAATCGAGCTCATTGGCCGCGAGATCTTTCCCCTTCCCCAACGTGGCCGATCGGCCTATTAACCCAGCCGAGACGTGGCCCCTTCCGCTGTATACTCTCTCTCCTCCCTCTCCTCTCTCTCCTCTCTCCTCTCTCCTCTCTCCTCTCTCTCAAGCCCATTAAAACCTCTCAATATTTCATATAACATGTCGTGGGCATCTAAGTCAACAGCTTAGGAAGTCTAGATAATATATTTACTTATCTAATGATATATTTGCCACGATGAAAGAAGTCAACTTTAGATCCAACGAAGATAACCCACCAATTCCCAACTCACTCAACCTCGTTGACTCCTGCATCTTTATACTAATAAGATTTATAACTTCTTCCATTTTTATTTTTTTTGACGATAACAGTCAAAGACCCACGTCTATTTACCCACCAATTTTTTGAAATATACACTTCAATAAAACCTAAGTCAACACATATTTGATCTCATAATCAACTTAAAAGGAAACCAACTTTGATCGAATCAGAGTGACCCAGTGCTTACTATCTTCCCCCATTTGGAGATAACTAATATTGTGTCATAATATATATTTTCACTAAATTTCCACATTAATGTTGTTAGATTGTGATTTTTTTTCCTTTTATTGCAACGAAAAACACCATGTCCAAACATTTAACAAACCATGTGAGGGGGAAATGGTCTATGTTCACATGTACATGGGATAAAGTGGTAGCTCTTTTGCTTCATCAGCATAAAATAATTTACATCATAATCAATTTACCTAAATTTATCACATAATAAGTTTCTTTTTCTATTTGGTAAACTTCAAATTAATATCAATGTCTATGAAAGTGCTTAATATCAGATGTGTGTGAATGAGAGAGAGAGAGAGAGAGAGAGAGAGAGAGGAGAGAGAGGGGAGTCTAGCCTTATTATTGAATAACAAACATCTTCCCATTGGATTTTACAATGATCTTGAAAAATCCCAACATCAACATTTTCCCTCAATTTAGTATGATGAGATCCACAAACTAGGGTCCTCACTAAACCCTAAATTAGATTCAATGACGCCAACATCAACATTAATAATAATGACCCAATAGTTATTTGGAATTTTACCCAAGTAAACGCAGATGTCACACATTAATAATAATGAAGATTATTATTAGAGCACAGCCCTCTGAAAACAATGGCTTCAAAAACCCAAATCAACTCCCCGAAATGGCTACCAACAGATTTTTCTAGCAATTTTTTCTTTCTCCAAATGAGAACAGAGTTCTCTAAACTCCCATGTTCAGACTGTAAAAGCATCAGCAGGGAAAGCTTTCAAAGGATAGCAGAAGAGTAGTGTAGCACTGCATCCATGTTAGAAAAGAGATGATCTGTGACGTATTTACAGGGAGATTACACGTAGAAGCTGCTAGATTTAGCAAGTTAAATTATTCCAAGGATGATGTAGGAAGAGAAACCAGTCACCTAAACCAGGAAGATTACACCCCATTTTCTGCTAAGGTTGAAATTAGGTCCCCGCCAGGTGAGCTGCCACAGTGTAATTAGAATGCTGCACAGAGGTTAGCCTTCAGATTTGAAGAGTATTCCTGCCGAACTGGGCTGCCCGGCACACAGAGTCTGCTGCGCTTTGGCTCGGAGATCCTCACGTGAGATAGGGCGACGGCCAGCACATCGACGAGGCCATGGTCCTCCGCCTCATCTGAGCTCCCAGAAGAGGAAGCCGAGCTGCCGTCGAGAAGGCGGCTGTCCGACATGACCCACTTAGGCTTGACTCCACATCTGACAATGGGCCCAGATCTAAGAGGAAGCACCTTGGTGGGCCCCTCTGTGTAGAAAAGCATCCAGGGGTGTCCTGCCAAGTGAGAATCACCTTAGCTGAAAAAGAGAGAAGGAAGCAGTATCGGTGTGAAATGCAGGATCGGTGTGAATATCTGCTTACTGAGCACTTCGTCAGCAGTGATCCTTGAAGTAACATCTCTTCTCAGCATCTGACCAGCAAGGTCTCTGGCAAGTTCCGAGACAGACTCCCAGAGCCCGGCGCGGAAATTAAGATCGGCTGTTTTTATGGCTTGGAAAACAGCTTCAAGTGAATCTCCTTGGAAGGGGAGGGTCCCAACGAGGAGCAAGTGTAGGAGAACGCCTGCACCCCAGATGTCCACTTTCTCAGAGTAATGGCCGCATAGAACCTCTGGGGCGACATAGGCCGGACTGCCAGCCATACCAGACAGCTTCTGGCCTGTCGGATTTTAAAATTTTGTCACAAGTGCAAGAAAGAAAGGTTAGCATAACAGTTGAGATCGCTCATATTGAAGATATTGTTCATATTTTGAAAATATACTGACTGACAAGACATGCCTCCAAGTGCAACGTGACAAAAAGAACAATTTTATTCAAGAGTTTTTTAGGTTGTACAGTATGGCATATTATAGAGATGAAACGCATGAATATGTCTCTTTTGACAAGTACGTAATATGCCTGGCTTTTCATGTAAATAAAAGTTGATGGCTGGCAGCACGGAAGCTCCGAATCCACTGTGGTCACCACACGAACTTGTAATCAAGTTCTTAATCTAAAAGTGTGTAGTGTAGGAAGAACATAGATTGAAGTGTGAAACAGAGAAAAGCAAATAGCATTAAGACTTTCTCTGAGACAATCAAGCAAATAAAGGAAAGAAGTGCATAAAATATTTGGGCTAGAAGAGAGATCAACATGACACAAACAAGTTCCCCTTGCTAAGCCATAACAGCTGATGCAAAATGTCAGAAAAGCTAAAGGTGAAAAGGTATAACATACAGGTTCGTCAATAGGCAACCAATTAAAAACTACAACAGTCAGTTCTGCTGGGCAGTATCTCTGTAAAAGCACATGCTAATATACGATTATTGATATAAAAATTGGGTGGCCCACCGCGGCCACCAACCTGCTTCTTCATCCTTCTCATGAAGTAATCAAACCACAATGTTACACATAATATTTCTCGGGCATATGCATTTCTATTAAATATATATATATATATATATGTCTATCACTTTCCAGACAGATATGACCTCTGACCACTATTTATTTCTTTTAATGGAATAAGCAATCTCTATCTAGAACATCTTTATGAACACATGGATCTGACTTGAGAATATGAAAACAAACTCTAGGAATATTCATATCAGTTATGCTGATACATGAAAGAAAATAAACCACTTTTGGCAAAATAAAACTAGAACCCATTCAGTGGAGCCCGAGGAAATAAACACAATTAGACAAAGGTCATAAGTCTAGGGGAGCCCGTTTAGCTAAACCCATTCAGTGACAAAGAAACCGCATCAGTACGCGCACATCCTACATCCATCAAGAATGAAAAAAAACAAAACATACAGTTATTACAGATAAGTGAATTTTTCAATGCTCCAAGTATGAAACTAGAACAATTGCTTGAGCCATGAACTCCAGAGAGAAACACAACATATCAGATAAAATCAATCACAGGCGAATATCTCCATCACAGTGAAAAATGCAACCTTTTGCCCATGAGGCGAAGTGCAAAATGGCCATGAGGCATTTCCATGTTTTCTCCTTTTACTCAGAAAGAGAACGCAAACTAATGTAACCAAGACAAACTTATCATCATTGACCACAATAATGAACTTTTTGAATATTTAATATATACATTAAAAGCAACATTCATATTTTTCACAATACTGTAGCATCAGATCGTGCTACCACCACAATGCTGATATAGGATAAGAGTAGAAACTGACTATCGAAGTAAATCTAATTACACCATGCATTTTCTGCCCGTTCAAGGCAACCGTCACATGCCAGGAAAAAGGTACCAAAAAATGGACAACTTCGTAAGAACCAAGTGCATCCAAGAAAAATAGGAGATCCTGCAATAATCTCATCAAGATCCATAGCATGGAGCAAACATTTTTAAGAGGGGGCCAGTAAAGGAAGCATTTATTACCATTAGTAACCCGAACGGCCAAACCAAAATCAGCAAGTTTCATCTTCCCTGATGTTGTCAACAGGATGTTCTCTGGTTTTATGTCTCGGTGTACAACTCCCATATCATGACAATATTTGATGACCAGAATCAGCTCCTTTAATAATTTGGCAGCTTTCTGTTCGGAGTAAGTCCCTTCCCGAGTGATCTGATCAAGTAGCCGCCCACCAGAGCACAGCTCCATAATCAAGTAAATGTTATCTGAGTCATCGTAGACTGCATTCAATGTCACCACACCAGGGTGTCCAGAGAGATGCTGCATAATCTCTACTTCCCGGTGAACAGTTTCCTCCCCATTCTTGGGAAGTGTCTTGCATGCAAACTCCTCTCCGGTGGCAGTACTTCGGCACAACCTGACAGAACCAAACTTTCCTTGACCAATCTCCCGACCAAGGATATACTCTTTTTCTAGCTTTTTCTTGCGGCCAATACGAGTGGCGGGCTCGATGCACCCGAGTTTTCTCTTTAGACCCCTTAGAGGTACATCAGAGGATAAAGATGAACCACTGCAAGCAGGGGCTGTCAGCACGACCCCGGTGGTCCGGTAGCCCTGTTTGCAAGGACCATCATGTTCCAAAGAAGTCTTTGGCTCCTCTCGGCACTTCTTCCGGTCACGGGCAATATCGTCTCCATCAGAGGAAAGTTGAGATCTCAAGGACGAGAACGATGGCCATTTGCCCCCCTTCCTCTTCCTCATCAATTTCATTTACAAGGATTAGAGGAAAATCTTTGACAGATGCCAACAAAGGGAGAAAAAGAATAGACGTTGGAGTAAGTAAAAATTTCCAGCGGAGGCTGATTTCTATCTACAGAAGGGATCGATCCGAAGGTTGCGCGGATCTGCCGATCTTTTATTCAGGGTCAGTGGTATGTTAGACGGCGGCGGGGAGCTACGATGCAAGGGATCAGGGCAGGTCGCGGTTGGGGAACGAAGCCAAGAGTGGGAGGAGAAAGCCCTTGAATCTCTTCTTACGTGTCATCGATGCCGCAGTTCTGCGGTGCGATCCCCCCTCCGCACGGCCGCGACCGCGGAGGAAGAAGACGAAGAGAGAGAACGAGAGAGATCGAAGGAACCAAGAAGAGCGGAGCCAAAAAGAAGATCAAGATCAGGGGCAGAGAACGTGATTGGGAACAAGAATCCCTGCAGCCGTCCCCCGCATCCACACAGCGCTGGCGAATGGAGAATGCGGCGACGGCGGCGTCACAGGTAATGCAGCCCCCGGTGGCGCCGCCATTGCAGGGTAGCGGGGGCCCTTCTGCGCTCCGGGGAAAGATGAGGATGCCGGAAGATGTCTCAGACCCACGCGCCGAATCTCAAGACCACAAGGACGAAGCATTATTCATTTATTTATATATTATCCAAGAGTATTTTTTATTGGGCCGCCTGATAATGGGCCTTTAAAGCCCACAAGCTCCACCTGCCACGTCAGAGTCCTGCAATCAGTGGGCCAGCTTGGGACATTGCTTCATCCTATCTAGAAAATCCCAAAAAATAAAATAGAAGACATTGTGGAGAATATTCGTAGGATTATAATTAAATGTCATCAGAATTTAAGGGAAACCATTATTTTTATGAAAGAGAATATTTGTAAGGATTTTTATGGAGCTTAAATATAATATTAACATTTATAAAATAATTTTAAATATATATTTAGTATTATATTATTGGACTCATGTGTTTATCAGTCTACTAGGTTAATTATCTATTTGCATGCATCTGGAGCAAATAAAAAATGGGATAAATAAAAAGTGAAAATATTGAAAATAATAGCTGAAAATGATCAATAAATATTTAAAATATCTTATTAATGGGCTCCATTCATATGGCTATAAATCAAGGCTTCTTCTATGTGTCTCTAATTTCTTATATTTTATATTTAAAATTTTTATAATAAAATATGATTTTGTTAGATTTTATATGGTAGCAGGATGCCCTTGAGTAGTGGTGAATTGGGTTTTTTTATTAATTCCTCCCTTAAATATTAGGATCTAAGTGATAATATTTTATTGATTATTTATGCTAGTTTTGGCATCTAAACAAGTATCATATATGCCAGTTATTCCATGTGTTTTTACTAAATCAAGGCTTTACGTACTTTCACTAGATTTAAAAGCCATCTTCTACAAATTATTGACTCCATATTCTAAAGTTGTTGGTTTGTCATTTGGAAGTCTTTGATCCATTCATTGAACCTCCACATTTCTGGTTGGAGAGAACATTTTTTTATATGTTTCTGATTTTTCTATGGTTTCATGTGATTTTTCTATGGTTGTTTGATAATAATCTAAAATCATTCATTTCGTAGAGATGAATGACCAGCCTAATGAGTTTACAACATAGATAAAATATGTGGATACTATTCTAAAACTATGCTTAATAAATTCCATAAATCATTTTAGAACATATGCAATGGGTACTTTAGAGGGTGACAATAATATTCATTTTACCATTAAAATTATCATTTTTACTATTGATCTTGACTTCATTTAATTCAAGGCTTTCTTCAATATTAATCATCAAGATCATCAAAATACTTAGTTACCCAATCACAAGCTCTATCAATCTATTCATTCATATGTTATGATCATCATGAAATCATGAGCACCTAAAGCCATTAGATTTTTCTTATTCCATAAAAATAATAAATCTAGTATTTTTATATAATAAAATTTATTTTTATAATTTATATTACACATGTAACATTGACACGTAATATTAAAAATTATTTTCAGCACTTTCTTTTGAAAATATGCTTCAGCTTTTACTTTTATGCATCTCTTAGAATCCACAAAAATATATATTTTCTTTTGAATATAAAATAGAAAACCTTAAAAATGTTAAGATAGAAAAATTTACTAAATTAAGCATGAATCCTAATAAATTATTATCATTTTTTTTATAATTATTGAATAAAATACTTAAAAGCCTTTGATCCTCGAAGTAGTTAAATGATAAATATGCTGATAGCTTATCTTCGATAAATAATAAAATTATTTATAAATAGACCATCCCATTTTTTATTCGAAGTTAGTTAGTCCTCCCTTCAACCAATAACATATATTGATATATTATATTATTAAATAAAGTGGAATATTTTTATATGGGATAAATAATATTTTTTATATTTTTACATTCACCAGTTTGTAGAAAAGTGGATGCTAAAAAATATTATTATCATTATTATTTTAAAATGATATTATGAGATGACCCCCTAATATATTTATATCCGAGCCTTCATAGAATAACTCGCTGGTGATGTTTTGGAGAAAGCCACTTCCGTGGGAGGTGGGTTCCCGCGCTAGGGAGGCGGCGAGCTTGGGTGAGAAGCCGGCGGAGGAATGGCGGCGGGTCCTGGCACAGTGAAGCCCTCTGTCACTCGGCAACCTACCAACATCATCTGCAGGGCGCCCCTACTCCGCTTTACTCGCGGTCTTGGCATGTCCAACGCCGGTGCTGGGGCCGGCCGCCAATGGGGCGGGAAGATGAGAGCTGTTTCTGCCGCATCGTCGTCGGGCCAGCCACTCCTCGCCGACGCCGCCCACAGGGAGGAGATTCGCCGGCTCGCGCAGAGCTCCCTATCCAACTGTCTCACGGAAACCCACCTCGATCTTTCAGTCCCGGGGTTGGGTTCCAAGTCCAGGGGCAAGGTAAGTAGGTTGGTTTCGAATTTCGGAACAGTATCTCTCGTCCGCCCCTGTCGTTGTCTTTTTCTTTGCGTGTCAATCTCTGGCTGAATCATTTCCTCAAACAGGTGAGGGACATATATGACGCGGGCGATTATTTAGTGTTGGTGACCACCGATAGGCAGAGCGCTTTCGACAGAGTTCTGGCGTCGATTCCCTTCAAGGGACAGGTGCCCTTTTGCATTTTTTTCTTCCCGAATTTTCGATTCTGCTGATGGTTGAATGTCCAGTTTCGTGGTCATCGAAGGAGAAGAAAACACTTCGAATCTTCTTCTAGCGTTCCCTCTCCACGTCCTCAACCTCTACTCGTACATGTTGCCTAAATTCCAATAAAATTGGTGTATATTATTTATGCCTATTTACAACGGTTTCTCCTTCTTGTTTATTATCTCGAGCAGCCTGAATCGGCCCATTATGTTTGTAGTCGCTCCAAATTACAAACTTTTCGCGTTGGAGCAAAATCAGCGTTCCTGTTAGACCACAGGTCTATTACATAATTATCATAGGCTATTTAATGCAATTAATGTGTCGAAGAGACTACATAGACAAGTCTATGCCAATAATGTTCAGACTTAATCAAGGATCTGATCTAAGATTTGAGGCATTCCGAAAAATTGAATTGGGCGGTCATACGTTCATGTGATGTTGTTCAATGCCATATATTAGTTATTTCTTGGTGTGATCATCTGGTGATGAAATGTCACCGGCCAAAACTTTGTTCTAGATCCTTTCCACGGGTCTTTTTTCCCTTGTTAGCAGGAGTCGATATGAGATATCCCTGGCATGAGCTTGTTTGGGGATAGATTATCTTTTACTTTGTGTGCCTTGTTGGACTTCCATCTTGGTTCTCACTGTGAGCCTTTCCTTCTTCAGTACTTGAAATCTTTGATGTTCGAACTTATATTTTTATTGCTAGTGGATCATGTTTTCTGTTTCCGGAAAGTTACAGTAAATAGCCGTAGACAAAGACTAACTTGCTGTGTAATTTTCCTTTGTTTCTTTTCCTATCTGATGAACAGAATGTGGTTGTTTCAGGTTCTTAATGAGACAAGTCTCTGGTGGTTTGATAAGACTCAAGATATAACTTCCAATGCCATAGTTTGCATTCCTGACCCCAATGTGACAATTGCAAAGAAATGCACTGTTTTCCCTGTTGAATTTGTTGGTGAGACAATGCTTTTTTTTTCTTTCTACATCTTACTGTACTTTAATTTTATAATTTTTAATTAAATTGAAGTTCTGCCTGTCAAATTTTCGTTTATTTTCTATGTGATAAGTAGGTGCTTACCAAACTATGTTACATGTACTCTTAGTACTGGGAAAGTGGTAAATTTTTTAATGAACTGCGTTCTTTTTGTCTCAAGTATAATTCTTTGAAACGTTATGCTGCTCAGGTCAACATGTTTCCCGGCATCTCTATGGCACTCTGAAGCTGTTGATATAGCAGTTGTTAGACCTCTCAATTGACTTCTTTTGCGTGACACTGCTGGAATGCTGAATCTCCCTGTATAAAATGAAAGAATCATAGGTTGACAAGAACTTTTCTATTCAGGCATTCTTCATCGGTGAAATGAATCAATTTTGAAACTAATGTGCAATGGAGCGCATTACATTGTTTATGTAATTCCTTGCAATTCAGCATAATGAATTGAATCTTTAGTGATGACCATGGATTTTGTACCAGAGCTTCTTCTCGGGGGTAATGGTGTACTTGATCAATGTCATGGATGATAAAGTTTTCTTGAAGAAAGAAAGCATACTTGATCGTTATCATGGATGATAAAATTATTGAGAAGAAAGAAGATCGTTTGTAGTACAGATCAATTAATAATAAATATCATGACCCAATAAGGAAAAAAATGTTCAACTGGAATCACGGAAGTCACAACTTCTTCGTAGTAATTTTCAGAAGAGAGATAACCAAGCTACTTGGAATTAATCATTGAGATCAACCAGCACTCAGGATGGCAAGGAATTTTAGATGGAATTATTTGCATGGGAGTCTGTATGGAAGTTCTTTTTGTCAAAGTCCTTTTTTGACCATACGTTCAATGCATATCAGAACGTTTTATTGATAAAGTACTCATAGGAACCATAAAACTACGATGTGAAGCTATCTTAATACATTTCATGCACATCCTTCCAATAGCTCAAGGTTGTAAAGGGTTAAAATTTGGAATGTGCGCCTAAGCTATTCAATCATGTACAGACATTGGTTTATATACATGTTAATGCTATGTAGGAGACAATTGTTAGTTCCCATAAGGCTTGGTAAGTGTTGGAATGGCCTCACATTGACTGAGACCAATCCTATAATTAAATTTATCGGTCTACTCTTCTCTTTTTGATGGCAACTAGTTTATCTTTATTAAGTTATGCTTGAGAATATCAGTCTTATAGGTTTTGGTTTTTGCTTTTTTTCTTGGGCTCATGATCGCAATCTGTGCCCTACTTTTCTTTGCAGTGAGAGGATTTGTTACTGGTAGTACTGAGACATCATTATGGACGGTCTACAACAAAGGTATCAGAAATTACTGTGGCAATGTTCTTCCTGAAGGTAAATTTTCATATCCCATTTGTTTCTCATTATGTGTCTGAACATATGTTGTCATTGTTACATTCATCTATAATCGTCTAATTTTCTTTTAGGTATAGTGAAAAATCAGAAGTTACCTGTCAACATTCTCACGCCAACAACAAAAGGCATAGATCATGATGTCCCAGTGACTCCTAAAGAGGTCTGTGTTTTGAATTAACTTTTTTTGGTTGTTGTTAAAATGTAAATTTCCATAGGAAGACAATTTTTTTTGACTGATTTCGTTATTCGTCAATACTAATCTCTTAGTCATGCTTGAAGTCACAAAAGATTGCCGTGAAAAAATATGCTTTTGTTTCGCCCTTTTAAAGAAGTGCTTCTGAAATGAATGCATTAAATTGGTTACATATTTTTTTTTTTGCGAACGTTGTTGCAAATCCATATGGAGTTAAGTTTGTTGAAAAGTACTATGTACAGGTCAGGTATCATTTGAATTTGAGTAGAACAATCTTTTGCTTAAAAATATATTTTAAGGTGCATCCTATGTAACGAAGAAGCCTTGATGCGTTGAGCAGCATAGAGGCCTAAGTTGGTTTCGCTCATTAGACAAGGGTTATAGATGCATTATTTCATGGATTCGCATATGCACCAAAATGTGAAGATGAGAATTACATTCACATTACTATGCCATTTATGAAGAATGGTCATTTATTGAATGCAGTGGCAAATATTTTTTCTTTATTTTAATTGACTACAATCCTTGTTTCAGAAGTTGTCTTTACTTTTTTAATTTAAATGTTTTTATGAGAAACACTTCCTTTGGCCTTTCCTAGTTTTATTATCAAAAGTAGGAAATAGCCAATCTAATTTTATAATACAGGCTAACACTTTTACGATTTCAATATTATATGCATGCAGATATATTTTATTAATTTTCAAGTAATGAATATATATATTTTTTTATTTGATATGAATTGTGACATATTTTAAAATATATTCGAATGGGTTGTGTCTTTTCACTTAGGGTATATGTTTGTCGACTGCACTGCTACAGTTGATGTCTTAAAAATTTTATTCCAAAGTAGATCACTAATTTCCGAATGATCCATGTTAATTATCTGTTTCTTTTCCCTTCTGTTCTTAAAATTTAAAGGAATAATCGGAAATTTATTTTTGACCAGTTGAGGAAGCAAAAACGTTGGTGAGACGGCTGCTTAGATGTCTCCTTTGGAAACCCTTCCTTCACTAAGCTAATTGTCATTCCTGTGAATGCTTCAACTATTTTCCTGTATGAGAATGTATGCATACACTGTTCTTATTTAGTTGACATTAAATGCTTTATGATAGTTTTCAAGCCACGTTGTCAGTAATGCCTGTTGAGCATCCTCCTTACGTACTTGTATTCGGGCCTTTGGTATTTGGCCTTCCCTCAAGCTGCCTAGGCAGCCATAATGAGTGGTTCCTTAGGTTTGTATTTACATTTATTCGTATTTACTCACATGCTGATTGCTGTTAAAGTATTTTTTTATACCTTTAGCATTATCTATAATATTATTTTTGGAAATACGTGCTAACTATAATATTTTAAATAAAATTAAAAAATATGTTTTTTATTCATATTATTATGAGAACGCTGCTAACAATTCCTTTTGTAGTTTTCCTGTTCATGTGTAAATGAAAAGTTTATGATCCTCATTAGTTATCTTTATCAAATAATTTTATTTCTGAAGTTACGTCTTTCTTTTAATGTATATTATAATACCATTTCAGTAAAATAAGTTCAAATTTATCTTGCACGTACACACTTTTTGAATGCCTGAATTCCTTTTGGAGTTAACATTCAGATCTGTATTAACCCAAACCTAATACCAAACCTTACTAAATACATGCAAACTTACGACCTAATATATGCAAACTTCATAAAGGAGATAATCAAACCTCTACATTAACCCAAACCTTACTAAATACAGAGCTTGCACAAATCACTACAAAATAATTTTCAAAGAACTTACGAGCTCTGTCAGAATGTTGAAGGATGGGTGCAACATGCTTGGAAAGTTCTTTCTGAGCTTGAGAAGATCACTTGAGGATGTGTGAGTTTTGGAGTTGATTATCTTTTAGGTCTTGAAGTTTTGGATTCATGGAAGCTCCTTTTCTCTGGTAGCTTAAGGAACACTTTAATTCTTTATTTAATCTCTATTCACAAAATAGCCATATACTAATCCTCTGGCGCTGGATTTGCACATTTGTTCAATTTTGTTTTCATTGACTACTTTCGTGGTTTTTTGTGTAAGATACTTTTGTTTAACTTATTAGTGCTTTCACCATGTTCCATTAGACGAAAGATGCCTTTCATCTGAAAATTCAAGGTATAAAGATGAAACTCTGGAAGAAGGGAGCAGAGGGGACAAGGTAGCAGGAAATTGCAGTGATTTGAGTGCAGTTTTGAATGTGAGTCAAAGTGAATACCGGCGATAGACCATGAAGCTGGGGATGACGATTGTTAAATGGAATATAAATGATTCATGTAAAATAGATGAAATGTTACAGCATTTTGTGGCGCTCTTGTTCGTAGTGTAGAAAGTAGATGCGATATCTTAACAGTCGGTAGAAGATGCTTTTCTCTGGATTCATGACAAACAGATGCCGCAGATGTTAATTATCAGCTGGTTCTTATCGTGAGATAGGAAGATTTACTGGAACAAATATTCATAGAAGACCGGAGGAGTGTGACAGAACATCTGTATCAACTTTGTAAAGTACAGTGTGCAAGTTTGAGTATTTTATTTGGATCTGATCCGCCCTTTCCATTGTCCACTTTTGGTCATGTTCCATCCCCCTCTAATTTTAACAGGTTCTTGGTGTTCATTATCGCTGAAGGGAGTTTTCCACCAGTTGAAGGTTTAATATCTTGAAAGTATTATCAATCACTACTATCAATGGTGGCACGATCCTGCAGCTCTGTTGTGGTAGATGGGGGTAGAAAAATGTACAGAATGGAGTCCGAATGTTTTTATTTTTACTCACAGAAGAAAGTTTTTATTGATCTTCTCCAGAGCTGGAGCAGACTGCTATTGCATACAAAGTTGTAAAAAATAAATGGAATCTTTTAGAAATCCTTTTGTGAAGAGTAGAAGTGTCTAGAAATGAGGACTGGAAACGAGTTCGGTTACATTACTGTGTGCTTAATGATAAAAAGTGAAAATTGAATGTACATACGTTTTTGCCAGTATTCACAAAAACATGTGCTGCCATTGTTGCAGTACATACTGAATTGTATGCTTGAAAATTTTCTACTTCAGTTATAATTTTATGGGATTATTTTAGCCGCCTAAAGTGTACTGTAGGGTTCCTTTGCCTTTGGCTACTGTAAGAATTGGGGTAACTCCCCATGGTTGTAGTAATTTATTGGTATCTCAAACTTTTCAAAAATCTGGAGATATTATTCTACCATAAAATCTGGTTATATGTTTTACTTGAATTTGCATCACCCGTAAGATATACTTTTTTCTTTCCTCTCGCACAAACATTGTTCCACTCGCATGTTTCCATTTGTTTTCTAACACGTCCTATATTGTTAAACTATTTAATGCATAGTGATTGATCCAGGTGGTTGAACTAGGTTTGATGACACAAGAGGAATTCGATGAAGTAAGCAGCAAGGCCTTTCGAATATTTGCATATGGACAGGTAGCGATAAGAAAACTCTGAAACCTTATTGTATTTATGCAGATTAAAATGTAGTCTCTATTAGACACCCAAATTGTTGAAGTGTAAGGATGATGGGTACCTAAACTTAACGCATTTTAGGCCCATAGGAGAGACCCTTTAGGCAAGCGTTCTTCATTAATGATTAGATGATACACACGGGCAGAGTTCTATTTCCTCCTTGGACGATTTATCATTCTGAAATGCAAATCCATCTATCTTCTCTTGCAGTCAAAGCTGGCAATGAAATGATGATGATTTTTTATTTTATTTTTTCAGGTTTTTTGGGAGTTAGAATACTAATGCGAATACTCTACCTTGGTTTTATTCTTGTTCTTAACATGTTTCTGTGTGGGCAATATTCTTGTTTGAGTTCCTTAATTAGATTTTGGTGCAGCCTGCAATCCATTTCATTTGTAGATTTGGGCAAAGGTTACGGTGATGCAAGGCACATTAGATAGGGCCAGATATTTTGAATTACCACGTCACCTGCCATATCATTTGTGTAAGTAGATAAAACATCCCATTAAACATGAGTAAATGTGAAAAACATTCTACTGCTCGATACCTCCCAGTGCCACCAAGCCACCTACCCAATCAGCTAACATCATTTTATAAAATTGAAATGGTAGTATTATATCTATGGCGCTCTTACATGTAGAATTGTGTATTCTTATATCCCTCTAGTTAGGAGTTAATGCTGTCTATTGGAACATCTCGAGATATTTTTTTTCCCAGGCTGATTGCTCATATGCCGGTAGTTCTGCTATTGTACATTGTTGCATATTGTTGACTAGGTGAACAGGTAAACTACAGTGGAGTCTTTATGGGTTTGTCATGGGGAAGGATTTATGTATTTCATAAACTGATTGTTAGTATTTGATGATGTCCATTATCCTGTTGACCACCCTGTGAATGATAATATCATCAGTCATTCCTGCATACACAGTGATGTGTTGGTAGTCCACTAAATAGAAAGTTCAGACAACACAACTGTGAACTAAGTCAGAAAAGAATTAAAATGGAAAAGAAAAGTTTTCAGATCAGATTGGTTTTGACGTTCTGTGGTTGACAATTCTTTCTTCTAGCCTGCTTTCAGTTGTCAGCATAGCACAAAAGAGTACATTTGGCCAAAGATAGTCCTTTCTCTTTGGTTAATGCATCAACGATAAAGACTATTTACGTTGGTTACTAAAAAGTGCACAATATTGTGTAATCGGATTTATGCTGCTGCATTTTCCCCGGAAATAAGTCAGTTTTTGGAAGGGAGACATAAAGACTCCATCTATGTAACTTTTATGTGATTGGTTTGGAAATCGAATCCGGTTCATCTCTTGCCATTTTTACTGTGATGGTTTTTGGCTTTATTTGCAGAAAGTGGCGTTGGAGCATGGGCTTCTGTTGGTTGATACGAAATATGAATTTGGAAAGGGAGCTGATGGTTCTATTCTTTTAATTGACGAGGTCAGTCAATGTTAGTCTTGAAGGATTACATTTGGCCGTGGTGTTTTTTGTTCTTTGAAGTTACATTATTTCTTCAATTTAATATGTTCGATTCTTTTCTGTAAAATTAATTTCACAGAATCCTGATATCCTCGTGTTTATGGTCTGTATTGCATTCTTTTTGCTCGAGGCATGTTTGATTTGAATATTCATTATTGAACTCCAAGAAATGGGAATTCGGTTTATATAGAAGGAAATTCTGGAAGAAATCAAAGTTAATTTAAACACTTCAAGATCAACTATGCTCCAGCTTTCGGGATTCCATTCCTGATTCAGGGACATTCTCTCCTTGCCCTAGCTTCAGTGCCAACGAAAGAGAGCTCTCTGTAATACTCCCTTCTAAGGGTTTCACAAAATTCCAGTCACCTTGCGTTAGGGATCAGTTTTATTGTTTTTTCTAATCAAACAAATGCCATATTGGTGAATAGTGCCCTGATTGTCAGGTCCAATTGATTGAAGGCCACGTGGCAATGAAAAGGAAAACATTATTTAGTACAATCCTCCCCCCTTTCCTAGGTTGTTGGACCCAGGTCATAACAGAACCATGACAAATAATGAAGAACATAGATACCCGATGTGATTCAGGTGATGCTTTCAAGTTATGTAAGCAGATATTGAATAGAAAAAAACTCTACAATTTTATGGTAAGGTTTGAGGGGCAGCCTAGTTCTGTTAATCTTTGGAGACTGTTGTTTTTGGACTTGATTGGTGTTACCTTATTGATTGCACCTACAGACGATCTTGATGTCCACCCTTATTCCCTTTCACTGAGTTTCCCAAGGACTAGATGGCCCCCATGCAATGAACTCCGGGTACATGGTCTGTTAATTTACTTTCACAGATGAGTGTATCCTCTTCATGAATTTGATCTGTGATTCTTTGCTTGGACTTCTGTAGAAGCTTGAGCAAAGTTTCATTCTGACGAGTATCCCATCAAATACAGCATAAAAATAATCCAACTATAGTTCCATTCGCTGCCATGCCTATAGTGGTTCGTCTGATAATTGTAAGCCATGGCTATATCTTTCTTCCAATCCTTCTAACCCATTTTGCCTGTAGGCCTTTACCAAAGGCTCAAGGATCATCAATACCCCCTGTCCCTTTGATTTCTGTGCTCTTAGCCCACTGGAGTGGACGGAACCCTTTTCTGTCATTCTCATTCTCCTCTTACAAGAAGGATTTTATGAGCTCATTGATGAGTTAAATATATGACAGAATTTGGTAGCTTTTTTTGAAAAAGGTAAAAAGCTCTTAGCCTAGGTAGTACTGATTTCAAGAAGTTTCATTTACCACCATTTAACGTTCTATCCACTCCATTATCCAATTTATTCCAAGCTTGTGATTGATCTTTATTCTTCATATGTAAGCGAGCTATTGGAGCCCAGTATTTCAGGTATGATTTCAAAACTACATAAAAGGGATCGATGATATGACTGCGGATTTTTCGTAATTGACATTGAGGTAAGTCATCTTTCCTAGAAGAACTTTCGGAAGGTTGTCAATCTTGCTCTTATGATCCACTGGAAAGGGGTTAGTTTATCATCAGCGATGTAACGCACCTTTAGTTTCAACTCCCACGGTAAAGCATTTAGATATTTTCCTTCTTCCTTCTGGAACTTAAATTTTTGAAATCAAAGGAAGCAGGTAATGAGAAATTGTGCCCATAACGCTAGCTCCAGCAGCCCTTGCATAACCATGCAAGTCCCCTAGTTGTACCTGTTGTGAATTCTCAGCAATTGGCTATTGATAGTTCCCTTTAAAACATCAGATCCTGTTAACGTACCTCAAGTGATTCTATCAGGAGCCTTCTTAAAACCGAGTTACACAACCAGGCATTTTCCGTCTTTTGATGGTCAATACCTCATAGGCAGACTAGTTTTCATGTAGATATATCCCCTTGAAAAAGTCGTACGATTTTTGTTTATCTATTTTTTTTCTATCCCTGTGTTCAACCCTTTAGACATTCAGTTTGCTACATTTTGGTGATAAATACGAAGAATGGTAGGCCAGAAGCAAAAAGTGAACTTGAAACACTCTGGTACAGATTCCTCAAAGGAAGTTGTCATATTAGAGGAGTAGATATTTATATATTACGGTCCATATGGTTTATAGTGCTTCGGATGTCTGTATGAAGGTAAGTGGTCTATGAACTAGAAACGCTGTCTGATGTGTGGACCAGTGGGAGACGAGCTGCAGATTAAAATAAAAATGAATCAATAATACATGAAAAGTTTGAGAACTTTCTATGTCAACAATTCTAAGAAAAAATAAAGCCCCCAAAGCTAGAATGATTAACTATCTTCGCGTTTAGTTTTCCAGATGACTTGGATGGCAGTCTTGGTTGGTGTATGGCTGATTAAGTTCTCAGCGTACAAAGTTGTTCTTCAGGTTTGGAAGGCTGCATAGATTACTTTAATGTGGGTAGAGGAAGGAAGAAAATGCCTAGTGATCCTATTGATCTTCACTGTTCTACATTAGAATATTGTGAAATGAAGACTTCATCTGAAAATATGTATGGGTCACCATACAGTGTTTCATAAATGCGCAGAAAATGTGGGCTGCTGATTGATCAGAGAGCCTGGTTGGCAAGAGTCACATAACATCACATTTTATTCTAATTTGTTCGATTCATGCTACAGTGTTAGTTTTCTGTTCTCATGTTTTCTTTGTCATCCTCTCACATTTTGGACTCTCATTAGTAATTGGGATGCTACAACTCTCAAAACATTTTGCACTCATCGAGTGAAAACATTACTCATCTTATTAATTTTAAGGGTCTTTGGCATTTCTATTCTTCCAGGGACCTCTCCTCTTCCAGATGTGAGAAATTGGTGTTGATACAGGACTTTGATGCCAATTGGACCGAGCAGATTCCTGAATTCTGTCAATGTTGCTTTGTATGGCATGGATAGTTAGTTACCAGGAGGGATTGACTATGTTGTAGTCATTTAAAATTTCTGTGCAATATAAATTCAGCGGAAGAATCGTAAAGGATTATGCCAGAAAAAGGGTTCTCCACATCGCACGCACCAATGTTTGAATTTATAAATTAAAGTTATGGGTCAGAACTATTAGAGAAACAGTGAGTGCAGATGTTAATCTAAACCTTTCTAATTTTAGGCACTCTTTCATCTATGAAATGGTTTTAAGTACAGCTGGCTGTGAGTTTCCCGCCTACAGAATCAGTCAATAGGAGTGCTGTTTAGTATGTGATGGTAATCTTATATTATGTCGTCTCTGGGGTATCTGCAGAGCCTGACTGGCTTCCTGCAGTTCTCTATGCAGAATAAGTTGGATGGTTATTCTTAGTTGACAAAATTAGATTTTAACTTATAGCTCTTGACATTGCAGCATAAGTTACCATGGTTTGTATGATAATCTTAACCAAGGTTTTTTGCATGAGAAACTATCTGTTACCGGATAATCATCCATTGAGGTATATTTGTACCTTCTTTTTCATGTTTACTAGTTAGACTGCATATCCTGCAGTTTCCTTCAACGAGTATGCTGTGTCATTTAAGACGAGAAATACATTCTTCTTTCATAACGTTTCTTCACGAGTTCTCAAGTCGCATTTTGTGTCCGTCAAATTCTATGTACTTGATAAAACTCTATGACGTTTGGACAGTTCAAATGACATCTTCACAATGATTCTTTCTTTGTTACATGTTCTTAGGTTCATACCCCTGATTCTAGCAGATATTGGATTGCTAATTCCTATGAGAAACGGTTTGCTGACGGTCTTGAGCCTGAAAATGTTGATAAGGTATACAATTTGGTTTTTTCCTTCGTTCTGTTATTATTTGTATTAAGTTATTGACTAGTGTGCTACACTCAACGATTTGAACAAGCAAGTATACCGTGGGTTGTACCTTAAGCTCTCTGGTACGGTCCTCTTGCATGTACAGTGTCCTGCTTATTGTGTTCGACGTATATCTGATATATTGTACAGCTTTAGGTGTTCTCAAAACAATTACATGAATCTGAGGTAACATACATTTTCAGGAGTTCCTGAGGCTGTGGTTCAGGAATCATTGCAACCCTTATGAAGACAAGGTGCGCTACCTATCTCTTGTTGTTTACTTATGTTATTGGTTCCTTTTGTTTATTCATAGGAAAATAAAAGCTGTCTCTACGCTGCAATACAAAATTTTCAGGCCCTTCCAGAGGCTCCCGAAGAACTTATTTGTGAACTTGCTTGGCGGTATGTTTTTGTTTGTTGCATCATTGTTTTGGGCCAAGTACATCTCGTATATTCCAGTAGAAGAAATTATCAATTCCAGTGTAGATCGGTCTCTCTCTACTTTCTAAATAAATAAATAATGACTGCCGTAGTATTTGCTTCTCATGATAAATCCCGTAAATTCCTCTTCAACTCAAGGTTCAGGTAGTCTTTTGCCAAAGTGCATCGTTCAGTCAGGACAGGAGAGAGTGAAAGCCATTAATTTGAATTAGTTTTCTGTCTAATTTGCTTCCCTCATAGATGTGAACCTCTCTTATGAGAGTCAAGGGTCTCTCAAACATAGTGAGAAGGATTGAGCTGAAGAATTCCCTTAATCTTTGTGCTGCTATCATTCTCTCTCCTCCACTATAGGACTATGGAGCCCCCACTGATCGTATTGCTATATAAACAGAGGGCTGGATCCTTTTACCTTGAATATAAGGATAGATTTGAGATTTTCTGAGAGACTGGAGCTATTTTGTTTGATTGAGTTTGGTGTTAATTCAGCTTAGCTATGTGTTGACCTGCTCAAAAGAAGATTGCCTAGGACAATAGGTCAAACAAGCTTGGGTGAAATGAAGATGTTTGGAAGGTTTTCGTATTTATAACTATTTAAAGTTTGGTTAGAAGGTTGGGAATTGGGATGCCAGTGCAAATCGTCATTTTTGGCTTGTAAATTATAGTGGACTTGACGAAAACGCTGGTTATTTCAAGATTGAAGTTTTCTTTTCATGTTCAGGATAGGCACACTAGTCGAGCCAGTTGGGGTCAAGAGCTTCCCTGTTTTGGCTGAACTTGGGGGATGTCAGTGGTGCTGTTCCTGCTGAGAATCATTCACTGGTCTGAGCAGGTTTACCTTGGTTGAGTTAGGTTTGGTGAATGTCCTGTGAACAAAATAAAGAAACGTAACGATGCTCATTCAGAGAATGTGAGAAAAGCAAGTGATGGCTGTCAGGGCAGGTAATATGTTATCTAGAGAGTTACTGCCCTCTGAAGAAGTCAAACCTTTTGTTTCTTGATGGCCTGAAAAAGGAAATGTTATGAGAAATATTTGAAATATATATTTTAATGGTGATCTCTAATACTATGCGCTATTTCATTGTATTTCCTGCTGTATATTCCAGTCATTGACCAGATATTTTGCTTGGTAAACTTGGTTGTGAGCTTTGGCTTGACCCAAATCACCAGATTAATAAATGCTACCCAGCACTCTGCCGCTCTCTTCCTGCACTTCCTGCCATATCATTTCTCACTGAAGCAGGCGGCCATCATCATGGAAATTTAGCATGCTTGAGCCTTTTCACTCTCTTGCTTATAAGGGGTCTGAGCTTTTTATCCCATGGCAGATACATTTTCCTCTATGAAACGATCACAAATTCTAAGTTCCAGATCGCACGGTCAGAGGTATTGACCCACAGTAGACGACTGAAACTGTTTCCATGATACAAGCTGAAGCTGGTTGTTCTCTGCAGGAACCCATACATGACAGGATCACGAGGAACGTTGCAAGAGCAATCTCTTCACTGTGAGCAGACTTCTTGGTGGTTTGCTTGAGCAAGATCCTGGTTGATGGGGGGAAGAGAGATTTACAGGTTTCTTTTGGGCCTCTTTATGGCAATGGCTTCAACCCTTTTCCAAACTATCCTTTTCATAATGAAAAGGCCATCTGGGTACACTCTCTGGTGATGTTACTGTAAACAGAAAGAAATCTCCGTCCCTATCAAAATTTATGGAAAGTATATTGCATATGCTTGAAATTTATGTCCTGGGGTGGGTCGCTTTGTATGGAGCAAGAAATGATCAGAGGATCATGAGAATGACTTGCATATCTGCCCCCCTACCCATCAAAGTAAAGACGGCAATATATATATATATATATTTATTTATTTTTCTCCTCCATTAAATGATGATTCATCTCATTTTTATTAGATTATTTGGCATCTTATTGTCTTTTTTTTCTCTTTTTTTTTGTGTATGGAAGAAGAAATGGACTTGCTAGCTTCGGCCTGTGCATGTGGGTCAGAACAGCTGTATGAGCTTGCTGGTAATTTCTTATCGCTATGATGGATCCAAAATTTATGGTTTTGGTGTCAGAAAAATATAAAACGTCACATTCAGATGATTAATCCTGTTCTATTTGCCGCCTTTAAGCCCTTCATAGCCTAGTGCTTGTAGTCGGCAGATAAAGATCTTTGATCTTGACAAAGCGGATATATCCAAAATTATATCAATATTATGATAGGACTCCTAAGATAATGGCTTGAGATTGAAGGAAAACATAGACAGAACAACACAAGAATCTAAGGAAGAACATGCTGAGATTGAAATGAAGAGAGAAAAGAAATAAGGTTGGGTTCCGCAAGAACCCTAGAACTAATTTGGGGATAATAATTAGAGAGCGCCCAAATTCTTCCAAGACGAATTCTAAAAATGCCCATCATTGAGGGCTCATCTAGTGATTTACCTTCCCTCTTTGGGTATAAGTAACTCAAGTAGTAGGCCTGGTAATTGACTTGATACTAGCATATTATTTTGGTTGCATTTCTGAAAATTTTTCAAAGATATTAAATCATTAATGTAAAAGAAAATGTTCATTATGTGCCTAACAACACACATAAATATGTAATAATACAAATAAACTAGTAGGTGGATGTTTGTAGGTAGCTATTAAACTGACATTGGGTGATTGCTTGAGCTTTGGAAAGTGTGAAAATTGGTTCAATACCAAAGGAGTTAATCACATACTTCAACAACTTTTTTCATGGTTATTGTCACATTATATATATTATTTAGGGGAAGGAACAATTACATTGCTATCATCTAGAGGTTCCTCTACAACACCCAAGGAAAGCGCCTTATACTCATTCAATAGTGGTAGAAATGTTTCTCAAACTGTGTAATGAGAGCATGTTTCTCAAACTGATGAGGATATATATATGGAGAGAGAGAGAGAGAGAGAGAGAGAGAGAGGAGAGAGAGATGGGAGGTTTTGGAGCAGCTATGGCAACATAGAACACCACTCTCTGACCACATTATCTGGGAGAGGCCAACTTTAATGCCACTGGAGGTACTGACTATGTATAAATAGGAAAAATGAACGAAAAGACAAGTGAATGCCAAAGATAGCAACAAACATAGTATTCAAAAGAACATCGATTCTTCACCGGGGTGAATGCATTCTATGCAGCTTCCAACTCCATCACAAACGAGCGACATACGAATTGGCTTGCGTTACATACCGCACCCACCGATATGGGTTGTATGTTTTAGATTTTTTTGCTATTTCTAGGTACCTTACCTGCAAGCAGATCAAATTTCCCCAAGGTTAGGTCATCCAGCCACAAATGCAATTTAAATATCACGAGGAAGAATCTACATGGTAAATATCCTCAAAGTAGTCCAGTGTTCATCAAGATTTTTCCACTTTTGGATCACGGAAGATCACCATGGGTTTCTTTCTGAATAACACCAACCCAAAGTGCTACCTTTCCACGGAAAAAGAAGGATACAAATCAGAAATCTTGGTGTAGTGGATGAGCAGGAAGATTACTGACTGCACATTGAAAGGGAACAAGTGTGGGAACAGAATCTTTGGGGTGTTAGAGTCTTTCTATGCCCGGACAATTTGTTCTAGACTCGTTGTATCTAAAGGGAGCAATTCAGCTCCTGCGACTGTAATTCACCGAATATAGAGGACCCAGGGCATACATTGGCAAATCAGAGGCGGGATGAGAGAAAAAGAAATGTAGAGAGAGAGAGAGAGAGAGAGAGAGAGAGAGAGAGAGAGAGAGAGAGAGATGGTGGCCCTGAAGATAAAAGTTTTAGCAATGCTGTCAAAGGTGCAGCCAATGGAGGGGTTCGGTTCAATTAGGGTGGTAGAGGTGTGAGAGCAGAATAACAGAGGATGACAGATAGACAGAGATCTTACTATCTCAAACTATGAATGTAAAGTGTCAAATAAATCTCAAGTAAACGCCTACACAAAGCATTTGCATGTAGGCGGCTGCACCCACTTCCAGAATCCGGCAAAAACCAGCGCTCATAAGCATGATTTCATGTTATTTATTTATTTATTTATTTTTTATGGGATTTAATACAGAAGAAACAACAAAGCGTTATCCCAATGAATTTCAAAGGATCAAATATACACAGAATTCAAACTATATAGAAGATACATACAGGCAAGTTATTAACGATAAGAGATTAGAGAATAATGAATCACAAACCTGAAGCCTGGAAGCGTTGTACATTGGTATTGTGAAAGTCATATTGACAGGCCCCGCTTCCCTCATAATGTTTCCTAGATTATATATATATATATATATATATATAAAATAAAAAATAAAAAATCAATGACTACATCTTTGAAAATAGGGATATAGACAGCTTAATCAGATTCGGTCACTATGTGATATCGAACAATCCATTTATTCATACAAAAGTGGGAAACTAGAAGAGTTTCCTCAAAAACATAAGGTACAGAAAAATAAAATGAAACTGATTCACAGGCCGGAATGGAAGTCCTACCATGTGATTCCTGGTTAAAAGTGAGTTTTGCGCGAAGAGTATGTTCGGATCCACCAACAATCTGGAAATATATACAAAGTTAATGTGTGAATTCAAAGGAAACATAAGTGCTGCTACATTGTGTACTTCATGTTTGGCTGTTCGCTACGAGATTTCACGAATCAAAGGACGAAGTTGTTAAGTTATAACTAATATTACATCAGAAATCTATCTTTCAACAAGCATTACGAATCCAGATGATACAAAGGGACGATAATCCCTAACCTTTTTCAAACCCCATTCCAGTCTCTTCGTTCCTTCCTTGAAGTCAGTGGTGTTCCCAACAGTTCCAGGCTCCAGCTCAAAACTAACCCTGAGGAATTATTGCGACCAGAAAAGCTTATTTGATCTTGCCGAAAAATATTTGTAAAACATGCCAAAATCAATTCCTTCAGAAAGAACTGCTTGCCAAGGGTCATCTTATCTGCCACCAAAAATATAGAAACGGATGGTGCTGTGCTTGAAGAGTCCTACAGTCTTAAATGCAAATGTGCATGATACCATGCGTCAAATTAGAACCAAAAAATACCTTGTTGTGTAAGAGGGCAATGGCATCTGCACCATAATTGTATTTGCTGTGATATTTGAAGGAAAGTCTGCTCTAACTTTAAGAATAACCTCAGCCTGAACTTCACAGAGAAGAAATCATATTCAAACACAATCATAAGAGAGTAAAAATCATAATTTTTAGTCAACTTTGGCACGGGATAAAACTCAACGCTGATACAAAACGAGAAAGATCCAAACCTTCAGAGCCCCTGCTTCTTGAATCAATGCATTTATACGAAAAGGAGGTTTAAACTCCTGGGTCATACGGTAATTCATAACAGGAAATTCTCCATCAGAAGGAATCTGAGAAAAGAAGTATGTGTTAGTGAATACAAAGAGCAGAACAAATGAAACCATGACGTACAAATACCAAAAGATACATGCATGCGAGACCAAAAGAAGTACACACATGGCTGCAAACATAGACAGAAATACACATTAACAAAGACAATAAGTTAACAGATGCAAGAGTCCTCTGTGACGGTGAAACACAGGCTGCATGACAAGATCGAAACATGGCTGGACGAAAACGTAAATCATACTTGTGTATGAGAAAGTACCATGCCTATCAGAAACCTGGCTTAAATATGTGCATCCTGTTTGTACATTTAAAGTACCGAACACTGGGAAAGGTGAAAGTGACATTAATGAAATATGGAGGAGAAAAAAAAAAGTACCAATAAGTTTGCAGCACCCAGGTAGACAGACAAATAACTTCTAACAAGATCAGCATGTCACAGTCTTAAAATCATTCTCTCCCACAAACATGAATGTTGAATAGCAGAATAACAAGAAACGTTTAAGTCCAATATGTTAAACATTCGTCATATAAACTTAAAGCGGTAAACTCACCAATGTCAATTTTCGATCTACCTCAAAACTGTCAAGTTGCACAGACTCGTGAAAGTTACAATCATCAAGTATCACCATCCCACCTCCAGTAGAACTACTATAACCTATGGCACACAAAGAGAAAGTGAAATGTCGATATTTACACAAATAAAAATATATCACGTGAGTGGTTATCTTTAAGAATAATTTGTCAATAAATTGCCGAACGATTTTCTAAGGGAACTCAAAATGTACGGTTTTCAGCTCTGGGAGCCCATATTACACCAACCTTATCAGAATTTACATCAAAATTGATTTGCGTACAGAACTAATATACATGTCAGTCATCATGGATTAACAATAGCCAGAGGAAAAGGGTTTCTGGGTACCATAGATAGAACTTCCATTCCTTCCAATGCTCAGATCCTCATTGAGAGCAAGACGTATTTCTGGGTTCCCTGTAAGATAACTTTTCATTTGGATGGTTCCATCAATCTCTGAGGTAAGTATATACCCCTGTTGACAAGAACTGTTCACATTACATTACTGGTAAATTGTAGAAGATCATTAGTTGCAATAAAAAAATAATTTAAACTTAGCAATAATGAGAGGAAGATAAAAGGGAGCAGGTCCAGAATGTATTTAATACTGCCAACGCATTAAGGAAGAGATTACTTAGTATCGGGCAGCTAAGAAGGTTAAGTGTACAAGTACCAGGCGAAAATACAAGCATTACAAGCTTCATCAACAGGCCAATCAGTTTAGTCAAATCTACATAGGCTTTTGAATCAGTTCTCAGATGATTTGGTCAAGGATTAGCAGATCAGATAATAAAATTATAAAGATGACAATGACCGCCCCACTTGAAAGCGAGAAAACTAATCCCTCTTTCTTTGAATTCTTTTACAATGATAAAATAAGTATTCATTCAAATTATATATCCTTGCTGCCCAAACGTACATAAAAAATGAGAAACTGAAGCATGCGGCTTGAGCAACTGTTACTAAAAACACTCACACTGGAGCTGAATGTCACACTTATCTTCTCTATTACATCCACAAATATTTCCTCCCTCTTCCTCCCTCCAGGTTCAATGGCAATAACAGATTTGGTAACTGCAGTACCTGGCATTTTCTTAGCTCCTTGCTGTACACATGAAAAGAAGTATAAAAGTTAAAATCACCAAGCTTGACTAACACGGATAATCGCTTTTGGTGATTTTGCTTGGCTATACCATAAACATGGCTGCAGGCCCAAGAGCTGGTAAACGAGCTGCATCAATGACAAGTGGTTCATTGAATACATAAGATTTCAAAAGTTCTGTCGATGTTGTTTGAGGATAACCAAAATCCTGTTTACACAGAGCATGGAATGAGTTTGTTAAAAAATTCCAGTTCAAAGAATGGACCAATGAGAAAACGCATGATAAATTGAAACAATTGAAACAGCGAAATTCTATATCAAGGGCTGCAAATAAATTCCATCTGGGCAAGGAAAGCAACAAGTCAAGAAAAAATACGCAAATATCTTTTTTCATTGATGATAATAGTAGATAGAGTTGCACAATTGATCAGCATTCACTGAGTACCATTATTAACCAAGGCATCCTCATGGAAGCCGTGAGAAGTGTAGGCATAATGTGCTCGAGTTTTCAGCTGATGATCCTAAGACTAATGGGCAGCAGACAGGCTGTTAAAAGATGTACCTATCCAATTGTAAGACGATGGCTAGGTGGAGCAGTCATCAGAGAGGACATATTGAAAATTGTCAGGTATTCAGCACTCACCTTCTAAAACAGAGGATCCACTGCGGTTTCACAGAACAGTGGACCAAACAATGCCCAGGCAGACATAATAGGTAGAGTTTTCAGCTCTCTTCATTACAACCAGTAGTCCCACAGTGAGTGGTCACAGGATCAAAAGCAACCCTAGGCTTTATGCCTGTCCATTCACCTACGTTAGGGTTCGATAAACATCTATACTTGAAAAAAGATGATCATAAAAGAATACATTTTCTTCTATGATGACCGGGTGCACAATTTTTCTGGCAAGGATTGTAAGGGATGTAATAAAAGAAGAAGCGCTAAACGAAATAGGCATACGATAGTTCAATTTTTCTCCATGATAATGGAGCTTGAATCAATTAAGTTTGGCAGGCGATGGCAGTGTGTCGTTCAGATAATGTTTAGAAGGAATAGAGCCCTTAAAAGACACCTAGCCCAAACAAGGCGAATAGCTATGCCCCTCTGTATTTAAAAGTACACAGACTATTTTAAGCATATTTTGTTGACCCATATTCAAGCTTTCTAAGTCTACAAAGAATCAAAGCCAAGTAAGAAAATATCACCAGATCTCAGCGACTAGTAAAGGTGAATTTACAATTGACTATAGGCATATCACACGAATCACATAAACCAGAGGATTAAATCTGTAGTTATTTGACTCGTGGCTCAGAGAAATGAAGCTAAAATTGCCTGATCTGACTCAGTTTCCATGGATCATGTTTATCTGACCTTGATTCTAATGCAACAGGATGGAACTTCATGACTAATCATAAGTTATTTGCGACTTAGTTTAGACAACCTCAGGTATCATTCTCTGCTATCTTACTTCGTCATGGGCTCTCACAATAAAAAAATCCAACTCTCTGCGGTGTCCATACCCTCAGAAGAATATAAAGAAGAAAATATTGCAGTTCAAGGTCAAAAGATATTGAATTATCCCTTAAATTTTATAAAACAATGGATAATTGGGGGACTACATGTGGGATCAAAGAATATGTGCATAAAAAATGAGCAAAAAAGTTTTAATTAGTAACCATGAAAAGCTCCTAAAGATAAACATTGCGAACACTCACAATTACTTCATCGAGCAATTCATATACAAGAACAAAATTTTTCCGCAATGAATCCTCATTTAGAACCCCAAGGTAGTCTTTAATGACACGAGCAATTCTTTGCAAAAGTTCCAATACCAAAGACGGTGATACATTAATCCCTGTTGTTGCCACAAATAACAATCCTGCTACTTTCACATGAATATAGTTCACTCCATCCAAATTCTGCAAACACAAGGATTTGAATGTCACTTTTTATTTGAAACACAAATAGAAAGGACGACACGAGAACAGTAGATTATGTAAGCAGCCAAAGTAGTAACACTGAAAAATTACGAAACAAGCTCATGTACAGAATGAACTTGTGGAGAGTGTGCATTGAGAACAATCAGGATATCAACCTATCCAAGAATCATAGATAAAAAGGGCAACACGACTATATATCAGATTACAAGAGCAACCAAAATTGTAACTACGAAAAATTATGTATTTAAAGCAAACTGGGTGTCAAAGTTACGGCAGAAAGTTCACACCATCGGGATAAAGAGAACCGTGTAAATAAAATGGAATTCATCCCATCTTAGGCAAGTCCATACTGAAAAAATGGATGAAAATTGAGCCTAGTTTCAGTTCAAGTTCGCTTTTGCAAAAGGAGTACCAGATACACTTAACATAAAGGTCCTTCAAATCTGTAAGAAATTGAACATAAATGGACCAGAGTAAAGTATCTGCTCATGTACAGAAAGGATTTCGCCGGGCACTCCTACAATATTGAAGTTCCATGAAAGGCAGATTGCTGTTACCCCTGTGAACAATAAGTTGTTAAGCTTCCCCCTAGCATAGAATACCATTTCTCTTGTTTGGGGATAGGAGGCCCAGCAGAAACGTTCTTTAAAAGACCTGCTAGCATAAGGACTGGATAAAAAATGCAAGTTGTTAAAATGCTGAAAGTATAAATTATATATTTTACTTTTTCCGTTCCACATTGTAGAAACCCAGTTTACACCCACAACGCTTGGCAGTTGAGAATGGACAAAAGTGAAAGGGAATTGCTACTGATAGGTTTCCCATCAATGAATAAAGCATGTTGAAATTGAGTGATATTCTCATCAAATAATTTACCACAAGCATAAAGATGTACAGTGATACAAGAATATTGGTACTGATATATTCTTCATCTGATTTCTCATTCAAAATGAGTTTTGCTGAGGTTGAAATCACATTTATCCATACTGAATAAAATGGAGATTTGCATGGGAAGGTACAAGGAGCAAATAAATGCTGATATCCTTGTACCACTGAACATCTGTTGTCCGACATTTTTGAAAAGATTGAAGAAATATGTGGAATGTTAGGGCTATGCAATTGAGAAAGCCACTTCGCATAGTACGAAGCTTAAAGGCACTTCCCACACTGTTCACGTCTTTCATCCACCTGCACCTGCACCTATGTGCACCGAGAAGTTCAAATGGCACGTGGGCTAGAGTTCCTCAACATGTAGCATGTCGAGTGCTGTGTGAGATAATGAGATATATGCAATATATATATATATATATATATATATATATATATATATATATTGACAGAAAGAGAAATAAATTATACATAAGTGTTCCATTAATTGTATTAGCTCAATAAGTTACATCAAGCATTCCTTTATGATTAAGCCATTAATATTATCCCTCTGACAGAGAAAATTTTGATCTAAATATACACGATAATGTTTCCATTTAGATAGAAAGAAGCTTCAGACGAAATATGTAAGAAAGGTAACAAAGGAATAGGACTATAAGGTGCAGGGTGTGGGTGTCTTAGGCTGAAATAGTGCCTAGGGAACTACGTCTCCACTATTTCAGGCAAAAATATTGAACCTGTTGATAACCACCATCAAGAAGTCATTAGCCTTTGATAGCTTCAAATAGATTTCTGACTAGTTGAGAAAGTAAGAGACATGAGGACCTCAAAGGTGCATAATTCTCAAACTATAAACAACATTACAGATAAGTATGACAGTATTTGCGAGCATGGTGTTGTCCTCAACATGGAAAACAAATAGTGAGTCCCCTTCTTTCCCACTTGTTTACGTGAATCTTAGTGTATGTGAAATCAGTGAAATGCTATCTATGCGCAAGTCAATGCGGCATATTACTGCATTTCCATGGTTGATAACCATGAACCACGTTCCATGAACTGTTTGAAGACAACAATCTCAATTTCGCAGCACAAGGTAACTAGTTCAAATTCACATACATATGCAAGGAGGGTTACACAAGGCATATTCAGGAAGAAGTATGGAAATGAGCTAGGTACAAAGAGATATAGCCTCTGATTAAGTCCGTCCTTGCTCTTTCTCTTTTCAAACTGCACTAAAAATATATTTTAATATATTTTGCTTCGTAATAGAAAGCCCAGCCATTTTTTTGAAGTGTTGGTAGAGTCAGCACGTCACAAAGTAGAAAATAACAGATTGGAATAAAAAATAAAGAAATGCTCGAGTTCTTAATAGAAGAGACGTACAATAGATAAAAACTGCTTTTGAGAAGCGTGAGAACACAAACTATTAAAAGAGATGTAAAACATTTCAACAAGAATAATTGAAAAAACTGGTACACAAGCCCGAACAGTTTTCTTCTAACAAATACCTACAAAGATAGGTGGTGCCTCCTCAGACTCCTCTCCCTTCCAGAACTTTACTTTGCGAAAGAATATCTCAGCACTTCCTTTCTGTATTTCACCACGATCTACGTCCACAGTAGCAGAATAAAGGAAAGAAAGATTAGTAATCACAACTACATCTTCAGGATAACACATATCCAAAGAGTAGATATTACAGGCTCCAGAGAAGGACTGTGTGGGGGGGGAGTGGGCGGGCACCACTAAGGGGATGGCAAGGTGAACACAAAAACAGTAATATCTCAACTTAAGCCAAAACGTAAGAAAATTCAAGCAATCCCACAAGAAATGAACCCAATAAAGAGCCACAAAAAGCCACTACAGCACAAAATATCCACTGCAATGTTTTTAAAAATAAAAATCCTGATAAAGACTGGGATCTGGAACGTGCACAAAAATAATAAACATTAAGTTTGAGGGCATTAAGCAATCTACGGCCATTTAAGTTAATTCATCCCTGTAAAAAATATGACACAGTTAAAATTGTTGTCCACTGCCATAATATTTTTGCCATGATACTATAGGCCACAATATCTTCATTAATGGTTTGCAGTTACCGGATATTCTCTGAAAAATATATCAGCACAACCAGTAACAAGTATCTTTCATACCTAAAAACCGTTAGTTATGAACGTAAAATGTCTATTCGAGACAATGATTCCATGATGAGCATTTCAATGGCATTCCTAGTTCTACAGCATACTTATTCACTCTGATGGATGCTCCTTCAATCAAGAATGTGCATGCCTATGTCCATGTTTCTTATTGGTATAAAGAATTACAAGCACAATCCTCATGCCATCTATATATGAAATGTGGAGAAAATACCTGTCAAAATAGGGTTTTAGAAAAATTACATGAGAACTTTTATAGCGCAGATATGAAGATTTATTCCATCTCATCGACGTCATTTACTTTAGAACGAAAGGCCATCTATAATACGAACATCTATAACATAAACAAGAAAACATTGCTATTCTCTCTCTTTGACATGGATTCACAGCCAACTTCAACATGTCATTTGTCTCCAGTCGTAGCCATAAAGAACCTCTAGAAAGTCTAAAGGAGAATAAGTAACTAAATCTTTATTGATGCTTATAATGAACACGAAGAATCTACTTTTTACCACTCAAATTATTGAGCTGACCTTGTTGCTTCCTAAAGAATGATCGATATCGTTGATATTTTATATGCTAAATAAGAAGGTAGTGTCAGCCTATCATTAAGCCTATTACAGAACCTAACAGGAAATTTCCTTCCACTGGAATTCCCAAAAAATTACCAACATTTATAAAGGCAATCACCAGGGGGAGAAAGAGACCATCGACACGACCCTCGCCCAGAGGCCACAGGGCGAACCTCGCATTTCCTAAAAACTATACGTTACGATCACCAAGGCGCTAGGTACTGATCGATCTCAATGAGATCAACTGACAGGGCATCGTCCAGAAGACCATGCGGGGCCAGATCTGCGACTAGACGAAGCAGAAAGCCACCGCACACTACGACTTGGGGAAGCGGGGGGGAGGTGGAGAGAGAGCATCATACAGTCGCGGAAGACGATGTTGTCGCCCCTCTGCGACAGCACGAAGAATTGAGAGATCATGGCCTCCGATCACCGGCCGGATCCTCGTCCGCCGCCGCTCCTCCAGCGCCAGCACTAATCGCCGACGAGGAAGGTGAGGGGGGGGTCTGTTTTTCACATGGAGGCGTTGCTGGTTGCTTTCCCACCGTAAATCCCGTGTACCCTCATGCTTGATGGTGGAACCCTCATATAAATTTTCATATTTTTGAAATAAATAGATTACATTTAATGATCATCAGGTGCAGTGCAGATACACATTGGTCAGATTACCGCCCTTCTCACGCCCCTTGGACCCCATGTTCGAACGGGGACAAATGCCGCCGCTGACGGTGACCACACTCCACACGCCACTAGGTCCCCATCCCCGCCCACCGTTAAAACCGTTACCGTCCATACAGACGGCCGGTCAACTTTTTAGAGTTTATTATTTAATAAACCAAATACTATTAATAATACTCTCTCTCTCTCTCTGCCCTTTCAGTCAACAAATATTAGTAATTAATCAATCCTCTGTTCTGTTCTCTCTCCCTCTCTCTGTCACTCTAGAAGTGTTGTGGGGGGGGAGAAGGGGGAGGGTGGTGAGGAGAGAGAAACAAGTTCCGATTAGGTTCCCCAGCAACCAAAACTCACCATCCCTCTCCACTCTCTCTCTCTCCGCTTCCTCATCCATCATCCTCTTCCTCTTCCTCGAACCAGACGGCCGGCAGATCCTCTCGCCGCCGGCGTGGTGCAAAATCCGCCTCCGCCGTGCTCTCTCTCTTTCTTTTTCTAAACCTCGGACGGATCGGGGTTCTTCTTCCTCTTCGGTTCCGGTGAGTTTTGCTCGGGGATCGACTGAGAGCCAGCGGTGGTGTCGTCGCTCTTGTAGCTCAGGCAGGCGGCGTCCAGCACGCCGATGGGGCTCTGCGGAACAGATCCGGGCGCACCAGAGCCGGCGGCGGCGGCGGCGGCGCCATCCTTCGACGGGCGATTCCCCGGCGCCGCCGCGTCCCGCAGCAGCTCCAAGCATCTCAGCACCCTCTCCTGCGCCACCGCTCGCCGGAATTGATTGTCATTATCATCGACAGAGGAGAAGCTTCTCACATAGAGAGAGAGGTGAGAGAGGGACTGGACTGACCTTGTCGAGATGGACGCAGCGGCTCAGCAGCGCTCCGGAGACCTCCTCCTCAGCCGCCGCCTCGAGCTCAGAGATCGCCACCGCGGCGGCGATCTCAGATGGCCGGAATTCCAAGAAATCGATCCCTGCAGTCGACCGAGAGATCATTTCCAGAGAGAATCGAGGAGGATGAAGGAGGACGAAGACGGAGGGCGACGACGACGAGCAGGTAAATCCTAGTTTCTAAATTTGGGAGCAGAAGGTGGGCAATGCAGACCTCTGGTCGTCCGGAGGATGAGGTCGACGGACCGGGAGATGGACGCCTCTCCGGGGGACTTGCCGCCATTGAAGCTGCGGAGGAAGTAGTCGAGGAAGGAGAAGGGGGTCACCGCCTGCATCCGCCATTGGAGGGTGCTGAGCACCAGCAGCTCCATCCTCTGAATCGTCCTCGCCTCGAAGACGAACTTCGCATCGCCAACCTGTCAGATCGTCAGAATCTCCACCATCAGACTAAACCGCGGATTCGATCTGAGGAAGAACAGGAACAGGAGTGAGGACGATCGATCGGGGATCTTCTTCCACCTGTAAATCCAGAGAGAGGGGGACCTCCGCCTCCTCCATCTTCGCCGCCAGCGACAGGCACGCCACAGACAGCAATTGGATCATCCACGCCTTGCCCTGCTGCAACCAGGCGATGGAACCACCATGAGGATCATCTTGAACTGAAGAAGGAAGGTTTTAGAGAGAGAAAGGGAGGGAGCTTCTACCGGGAGCTCGTACAGAGAGAGGAATCTGTCCAAGTAATTTACAGAGAGGTAGCCACTGAGAGGCCCAAAGCTGTAGTGAGCGTGGACCTGAGCAAGAAAACCAAGACGGACCGCCATTAATGAAAGCAAAGCAATGAGAGAAGCGAAGAACAACTAAGATGGGGCGCTAAAAGAAGGATCTTTGATCGAAAAACGAAGATGATAGCTATATACGCAGCTAGAACCATGCTTCAAACCATCAAATCCGGAGGCGTCTCTGAAAATGCCCAAGGAACACAGAAAAGGAAAAGAAAAACAGGAGGAAGAAGATGATGATGACAAACAAGATGAAGAAGAAGAAGATGATGACGACGACGACGATGATGATGATGATGATGATGACGATGAAGATGAAGATGAAGATGAACAGACCTTGCAGATCCAATCAATGGCGTCCCTTCGGAGCGACAAGTCCAAGGCTCCGGTTTGCAGACGGGTGGCATAGTCTTCGCGGGGAAGATGGTGGTGCTCTCGGAGAACCAGCATCGCCAGACACTCCTCCGTCTGCAGATGGAAACCCGCCGGAGCTCCGCCGCCAACGGCGGATCTCCGGCGGCGCCGCCGGCCAGGGGGCAGCCCGCAGCCGTCCTCGTCGTCGAGGCCGAGGATGCTGCGGTTGTCCTCTGCGCACAGGAGAATGGCGGATGCGCAGTCGTAGTAGGCACTGCCCATCCCCCCCAAAAGCCGGAGCAAACCCTTCTATGAATCTACCGCCATGAACCCATCCAGACCTCTAATCTTCCACAGAGATGCACAGAATAGAGAGGTCTAGAGAGAGAAACAGAGGGATCCGCCCCCGCTCTCATACAAGGCGTTTCCCACTGCCCCCCACTGTGAGCAGGAAATGTGGGCGGACTAAGAAGAAGAGGAAGAAGAAGGAGAAGGAGAAGGGGCGAAGAGGGCTATTTGTAGGGCTCACCACATCTCCAGAAACCCCCCCCTCTCCGCAGTTGAGAGAGAAAGAAGAGAGAGAGAGAGAGAGAGAGATAGAGAGAGAGATAGAGAGAGAGAGGAGAACGTCTAGGGCAGTGGCAAGAAAGCATTGGGAATCATTATAAAACAGCCCCCCAACGAGACGAGTAGAGAGAGAGAGGGGGCCCCCCTTCCCCTTTTCCGGGTTTCCCTCTCTTCATGAACCTCTGGAAGGAAAGGTTCCTCGGATTTAGGGTTTTCCCCAGGAAGACGACGCAGGAAATCGAATTGACGGCTCCTGATCGAAGTCTCCGGAACCCGCGGGCCCCACAACAAGGCAGGAAAAACCCCCCGGGTGCCCAGACCACAATGGGCCTCACCTGGGCCCACAAAGCCAAAAAAATCGCCCATTAATGAAGGTTCGTGGGCTAAACCCTACTTATGGGTTTTGACTTTAATACCAGTGTGGGATTAAATCTGAAAAAAAACTAATTTATTAAAAATTATAATATTTATTTTTAATTATTAGAAGTCCTCTTTTATTGAACCCACCCCGCATTTATTCATGGGATCAGCCACATTAATTATTTATTCTATAATAATAATAATAATGAGTAGAAAATGATATTCGGATGACTTTATGAGTTTCCTTCAAAATAAATAATTTCTGACTTGGGCCAAAATTACATAAATTTCTCTCAAAAATATTATGAAGACTCAAATTTTGTAATGGACGTTTTTATTTGGGATTTAAGTGGTAAAACTATTTTTTTAATTATGGGAGTTCCTTGAAGATGTCTAAGTATTTCATTAATTAGTTGAAAAAAGATATTCGGATGACTTGTGAGTTTCCTCAAAAATAAATAATTTTTGAATTGGACCAAAATTATATTCCTAATTTTCTCAAAATTATTATAAAAGACTTAATTTTTGTAGTGGAGGTTTTTATTTAGGAATGTAAATCACAGAAAAAAATATTTTTTGACTTATGGAGTTCCTTGTAGATGTCTCTAGATTTCATTAATAAGTGGAAAAAAAGATATTCGGATGAATAATTAAAATTAATCAATTTGTGAATTGGGTCAAAAATATATCTCTACTTCTCTCAAAATTATTATGAAGACTCAATTTTCGTAGTGTAAGTTTTTATTTCTGAATTAAATAGTCTGAAAAATCTATTTTTTGAATTAATTTGGGAATTATGGCGTTCCATGTATATTTCTCTATATTTCATAAATATTCAGCAGTTACTGTCCCGAAATTGGCTCATAATTCATTTTGAGAATTCTTTATAGACATACATCAGAAGTTGTCGGTTCCTCTACCATTGGGGGGACTTTCTTTGGCGTTGATCTTATAATCTTCAAATACTTCAACGGCTATGATTTAAACTCAGATAATATGATGGTCGGATATCTCCATGAATATTCATACAACATTTTGAATGCTTATAGAGAGAGAGAAAGGGAGGGAGAGAGAGAGAGAGAGAGAGAGAGAGAGAGAGAGAGAGAGAGAGAGAGAGAGAGAGAGACCTCAAGAAAAGTATCAGGGCAGAAGTAGTGACCTCAAGAAAGTGGGCTCTGGTGTTTGAGCATTGGGCCGCGCCGGGATTGAGATTATTTGGGCTGTAAATTTTGGGCCCATAATGGTCCATTGAAAACCCTCAGATGAATAATTAACTAGTTAACACTCGAGGAATTGTTTTTTCATTTTCGTGAAGATCGTCTGCTCTGAGGTTGGTCGGAGCTCCGCGGCGGGAGATGGCGGGGACCTCGTTCTTCACCGGTATACTTCGGCGCTGCGTCTCCCGAAACCCTAGTTCCACTACTGGAGCACTGTCTACTGGTTGCTTCCTCAGGACGGTGTCGTCCGGCCCCATGAGGAGTGCGGACGCCGGGGAGGTGCCCACGTCTCTCGCGTTGCCGGAGGACAGCCTGCGAGATAGGATCTTCCGGCTGCGTTTCCCAAAGCGGAGTGCCACGGTCGCCCTCGAGAAGTGGGTCGGCGAAGGGTGGAATGTGACAGCGGGGGAGCTTCGTCGCATTTCGAGGGAGCTGCGCAGAGCGCAGAGGTACAAGCATGCCCTCGAGGTTAGTATGATTTTTTTACTTTTTTTTCTTTCTCTCTCGTGTTCGTTTTGCTTTGGATATATTTGGTTCTTTTTCCTGTTTCTAGTGATCTGCTGTCATTTATGTGAAAATTATGGGATTACTCTCTTCTGAAATCTACGTCCGGATCTATCGTACCTTTCCAAATTACAAAAAATGTAGTGAAGCTGATGAACACGATTATAATGCAATACTGCGTCATATATTTAGTGTAGACGATTATACAATTTGGAGAACGAAGAAATCGTCCTGTACTCGTTAGTATTCTACATATTGGGACAATGTGGATGAGGATGTGGTGTAGATATGAGATGGGGATCACAAGGAAGATGGAGGGAGATAAAGTGGTAACCTTATGGGACGAGATTTTATCTGCCTTTCTACGAACTGGCTGAAGTAGATACTTGCCCGGCCCAGAAAGAAGAGAACCTTGATTTTTGGGAGAGAATAATAAGAATGAATGCAGGTATGTCTGAGGGAGAAACAGTGCTGTGGGTGGGGGGGGATGGCGTGCCTCAAAGCACTGGCTTGACCCCCCATTGGCTACGTAGTCTGCTATGTTACGATCTGAGATGCCTCTTGTATGCCTAAAAGAGAACCAAGACACTATTAATTTCGGGGATGTCAGATTGCCTGGACAGGCGTAAACAGTACCTCCCCAGAAGGATTTGATAATCTCGTAGGGTACTTTATGAAGCACGAATTAAAACGTTGACTTTAAATTCGAAGGGTTCTGAATATTTGTGAGGTGGATAATTTCAAAGGGTTGACTTTGGCTATTTATATGAAAATTTTGATTGCAAATTTATTTTGATTGCAAATTTTGGATAATTATGTGAATTACCTGGCAGAGAGTCACACGTTTCTTGGTATCTAATAAGCGGGACCCTTGATTGTCTACGTTTTATCTCTTGTGGATAATATGCCTCATATCATAAACTCTTACGTGCGAATCTAATAAAACTGCATTTGCTCAGTCCTTTATCATTTCATGTATCATGTAATGGAGGCCTTCTGCTTCTCTTGGAATGCCCCCTGCAAAAAAAGAAAGAGCTCACTCATGATTCAAATATAAAATTTTCCACGTAGTCTAGTGGATAGACGCCTTTTCTATGCACATGATGGAGAATAATGGGATGTTCATAGAATCAAGTTTGTTGTGATAACACAAATCTCATAGCTTCTATGTTGGTTTAGTTTTCCGGACAACTTATGACACAGTCCAATAAGCTGGATGAACATTTTTCACATGAATGCCCTAGGATTAAGCAAGGTGCGAACCATCCAATTTGTTCAGTAAGACGTAAGCGAAGGCTCTCATTTCAGCAATGTAGGATGATGACTCTACAAAAACTATTGAATGGAAAGTTAAAAAAATATCCTAGAGTACTCAAGATTAAGAGGACTCTGTAGTAGCCTTCTAGCTTGAGAAAGGAACCTTAAAAATTAATGCTCAAGTTTCTAGGATAGCCAGCTCGAAAAGACCTGCCTTAAGCTTCTGTGAACCTTTCATATATAGACGACAACTTTGTTTGCTATCAGTTGATGGTCATCTTAAGTTGCTTATGCTTGAAAATGAATAGTTTTCATCATGAAATTGCACCTGAGAAGAGATATAGGTCGACTTCATTTAGAACTTTCTTATTGACTGAAATTTGTCAAGTCGACCTGGACATTTGACATGCTGACCTGACTGTAGACTCGAATTACTGTGATATTAAGAGTCTCAATTTAGCACATAATATGTCAATCAATTCGTCATCTTGAAGAACATGTTTGAGAATTTAACTATCACTAGATCTGAAAAATTTTCTTTTGCATCACAGGATGCAAGTTTTATACCAAATATCAGTAATAATTTAAACAATAAACATAGGTTTTCTCCTCATGAAAATACTTACATTCCAGATAATCAAACTCCAAAAAATATTTGCTCATGTGTTGAGGCTTGGAAGGTAGGAAAGCCTACCTTTACTTCAATATAACATCCAGCACTAAATGATCTTTTTTTCACCATCTTTCTGCATCTAGTGCTTAGTAAAAGGTTGTTTTAAGGAAACATTGTGCAGTTATGTTTTACGTCCCATCGTCAGCTACGATTCAACTGTTTTTCGAGACAATGATTTCTGATGTTATCTTGGATCATAATTGCTCCTTCTTAATAAATCTCGAACTCTGAAATGCTGATGTATCTTTTTGTGTGCAAATTTTGGGATTATATTAAGAATTCATAGTTCAGTGTGATGGCAGACATTAATTTTTGTGTATTCAGAAAAATAAATTCGATAACCTATGAAACTTTCGCGAGTTTGCAGATATCTGAGTGGATGATATCTCATCACGAGCGTGAGTTGTCAACAAACGACTATGCAGTGCGGATAGGCTTAATCTCTAAGGTTTTTGGTGTTGCATCCGCCGAGGAGTTCTTTGAAGGTCTCCCATCAACAGCAAAAACATGCGAGACGTACACTGCTCTCCTCCATGCCTATGCTAGTGCCAAACTTGTGGAGAAGGCTGAATTTTTGTTTGACAAGATGAAGGAATTAAGGATCACGATAAATACTCTTACATTCAATGAGATGATGACGCTGTACATTTCAGTTGGACAGGCTGAGAAAGTTCCCTTAGTTGTTGAGCAACTGAAAAGTAGCAGTGAGTCGGCAGACATATTTACCTACAATCTCTGGATAAGTGCATATGCTTCCACAATGGACATTGATGGTGTGAGAAGGATTCTTGATGAGATGTCCTGTGATCCCAACGGTGACAATGGCTGGAAGACGTACATCAAGTTGACTGACATATATATTTCTACAAGCCATCTTACAAATATGACCCATTCTCCAGTTGAGGCTAAAAATATCACACAGAGAATGATAACGTACGATTTCCTCGTGATTTTGTATACGGGTCTGGGTAACAAGGAGCAAATTGATGAGATATGGAAATCCTTACGGATGACTTTCAAGAAAATTGCCAACAGAACTTATGTCTGTATTCTTTCTTCCTATCTTATGCATGCACATTTGAAAGAAGCTGGAGAGATCCTGGATCAGTGGAAAAAAGAAAAGGACTCGGAGCTTGGCAATTCCATATGTGACTGGCTGTACAATGCTTTTCTGAAAGCTGATTTGACATCTGTAGCAGAGACATTCCATCAGTTGCTGTCAGAGAGAAATCCTGAGCTTCTTGATGTTCCTGAGAAATCATGAACTCCACTGTCAAATCTGTAATTTTTGGACGACAGATCAAATTATTTTGGTCATATAACTGAGGATGAGAAAATGGAGGGCAAGAATTCTCTCAAAGTTGATATTCTCTTATGACGCGTTGCATGAACAGTTCTAGATGACGTTTTGACTTTCGTCTTTGAAATTTTCAGAAGGCTATTTAGTGATGTTTGGATTTTCCAGTAGCTATTTTCCAATTTAGAAGGGGGATTGGAAGTGGATTTTTTTTTTTTTTTTGGCAGTTTCAAACCATTCATACTTAATGGTGTGTTCTCATGTTCATGATTCTGCTCACTATGGTGACTACTTTTGATGGGAATCAATGCCCATTTGCTAGGAAAGAAAGTATGCTATTTGTAGCCTCTTTGCCCCCAGCGTGTACCACATGGATATTTACACAAATAATATTTCCTTGTTCAAACTTTTGTTTTTCCTATGATTTTGTTAGTGACAATGCAAAGTGACGCCTGTGTTATTTTCATTTCACTGAAATAACTTTTTTTTATCAAAGTCCCCGTTTTTTTTAATCTTTGGTGATCATTGTATTATCAATTTCTTTTATCTGCAGGATAGCTAAGCAATCCAATCTAAGTATATCCTTCATCATGCAGATTCTGACATGGATGGAATCCCATGGCAGCTTCTCAGTAACGCCATCTGATTATGCCCAAAAGTTAGAATTGATTGCTGAAGCCCATGGCTTACAGGAGGCAGAGGCCTACTATGCAAGTATACATTGTGATGCTCCATTGGATGCCACTTCTCTTTCGCTTCTCCATTACTATGTAAAGGAAAGGCGGATGACTGAAGCTGAGGCTCTCATGATGAAGCTTAAGAAAATGGGTCTGTCAACTCCTCAGCCTTTCAATGATATGATGAAGCTTTATATGGCCGTGGGTCAATATGAGAAGGTTCCACTTATAATTCAGGAGATGAAACGTGATATGATCCCCCTGAACGTACTCTCATACAACATTTGGATGAATGCCTCTAATGAGATATCTTCTGTGCCTTCTGTGGAGGAAGTGTACATGGAAATGGTCAACGACAGCAATGTGGAGGTGGGTTGGAGCACATACTCTACTTTGGCCAACATCTACACAAAGCATGGTCTAAAGACAAAGGCCTTTGCTGCTCTGAAAGATGCTGAAGACCGGCTATCTATGAGAAATCGTCTGGGTTTTTTCTTCCTCATCACCATCTACGCTGCTCTTAATGACCGAAACGGCGTTCGGAGACTGTGGGAAACCAGCAAGAAGGTGGCGGGGAGAATCACTAGTGCAAACTATATGTGCATAATCCTTTGCTTAGTGAAGGTTGGTGATATTGGAGAAGCCGAGAAGGTCTTCTTGAAATGGGAGTCAGAGTGTAGAAAATATGATATCAGGGTGCCCAATGTGCTGCTGGGTGCCTATGTCAGAAAGGGCTGGATGGACAGAGCAGAGAGCTTGCACTCACACACACTGGCGAAGGGTGGGCAGCCGAACTACAAGACGTGGGAGATTCTGATAGAGGGCTGGACTGCAAGCAAGCAGATGGATAAAGCTGTAGATGCCATGAAGAAAGGGTTCTCCTTGTTAAGATTCTGTGCATGGAGGCCGTCTGATGAGGTCAGGCTGTGCATCATGGAGCATTTTGAGGAGCAGGGGGACGCCGACGAGGCCCGGAGGTACATAAAGGCTCTGCGTCGACACAGGCTCATGACTCTGCCATTGTACAAGTCATATCTACGAACATGTGTTCGTGCTCAGAGATCAGTTCCCAATGCCCTTAAGATGACCCGGGTGGATAGAGTTGACTTAGATCAGGAAGCATTGACTCTTATCCAATGTGTAGGCGAGCTGGGGGTTGACTTAAAAGAGAATCAGCCTTTGCCTGAGGATGGGAAAATGTGAAGAAACTCTGGTTTGACTCTAAAGAGATGGGCATATCCATTGAGGATATGCTCTTGATAATTATCAGGGGCGAGCATGGTAGGATGATTCAAGTAGTTTCCCTATCAGATTAATACCAGACATCCTCATCTCCTTCTATATCGAGATAGAACTTGTGAGTGTTGCCCTCATGAAGATGCTGCAACCAAGAAGCTTTTCATCGGCCAGCTGATTCCCCTACTGGACCTGGAGCAAGTCTGAGAAGTTTGATAAACTCTTGGATCTTTACCAAAAAAGTTAAGCCGACCCACCCAAGATGCGATCAACCCAACAGCAGATGACGATATTGATGATGATTGCAACGACTTTCAGGCCAGTACGATCTGATATCATCCGTTCTTAATTCTAAGGAGAGCCCTAGCCAGGGGTAGATGAGATAGATTATGATTCATCTGATGAGGCTGTGGTAGGCCTTCTGGGTTAGTTTCCGATGGTGTGGCCATGTGGTCTGGTCTGTTGAAGGAAGTTCAGCTAGGTGGGATGACTCACGATCATTAAATATGAGCCTTTCTTGTCTGCACGGGCAGGTCAGCAAAACCCTGAAGAATCAGTGTTTGAAAATTACCAATTAAATGGTTTATGATATTTTGATCTTCATTATAGTTCTGTAGTGCATTTCTTAAGTTAGGTCTATGGATATAACTGTTTATTTTTTCATTCCACTTCTTGCATTATAAACGAAAGACTGCAATGCGCAGGTAGGATTGATGATCAGAATGTACCAGTTATGGTCTGATTAAGATAGGGTACGGTATGAACATAAATGTAAGAACAAAACTTCACCAGAAATGGATTTATTATTCTCCTTTTATTTTATTTATTGCACCACAAAAATGAAATGCGGATTATATCCCTTTTCAAGAAATATTGAGTTCAGATTGAATTTTTTGAGCCAATCGAAGAGCATATGTACAGGGGTTTACATGGCATTAACTGTTGTTGTACCCTTCGTATATACAGCCATCAAGAATTGGGCAATGGATCACTGACAATTCAAATGACCTTTGAGGGGGAATTTTCTCGACATTTTGAGCAATTTATGAAGAATTAATCTGATTCTTTTGAAAAATAATAATAATTAGCAATTGCTTGTAGTAATTTGGGCTGATGATATAATTTCATTCACCTGAAGTGGCATTTTCATCGAGGGTTGATGTTTGTGCTACAACATTATCTGCTTCAAGACCGGATTCAGAAGAACAAAGTTTGAGAAAACAGAAATGTCTTAGACTAATGCAATCCTCGATTAATACTTCTCCAACAAAACTAGTTAAAAACAATTGGTGATTATCCTGCTCATGATGATTATATTTATCCAAGCGCCAAGGATTATCCTTCTCATGATGATTGCATTTTGAGCTGTTCACTTCACTGTGCTCTTAGGTTCACCAAAGAAGGAGAAACTATCATTCACTTGAGTGATCAGAAGTCTCATAAGAACAACCAGACAGGCCAATCCGATAAAATCTGATTCAAGAGACCAATTTTTTTGCAAAGAATAATCATACAGGATTCAACATGAGAAAATGAAGCTAATATTTTCATTCATTTTTGTGAGGTTGAAACTTGGAGAATTCACTGGGGCTGAGCAAACAGGAGCTAATCACTGAGCAGAATAGATTCATCTTCGAACGCATATCTTTTGTATGATGACTTATGCATGACAATAGGAGAGTTTTTGAATATTTTGGATATTAATTACTGTTGAAAACGAAACCTGAATTTACACCGAAGATAATATGTCAGAAAGAAATCTATTGCAATAACCAGTAACTGGTCCTAGTTCTTGTAAAATATGATTTCTCTCCCATAATCAGCAGTGATTGTTGTCTCCAAGCCATCAAGCTTGTCATAATCTACCATGAACGTCAACATAGCAAAACCATCTCGTCCAGTATCATAGTCCTGCTTGGTGTCCTCAATTTGAAAAGATTGAAGCTGCCAATAGAAATAAATATGGGAGCCGAGTGAAATTCAGAACTAAAAATCAATTGATCCAGGTAGATATAGTATTTAAAATCAGTTTCATCGTTAGGTAACAGAAAAAATTACTTCTTTCTTCCATGATAGGGGATGGGAATCGTCAGTCTAACTGGGTTCATGTTTCAGCAGCTAATTCTCAGGAACAGCAATCAAAGGGAAACGAGTGATCTTTAAGAAGAACAGACCATATGCACACAAAATTTTAAGATAGAAGATGTTACATAATCAATACTGAAGTATAATCCATTAGATGGTACACTGATTGATGAGAAAAATGCATCAATATGAGACATCAAGAAGGTTCAATGAGAGCAGTTGTAGAATCAGTGCATGAAAAAATAGATTTCGCCTACTTCTATTGATTAGACAATGAATTAGAACCCCATTTGTTGAGGAAATATCTTCTGTCTCTCTCTCTACGAGCACTGGAAAGTATCACTCATCAACCTCCCCTTGTTCCTCCCTGCCGTGTGAGCACATTTTCTCACCAACCAGGAATTCCTTGGATGATCACTGCACTCTCATGCCACTAGACATCCTGAACTGATGCAGCTGAGAAAGTGGCCCACCTTATTCCCCCATCTAGTCCAGAGAAACGCTTTCACCAGGAAGCTCAAAGACTTGACAAGACTGCCCTCCCACCCATTTGATCGGCTCACCTGATGACTACCAGCCATTGGAGTTGTCATAATATCTAAGTATTCCAGCACGGAATAATCAGAAAGAAAATCTGCATCTAAATAATAGCACATAGAATTTGCATTTTTATACGTCAAACAAAAAAATAAAATGCATACTTGATAACTGTAAACTGATTAATAACCAAAGGTTTCCATTTCCAAACTAACCTGATGATACACTGATCCTAATATACCAAAGGGCACCTCCAGACCAATGCGAATCTGCATTATAAATGTGTGTTACTTGTATAAGCATCAACACAATATATTAAAAAATCGGTAGACGTTTTTCCCTTGATCCATCAAGTAGATATCAAAAGCTTTTACTGTTGTTGATGAGGACTTGGACTCTTTACTTCATGTGAGTGTGTTTCTATTTAATAAGAAATTAATCAATCTCCTCCAAACCACTGTGATCTAGTCGTGACAAGAAACTTAATCAAAGGGGGCGTGTGCTGAATCAAATCCCCAACTTCAAAGGATCTTACTTTGGGTTTAACGAAGCATGTTGAAACGTTTTTGAGACATTCTGATGCAATGCCTCCGTAAGCCCTGACCAGTCCACCAGTTCCCAACTTTATACCACCAAAATACCTATACAGAATGAAAATACATGAAAAAGAGAAACTTTAATTCGTCGTCCACCCATTGGAAGTGATCAATTAAGTACAATACAGGAGGGTTTTCAAAAAGAGATCATTATAATCATGCCATCAGATCCGGAGCATTGATTCCCCATAACAAAATATGCTAGCTCAATCTCTCAATTGCCTGTCCTGTGCTCTGAGAAACATTCAACGTTCATCATAGTATGCTGGACAACAATGAGATTCAACTTTATAATATCTGCACTCTCTTCACTGAAAATATGATTGGATTCAAGAATTTATCCCATCTGTGAATTTTGACAAAGAGAAAGGACGTGGTTTTTCAATATTTGAGGAGGCAAAAAATATTAGAACGCCAAAGATGAAGAACGAATGTGCTGTGTACCCCCAAATTCTTTATCATCCAGCAAAAATAGTTCTGAACGTGCTAAGCTTCTCCATCAACTGTGTAGCCATAGGAAAGTAGCTGGGCCTGGACTTGGAAGCCGTCGATTAAAACTATTATCTCAGTTACTGTAAAGATATCTTATAATTTAAAAACTTTTAAAGCTAGACATAGTCTCTATTGTGTTGGGATCTTTCCTGAGTCATGATGACTGATTCAAAGAATCACTTTGGTATTCTAAAGAGAAAAATATGTTTTCTCACTTAACTTGTAAAAAAAAAAAAAAAAAAAAAACAAAGATAGAAGAACAGAAAGAAATAAATTCAAAGAGACCGCAACTCCACCTGATAACCACCACCATGATCATATCCAATCCGGAAGAGAAGATGGCAGAATATATTGGTTTACCAGCCGTACCTGATGGTTCACCATCATCATTGCACCGATACTGATCTCCAAGCTACATAGTGAAACATGCCAACTCACAGAAAAGGAGAAAAATAGAGCTAACCGTTGTGATAAATCATTAAAACGAAGGTTTTTTTTTTATATTGATCAAGCTAAGTGGCATCAATCACCTTATAAGCCCAGCAGTTGTGTGTAGCCTTCGGATCTCTAACCTGAGATGCAACATGTTACAGAAATTGATTGATGAATGTAGATGAATCAGGCACGAGACTGACTGGAATTAAGAAATTTACGAATTGAAAATTGAGTTTCTATTATTTTTGGTGACAACCTAATGAATGCTGCAGAGAAAACATGGATAGAAAGAAAGAAGGAAAATGAAAAATTCTCACCATTTTCAACTTTCTTCCCACTTTAATTTCGTTAGCTAATCGATGAGAAATTAATCGCATACTGAATAGATGACAGTCCAACGCAATATGTGACAAATTCCCCTAGTATGAAAGAAGAGTCGCTACCATTTTTTAACTTCTGTACAATATGATCTTGATTCCCCTAGTAGTAACAAACTTATCAATAATAAATCTGGTAAGCATCCTAACATAAGCGTCACAACCAGGTTGCCAAGATTTCTTTCTCTGGGTTTACTCCTAAGGTAAAAACCATGAGCGTGTTTCTATCCCTAGCTGTGGGAACCACATGTGATGATAGTGGCACAACAAATCGAACAGGCCCAGGTGTCACAGACGGTCTGCTGCTAGCTTTCCAAACTGCTACTTACTGTTTGCTTCTTGCAGGGCGAACCGATAAGGGGGAAGAAGATACTAAATAGATGGAGATGGAACAGGAAAAAGAAGCAGCAGAAACAGTGATTGGCATTGATAGATGATTAGGCTTAAAACGTTCGATGAAGATTTAAGTGAGAAACATAGCAACATACTCGAGCTATGACTTGTTCACTTATTGAATAAATGAATTTGATACCACCCGTTTCAATGTTTTGCGCAGATGCCAATTCTTAAGAAGATGGTTTCTCTTTATTGAGGGAAACAATCTCACGGTCTTACTAGCTCCAAGAAAACAGATTAACTTATTATGTCACTGGTTCTACACGATTTATATGACATAGTACAAAACACGTCTTAAACACTGTATAATATCGAAGGAGATCCACAGATCTCCTAAAATGGCATTTCTCTTCTATCGTCAATGAGCACCAGATAAGCTAATTGATCAAATCATCTTAAAACCCAACTGAAGAGTATGATTCCTACAAGGAATTATTAAACGAAAAAAAATACTGGTTCTTGTCAATAACTTCATAAAACTTCATTATTGTTAGATAAAACGCCTAAAAATAATGGGAGCTTTCGGCCTAACATTTTCCATGATCAGCAGAAAAAATAACCATGTAATCGACATCACAAATAGGTGCTATATGAAGGCATCACATATTTTCTCGGATCAAATTAAAGGGGGGAACCAGAAAAATTTGTCCCTGGAATCAACAGTTCAAAATCAATAAAGAAAACCATGGGAGGGTGGGTATACATAAACACTGCTATCTGGTTCCTTTCTTAACCTGGGAGGGTCTAAAAGAGATAGAAACCTGACACGAGGCGACTAGAGCATAATTTCTTCAGTTGCTAAGGGGAATTCGATCAGAGTAGAAGGAACAATCAGGTGTTCAGACATCACAAAGAGGGATCAGTAGAAACTACTCTGTCGAAAATTCAGCCAGTCCAATCATTTCATTGGATATCGAAACACGTTCCGGAGATTAAATGTAATCGACCCTTCACATTGGTCGGAGCCAATTTGGCATCGCAGAGAGGACGCCAAGTTCCTTCACGAAGTTAATTGTACAGGAACATGAAACTCCCTCCAGTATCAGCGAGAAAATTCTAGCACAAATTGAGTCATCTATAAGGAAGAAACGGAGGGAAACCTGAGAGAGGAAGGAATGCGCGGCATCCTCGTCCGCAACGTGGGACGCGACGGCCACGAACTTGCTCTTCTTGACCTCCCGCTCGCAGCTAACTTGCTCCTTCAACGTCGTATAGGACGGAGGCACCTGCATCGCGTTACGGTGGGCGGCGGCGCCCTCGCCACTGCCACCGCCACCGCCCCTGAGCGCCATGGATCTGGAGATTATGTCCGCCGATGAGAAGCGGAGGGGGAGCGTGATCCTCAAAGCAGCCATCCAGGATCTTCGTCGAACGCGGCGGAGTATCACTCTCCTCCCGCCGTCGCCGCCACCACCCGCGCCTGAGCACTTCAGATACCACGGCAGCTGCCCCCGGAGGACCGGCCCGTCAGAAGCCGGTCAAGTTCGGACGGTTCAGTTGGACCGCGTTGCCGGTTCAGAAAGTTCGGCCCGCTGTTCGTTGTGGGGGCCTCTCAAGAGCTTCTGGGTTTACCACCACCACAATAAGGAATCCAAAAGATAAAATAAATAATTATAATTAATAAAAATATAATAATAAAAATAACCAGAAATAAGGCCACGTTTATTTTATTTCAGTCCTGATTTTGTTACATTTCGATGTCAAAAAATAATAATTAAAATCATAATCTTATCTTAACTATTTGTGTGATGTGATATTTTAGTACCAATAATTAAAAAAACATAAATTCAAAATAATCATTAAATAAAAATTTCCTTGTTCTCTTATCTATTTTGAGAATAGATACATTCTATGTGAATTGATAACTAAAGTACAAATCATTCCATAAGAGAAGTTGTTATAAATGCCACAAACTAGCGATTAGAACGACTACAGATGTCAAATTTCTGATCGTTCTAAGCCTAAAAAGGGAATAATTAATGGCTATATAAATAATCTTTGTGTAGCATTGAAGATAATTAATGTGGTTCCTTAGCTTCTCCATCTACCAAGACAACTTATGATTCTATTGAAATCTTTATGGAAAATGTTAGATTTTGGTAAAAGGTAAATTTGAAGAAGAAAATGAAAGTAACAGTTCAAGAGTCAAGCTTATATATACTTGGTCAAGATCTCCACATAAATGGGATGCAAAATTCTCTTATACTTGTCATGAAAGAGATCTAGCAATTGTTATTAAGAAAGGAACTAAAGAATGAATTAAAAAATATCTATATTTAATTTCATGTTATTTGTCTTACGATTGTTTTCCACTATCACATAGAACCTTCCTTGTGAATTTGAATACTCTCATTATCCATACTAAAATTGTTGAGAAATTGTCTAGTGAGGAGTGGAAACAAACTATAAACACAGAGATGAAGGCCATATAGAAGAACAAAACTTATGATTATCTATCAAAAATAAACCCATTGACTACAAATGGGTATATATTGTGAAGTAGCTTGTGAATTGATCATTTGAGGAATATACTCAAATATATGAAATTGATTATCTTGAAACATTTACTCATATAATGAGAATGACTAAAATTAGAAATTCTATATCATTAGTAGCTAACTTCAGTTGGGATATACAATAATTTGATATTAGGAATGAATTCTAACATGGAAATGTAAGGGAAGAAATTTAAATGCAAGTTCTACTAGATTATGAACATGATTAAGCCTCTAATGTGATATGTAAATTAAATAAGGCAAAGTCAAAGGGGCTAAGCATGTTTAGTAAATTCATCAAGGTTGTAAGTTGACTTTCCCTGATGACAAACATGCATCTATTTAGATATATATCAATAAAGAGAGAAATGATATGAGACCTATTTGGTGGGGCTGTGTGATGGGTTGGTGAAAGTGGTTATTTTGTTGTCAAATTTTTATGCACTATCTTCCTTAGATGTATCAAGTTGTAAAAACTCCATGATTATGATATATTTTTCTATATTTTATATATTTTTATTTTTATTCTCCATGAATATGACAAATACTCACCCATCAAGCTATGCACTAATCTAGACACTTCAAATAATTTATCAAAATTTATTTCTAAAATTATTATATGTATCTTCATAGGAATTAATATTATATTCTTTAATGCATGACTGTAATTGATACAAAAATAAAATTATTTGTAATGGTACAATAAGCTTGAAGCTATGGACCAGCCTAGTCTTACACTCCAATAAACCTTTATACTAAAGAATGTTGGCCTCAATGGAAATTGATTTTGATGATTACAATATTTAAATTATCATGCTACTTTTTTGAATATCACAACCAAATTTTGGGCAAAAAATTGAAGATCTAAAAGTCAAAAATGGCCTGAATATGAACAATATTTTTTAAATAATTCATTGAGTTATGGGTAAGATAATTATGACGAAAAAATCAACATAAAAAAAATAGCAGCATGGAACGTCCTATTACAATATATATTATCCACATCTTACATCTTGGGATGACTGCATGATTATTTGTTATAACAAGAAGGAACAAACGTGTAGGTAGTGAGCCTTATATTCCTTGTGCTCATGTCAGCAAAACATGAGAAAATAAATATATAACTCAATATGATAACTTATTGTTTACAAATTCATTGTTGGAATATGAGTGATTGTTTTCTCCTTTCATTTCTATATTTTCCTTTATCTTCTATTCATTGTATCTCTCATTATAATCATAAATCAAATTGGCTCAATCTGAACTAATTCAATTCTCTCTCTCTCTCTCTCTCCCTCTCCTTTCCTCATATTAACTAGTCGGTAAAAATACCAATTAGACTGTAAACCTATTTTAAAAAAAGGAAAATAAAATTTTAATTCACCATTTTCGTGTTCTTCTTGACAGATTAATCCTAGCCCACACTGATTTATCTAAGTCTGAACAGTACATGGTGGTTCTGACTCCTGCCATCTCTCTACATAGGTCAACTGGGAGATGAGGTAGTCAGGAACTGGATGCATGGGTCAGAAACCAGATCATCTGGGTTTGCTACAAATCATACCAAAAGTATGCAACCCAACTGGGCCATCTTAAATTCCTCAAGAAGTCAACAGGAGGTTGCAACTGACAGTGTTACAAGTCAAACCATTGCTCCAAGGGGGAAAAAGAAAAAGAAGATGCTGATCACAGTACATTAAGGAACGAACCCCTGCCTGTTGGTTATTTCCATTGGTGATTCTGGTTCAGAAACTAATGCACTCTTTTTTTCTTCTAAAAAGAGAACATAGATGCTGATCATGTCTTATATATTGTTCTAATTTTGGTAACCAAAAGCGTCTAAATGCTATTTTGGGACAGAAAAATCTCAAAGTGGCTGGCATGTTGCAGCTAGAGATAATCATGTTCTGAAGCCTGTCGGCAGACAATTTTTTATGATATAAAATGCTTTGTTAAAAAAAATAAAAACATAGATGATACTGATCACAATACACACGAAGAAACTCAAGACGATTTTCAAACGAAGAACTAAGAACAAGGATTCACACCGAGTCAGGGAACCAACCCACTCGCTTGCCACCTATCTCTAGCAGTGATTTTGGGTCATCCATGGTAGTTATACACATCAATCATGGCCCACAAGCTCTGTTCTCCTCACTGTTTAACATCTTTAAACATCCCACTCTTCTCGAGCTCACCAACCACATCTCTCAGCGCTGGGACCTTCATTGCCAAGGTGCGGTATAATCTCGAGTATCTTGCTCTTGTTCCATCAGCAGTTCGAGCCATGGAAAGCTGGCTCAGAGCCTCCGGCAGCTGGGTGAACAGGTCCTTAATCTCCTCCAGGGTCATGTCAAGGAGAACTGAAGGCCTTGGAGCAACCCTTACGATCTCTCCTCCCTTGGGCTCCTGAGTCCGGGCCTCAGCCTTTATCACCAGCTCCGAGCTTGAGTTCGCCCCACATTTTATGATAAACGGCGTCGAAGAACCAGTGTTGAACTGCAGAACGTTCCACTGGCTGACTTCGGTCTCGGCGCCGGGAGTGGAGTCAGCTGACTCCTGCGAGCGGGTATCATCTTCTGGAATAGACTGCACATGGATATATCACATAAATGATCGTTTTTCCATGGATTTTATGTAATTCTAAACCATATCTTTGATCCACTTGGCAATGACTGGACTTGGCGCATACAATCTTAATCACAGGATCTAACTATCATATTGACGAAAAAATATAATATTCGACATATCATCATAGGAAAACAAGATCATATGAAGATGACAACTCTGCATGGTAAACTAAGATATATACTATACATACTATATTTTTTATTTTTTTGACAAGTGAGAGAATGCAGATGCTAGTGGGAGATGAAGAAAGCCTTTACCTCGATGACCTGACGGGCCTCGCTGATCTCCCGCTGGGCGCATGGATGATCAATGTCTAGTAATGAAGACATGCGTTCAGAGAGTTCAGTCAGAGATGATAGTAATGACTTTTTCTTGGCCTTTGTGAGAGAATTCACTGAAGTCTGCCTCATTACATCCTGCAGACGAAATTAACATTTAATCAATTCTATAAAACTGCACAGCACCAGACGATCTCCCGTGCTAGTAAAGATCAGAAATTATAAGAAAAACGTGTTCTAGGCAGTAGCTGACCTTCACTTGCTTTAACATGCCATCAAGAGATATCAGTGAAGCAAGCCGAGCATCCTCAGCTGCAGTAGAAGGATTTTGAATGGGTTGACCACCATCTTCCTTAGGTAACAGCCCAGTATCACTCCTCGTTTGTTGTAAGATCTAATAAAAAAAGAGGAAATATATACGTGAATACTGACAGAAGATGTATACAAACATGTATTAATGAAAAGTATTCACCTTTCTTCTCTTATGATCGACAGATTCGAGGGCAGATCGCAGCTTGTGAACTTGAGCTGCATCTTCTGCCTCCTCCATCGCAAGGGTGCCTGCAATATCCTATGGAAGAGAACTAATATGTGAGAAGGAACAGAAGGAAACAGGATCAATAGATGCACAACACTGAAAATAACACACTATCTGAAAGGCTTCTACAGATGATACCTAGAATGGAGAATCATTCTGTAGATTATGAGATTTTTGGTACCTTGAGGTGCTGTAGCTGGGACATGTAGACCCGTCTAGTGTATTCAGACAGAATCTGTCCTAAAGCATCGGTGCTGGGAGGCTGGGCAGTCCCAAGGCCAGCCATCCATCCGTCCATGATTGCAGTGGAAAGAAGCTCCAGCTCTCCAGTGGCGCCGGCAGTAGCATCACTGCCTGTTACTGAAAGAAACTCAAAGTTCTCTGCAAGCCAGGATCTTATCTGACGCTGCAGCTCCCCAGCTGGAGTGTGGACAAAGAGAGCAGCAAGGTTCTTGTTCCCAACAGCAAAGGCTTTGGCATCTTCAGTTATTTCTCTCAGCTTCCCTCCAGTAACATGCTGCCGCCATGGCTCCTGCCAAGGAGGGTGAGTAGTGTAAAATATTTGGATTCACAGTCAGCAGGAAACATACCCTAATGGAGATAGTGGTCCTAAATAGATGGATTTAGCTTCCTGTGATCTCCACCATGAAAGGGAACCCACTTATGGAAGCATTACCATTGATGAATTTCACATAAAAATGCCGGAACTAGTAACAGCATCATTAACCCAGGTGTCGATCTCAATCAAGCATGAATGGCAATCAAGAAAGAATGCATCTTGAATCGAGTTTAACGAACCTGATCAATCCCTCGTAGCTTCAAGACAATCGAGGAAAACTTTGATTTCTTCTCATGTTTAATATTGACCTTGAATGCATGAATATGATGCTCTTCGACTAAAGCAGATCTCATGTTGGAATCATAATGTCCTGGTGACCTGCCGGGGCTGCTACTCCTGCTTGAACCTCGACTACGTCCATGGCTGGGCTTCTCCAGAAAGCGCTCAACAGGTGCGACCTAGAAAACCCTAAAAGAGTCAGCAACTAGGGCCTCTGAAAGGTAAAGAACAACAAAACAGTATAAGTGCAGAAATGACTTCAAACCTTGATGGATTGCAGCTCTGGCGATCTAGCAACCAAAGACCTTATATACAGAATCCTAACCCGGGACACAAGCATGGTGTCCATCACCCGCCTTGCTTCCATCTTACGAATAAATGAAAAAACAGCATCTCGAATTTCTGCAAGTATTTCATGTTCTCTAGCAGCACCAGCCTTGATGACAGCCGCAAGAACCTGCATAAGCATAATTGTATAATGTTTCAGAATTGGACCACAGCAGAAGAAAAACATAGGCCTATGTAAACAATAATGCACATATACAATTTAGACCACCCGCATTTGTAGATCTCATAAGTTGATAACATCAGCACAGTTGGAAAGAAGTTATGAACTAGTTGGAAAGAAATAAATCTAGGGAAGGTAGGCTCCAAACGAGCATGCAACTAAATCTTAAATTTTATATCGAAGCAGAATAACTTAAAAACCACTCCAACCATTAAATAATAGCACGAACTTCCACAAGCAGAAAAGACTTATATTGTCGATCGTGATATCTTGTCATTATTGAGGCCATTTTAGAGACAGAACATTTGCTATATAAACCTGGCCATCTGTTTCCTAATCTTTCAGTAATGTCTTTGCAAAAAGATGACTTTCAAAGGACTGGGAGTAACGTTTTTTGTTCAACAAAAAAGTAAATGGACACCTATAATGGATTCTTGATTTTTCTAATTCCGTTAAAGGTGCCAATGCCGCCTATCGATTCTAAATCAATAATCATTGATTTTCCAGTCATGTCAAAACCAAACCCCTTGAAGAAAAAAAGTTTATGATTCTAAGTCGGGATATTTCACACCTTTACCTTCCATGAAACTTGATTTTCAATCAAAAATTGAAAATAAGCACAAAGGAATCTGGTACTTCTGTCACAGAAATTTCCATTCTGTGGGTAAAAGTAATATAACATCAGAGTCTCAGAAAACATTGTAAAACGAAGGACTCTCAGATTCCCTGAAATACAGCCTCTTGAGTCCAATGTTTGTTAAAATGTTATCATCTTTCAGTTCGAACAGTATCTAGGAAGATAAGTGGTAGTACCAGCATCAACAGCTTGTTTGCACCATCAGCAACAGTGGCAAAACTCTCAAATTGATCGGGATCGTAATCCATTAGTGCTGCGGTTAAGTACTCCCCTGCAGGGGTTGTCTTTCCTTTTTCAGGGCCTACTTTGACTATAGCACCTGCTGCACCACCCTTACTTGGCGGTGCAGGCAATGGAAGCAGCTCCGATGTTTGTCCTTTGTTACTCTCAGTCCTGCGTATATATCACAAGATAAACCCATTATTACTTTTAGCCAATCGAAAATTTGATGAAATTCCTAATTTACGACACATAGATTATGTAGTATTACCTGCCCAAATCCCCTACGCGGGGACTGACCTGCTTCCCTCCAGATGGGCTTGACACCTAAGAGAGAAAAGAACACGGCATGGAATACCCATCAAATACACAGTATTATAGACAAGAAAAAAAAAATGTCAGCTAAAAGCTAGTGTAATAAAAAAATGCGCTCTGAAAAGTAAACACTTAGGGGCTCCATGTAATCTACATGATGGTTTTGGCTGAGCTGGGAGTAATCCCTATGAGGTTTGGCTGAGCTGACCACTAAATAGCCACACCACACCAGGGTGATCAAGTCACCTGGGAAGTGGGTCCAGTCATCGACAAAGAATCAGAGTAACCTATGTGCAACTTGTGCCATAGGCACGAGTCCTTGCATTGCAACCCTCTGATGTAATCAGGAAAGAAGGTATGAAGGAAGAAAAGAAATTAATGGGTAACTTTAACGATATATTTTAAAGAAAATGTTAATGGAAAAGGCAAACATAGAAACAATTCTCTTCAAATTTCAAATAGAAAAATTAGACTTTCAACATGCCCCCCTCCCCTTTTAGCAGATTAAAAGAAAGGATCTCTAACCAAGAATGGATGCAGTTGTGATGGCTGGCGACACCACCAGCAGATGTGATCACTGCAGTATCTGCGACTGCTACATGTAACAGATGGCAGTGGCAACCTCTACTAAATCACTGATGATTTTTTTCTTCTCTTTTTCATTTATTCATTTTCCAAGTTCCGCCCACATTGGAACCTCCACCAAAGAAAATCCAAAATATTTGTATATTTGTTCTAAGAGGACAAGTCTAATAAAAGGGCAGTTTACTCCACAGATCTTTGGAAGTGTATTATTTTCTACAATGTTTCATCAGCAGAAATGTGTAAAAATCTAGACGTTATAGTCTTTAGGATCTATAAAACGCAAGCGAAGCCAAAAAACTCACCACATAACAGCCATAATCTGATCGTAGAAATGCTTAGCATGAGAAATATATGCCACTGTCCAAAGCAAATAGTGGGCTAATCTGAGACGAGAGAGGAAGGGTTCTGCTGGCCTGAAGCCGTAGGCATTCAAGAAGGATGCATGGAAAAAATCTCTGAGGATCATTTTCTACCTTACTTAAATGGGAAAAAAATAGCTAGGACGATTTTATATTCATAACTGTCTCCTAAAAAAATCAATTGACAAGATCAGTTCCATAAAAAAGGGGAAAATAAACGATATAATCAGGTCTACAACGAAAATTAAATCTTAATCTAAGATTTTGGCCTATTCAACTTTATGAGGATCATAAAACGTTGATGGTTAACACAACCTGCTGTGACGTAGATAATGAAGCCTTTTCTGTCAGTCTGTCAAACAGCTTCTCATTCTCTTCATGCAGTTTCTGCAACAAAAAGAAGAAAAAAAAAGATAGTAAATTTATCATAGATTGAAATACGAAAAGAAACTAAAATAGTCGGGAATTATGACCTTTAATGAACAACAATAATGTTATCCCAGAAACCTAGGACGAGAGCTAAGCATCACATACAGGAGATCCTGAGAACCTGATTAACAACAAGGTACCAACTGGGCCTCAATTGGCTCAATAATCTGGAAAAGACGCTGCTACAAAGTGGGCCCTAATGTCCTTGTGGCCAGTTAGGAAACATACTTTCCTGACGCTCACAAATTATGATAATTCAAATTTTTTCACGAAAAAATCGAGGGAAACCCTAATTGAGCAGAGCTACGCTACAGACCTTATTCAGGTTCTCAAACTCCATATAATACCATACACGTCAAAATCCACACCAGTCGACTTTCTGAAGGAGGTAGTGGATGGACATTCCAGACATAATCTCAAACGTTTCAAGATCAGATGATTTAAGACAATTGTATGCTCTTGCTTTCAGACCAAAAAATCTTAATTCTTTAGGAAAGCTTCATGAGCAGCCAAAAACCACCATAAATTAAGTTTTGGTCCTCTAATCATCAGATCCAAATAATCCTTGTCAACAAAATGGAATTGGTAATAAAATCTGATTAACGGTCTTGAAATCAGACATGTGTTCGGAATTTTATTGTCATGATGACAGTAAAAGTGGGTCTATAACTAAATGCAATGTTAAGGGTGATCATAGAAGGAAATAAGCTACGCAAAGTTTGGACACCAGACTGAGTGATACATACAATGTGGTTAACACATTGTAGCTAAGATGGAGATTCCTTCTCCATCATAGGTTACCCAGTAATTTTTTCATAGACGTCTAATCATAGTAGCAAGGATTTAACATCGCAAATTACATAAATGAACCAAGAATCCCACTGCTGGTCAAACATATGCACGTTATCTTGTGACAATGTGAAAAGTAGAAAAAGGAAAGAGAGATTGAAGAAAACAGAAAGGCTGAGAGCAAAGGACTTTTCGGAAGTCATTTTGCTGAGGGACAAGAAGACGAACTCTTTTCTAAAATTTAGATTTCATCAAAACTGTTTACAAAAGCTTTCCACAAGAAGCTATACATCCGAAATAAAAATGAATGAAAAAGATATGAAGGCCACTTCAACTCAAATTCAAATGAATGAAGAAGATACAGTATAATGTCTAAATGGTGAAGTAATGCACCTGTATTAAAGCATCCCGTTTTGAAAGTTCTTCTTCAAGCTTTTTAGTAACAGAAGAAGAATCTACAGTTTCGTCCATTCCTTTGGATGTAGAAAGCACACCACTGGACCCAGACTCTGAAGCTGAAGCAGCGTTAAGGGCTTCATTCAGTTGTGATTCAATACCTTTGATCTTGGCCTAAGGGAAGACACTTAAAATGATTAACAGGGTTTCAGACAGATGAAGCATTTTCAACATAACATTTCAATACATTAAAATGGATTTGCATCCAAGGAGCTGAAAAAGTTTTAAATTCCATGCTAAAATAAAGTGCAAGTACAGTCTCAGCCCAATCATGGATATCCCAGGCAAAAGTAGAAATAAATTGGCAGCTGCATAAATATTGATTTAGGCTCTCGTTTTTTTTTCCTCAAGAGGAAGACATACACCCAAGAGTGTATAGATTCCAATTTAAGGTTCCAAACGCCAATCACAAGCAAAAAATATAACCCAAAAAATATTTGAAAATTTTGCAAGAGAGCAACATCACGTCTAATAGAGCTCAAATTAATTTGAAAGAAAATTTTTTCAATAAATGTTGGCATCATACATAGGAGATTATATAAAATCGAGCTTATACCTTGAGGTTTTGTATGGCCATGTCACGTTCACGAATTTGCATTTTCTGATCTTGCTCTGATTGCAAAAGTTGAGCAACCTGATTTCTAAGCTGAGCATTCTGCTCCTTTTCTATTCTTTCTCTATCAGATAGCAGTGTATTTTCTGTCTGGAAGAGGGAAAGAAAGACTAATAAGCTAATAGTCGCGACAACATTTAATAGCATACTCCAGAGTTGCTTCTCTCATGCCAAGACACACCGTAAAAGTAAGATTATTGCATAGAGATGGGAATTCAATTGACCATGTTCTGAACAGAATTCGATTTTAGGGAAAGCTACAAATAAAAAAAATAACAGTGGGACGAGTCTAAATTACTCATAAAACACAGCATCTCCCAGTGTTCAATGCATTACCAGTAAGCCTATTTATGACCCCACTGCATGAAACCTGGTATGGTTTTTACAACTATCTTTTATTTGGGCTGAATCTCTCAATCAAGTCCCTGCAAACAATCCCCAATAATCATTCTCATAAACAACCAGCGAACATGAAATGGAGTCAATCATAGACCATTCTGATGACAAGGCAATATGATCCTTTCATTGAAATTTAACATATTGGGCATCAAGAGAGGAAGGTCACTGCTTAACGGATTTAGATTAAGATAAAACAGTGGATTAAATTTGCCTCATAGGATTGTTCAGTATGAAATATAATATATCCAAGTGTTTACAAAGCAGTAAACTCGTTCAATAACCTTCAGATCTGCCTGGAGTGTAAAAGATACTTTCCACGCCTTCTGAACTTCATTAAATAGCAGGCTGCACTGATCATTCGCTTCTTTGAGTGCCAACTTCAGACTAAGAAGCTCTTGAGTCAAATCAGTGACTTCCTTCTCCTTTTCATACAACTGTTTACGTGAGTCATTCGCCTGAGAAATCATAGAAAGCATCAAGAGATCTGCTTTAAACAACTGAACTTTTGAAGCTCTTTTGCCAAAAGTCATTCAGCTTTAAACAATTTGAATTCTCATTGGTACAACATGTGATTACCATGTCCCTCCATTTCTTAATTGTATCCCGATTTCCAAGGCTTATTTCAGTGCTACGTGCCCTAGAAGAGAAATTGAGGGAGGACAAACTCCTGGACAGATCCAAAGCACTGGGACAGATATTGACAATCATCAGTGTCTTAGAGTTACCCCCTGGAAAATGAAGAGCAGAAGAGAGTTAGAAAATATTAAAGAAACGTTATAAACCCTTATTTACAAAAAGGAAACTCTCCATAAATAAACATTTTAGACTAGCGTCCTATTAGTCATACGTCAATGTTTTTCCAGTCTAAGAATGGCTCTACCCTTCAAAATCAAAGTCAGTGCAGAATCACACAATGTCAGGACCATCGAATGTTTAAACGGTTCTTTGTTGCAAACCTAAACGTTTCAAATTTTCTTAAAATCTTCTGCGAGATCTGACAAGGGTTACAGGATTTAGGAAGCCAGAAACATAATTTAAGATAAAATCATTTCGCAACCCACCCAATTCTGTGGTCACATTTCATCAAAAGAACATACTATTAGTAGTGGCAGACAACTCTGAGAATTTTGGAGCAAGTAGGATGGCACCAATTTTGTCTCTCCTCGTTACAATAGATATTGTCATCTACAATTGCATCCCATCACATATTTCTCTATATCCATGACCAAGTAGGCTCACAAATCTTATTACGTTATGGAAGATACAACAAGCTGGAAAATGCTGTTTCAATCAGATGGCAAAGGGGAAACATCCAGTACGGATCAATTCCACACCCAACAATGCTTTAGGCAAGCAACAGTCAGGAAAAAAGCATTACCAAGGGAATCAGCAAGGATCCTGGTGAGCTTCGAATTTTCATAAGGTACACTATCCTTCTTCGAAGTCAAGGCAGACAAAACATCTCCTAGTCTGCAGGAGTAAAATGGTGAAGAAAGTGGGAAAGAATGGTGAGCACACAATAAAGCGGAATATGACAAAAAAGACATTGAAATATTAAAAAGGCAGAATCAAGCCACAATCAGAAACATTACATTTAAATGATAAGGTAACATGCAGATTGAGTCCATTATTTCTTCTGCTAAACAAAACTGAGCATTCCTAATTTACTATCAACTCGGAGATCAAAATTTAATTCCGCCCCACGCATCCTAGGAAATTCAAAGCACAGAAAAGAAACAGAAAACATTGTGAGAAGAATGGCATGCCTACAAGCTAGTGTATATTCTTTCCTATGGACAATAGCAATACAATTAGAAAGGCATTCTCATCCGTGCCTTAAGGACAAAAAGACTTGGTAGATGGTCCTTTTAGAGATATATTCACCAAGTCAGGATTCCAAAGGTTTCAAAAAAGTCATACATCTTGTTCCGTTTATTAATTGTCGATTTATAATTGACTCATTGTTTGTCATAACTACACCTACAGTTTGAAACACGTAGATCAATGATTTAAATTTTGAGAAATTATTACCTGGGACTACGACCTACCAACCACTTTATAAGAGCCCCCCAGGTCATACTCACTGGAAATCATATAGTATTCCTGCAGCAATAAAATTTCACCTAGTTTGAGCCATCTCAAAGCAGCTGATGTCACCCTTAGATGGGGAAGGAGTGACATTCGGTTGTGTAAACACATCAAACTAATTAAGGATTGCGCATAAGTTTGAAAGCATAATGGCTTCATGGACGGAAGGCTTGTGTCATTTGAAGAGATGTCACACTGTCAATTTTTCTTTGGAACCTCTTGACTGGAAGTTATTGGACACGGCGTAGGATCTTGTACTACTCAACCTCCGTGGCATTTCAAAGATTTGGTAGGATGACTCACAGTCGGATCAGATGTATGTGTTGGAAATGGGCAAAGAACTCTGCTCTAGTAAGACTTGGTGCAGGACCTCATCTTTAAAAATCAAAACCCCTCTTCTCTTCAGGCCAACTCATAACCCTAAGACCATTACTATACATGCTCTGGACAGTGAAACAGGTCAAGGGTGGTGGCCGATGTTTAGGAAGAATCTAAAAGATGGGGAGATCCAATAACTAGAAAATTAGTAAGGCTAAATAGTCAAAAGGTCATTGTCAGCCCTGACGCACGGATGTGACAACACAGATGGGATAAAGGAGGTGGGGTTTTCATAAAAAGTTGACTTAATATAGCATCCTCGACGGAGGCATTTAGTCCATCCACTTTAAATAGTCAAGGTTTTAATGTGAAGATTTCATGCGGAAGACTCCCTACTTGTGGCTCCAAAGATTTGGCACCTTCTCTGGACAAAATCCTTACTGTGTGTGGTCTGTATTGCGACAATGAAGAGAGTTAAGATCTGCTAGCTGCTCCTGTAGCAGCATCCAAGAAATTTCAGTGGACTTTGGCTGACTTTGAAGCACCATTAGAGAAGGAAGCTGTATTGTCATATTTGGTGGCCCATTTCACATGCGAACATTGGGTCTATTCTTGCAGAGAAATTGATGAGTTTTTAGACGGCAGATGGCTACTACGGCTTATAGGGCCTTGGCAAGAACGAGGGAAGGACGTAGGTTTCCTTTTGTGTCTGTGAGTTTATTTGTCGGAGAAGGGGAGAAAATATTTAAAATGCACCAGAAATAATACTGGAATTTTTCTTTGCGAGTGCAAAAAATAACCAATATCTGCATAATCACCTATGTAAGAATCTACTCTATTTATAAAGGAAAATCCTACATAATAAAACTTACGCGGATAATGACTTTGTGATATGCAGAAACTCCATTACATGCTCTCCACTAGCATCTTCTCCAAGTAAACCCTCACTTCCGGCCAAATCAACAAGAGAAAGCCTGCTATTCAACTTCTCTCGGGTGACGTGATCATTGGATTTTATATGGACTGTTACTATCCTGAAAAAGGCCGAGTAACAGAGAACATCAATAAAAGCAAATTTACACACTGATCATAAAATTATCACAATAAATGGTGCCTTAAAAACTCTAGAACTGAAACCATTCAGAGAAAATGCTTAGAGAAAAGAGGCAGGCAAAGCTGAAAAAGAAAACTCCGAGGCTACATAGAGAGAGAAAAGAAGACTCTTCTTGCATATTAAAGAAATTTAGATCGTACAGATGGGATAAATTGAACTTCGAAGCATCTGTTCCACGACACTTTAGAGCTGCTTTTAGTACTCTAGAATAATCCAAGGGATTCTCTACTTTTTGAGCCACAAGCTCCGCAGCCCACTCTGGTGGACCAATCAGAAACTTTGACGAATGTTCCCCGCTTGCTAATAACAAATCACGAACCTGCTTTTTTGAACAAAACATAACGTCATCAATATCATAAGATTTATCTTAAATATGCAGAGGAATCTAAGGTTACGACAATGCCTAGAATCTACTGAGGAATTTTGGGTACAAACATAATCAAACATGTGAAAGAGCAGTAAGTTTGGAAAAGAAATGAAAACAAACCTGTTCATTATGAAGTTCAAAGGCAGTAACATAAAAGTCGTAGTGGGATCTGGATGTTGTATCAGAAACAGACAAATCAAATAGTTCTTCAAAGCTGCGGACATACAAACCACGATCATGGCTGGACCCTTCCTGCCAAAAAAAGAAAAGGTTAAGGTAAAATGTGTGACCCAAAACACTGATTAAAGAACTATTAAACACAAAATATGGTTCAGACTGAAACCATCGTATATGTCTTTCCAGAACGAGTTTGCCCATATGCAAATATAGAAACATTGTATCCATCCATAGCTGACTGTACAAATGGCTGGACATCATTAAAAATTTCCCCTGAATGTGTTTGAACATCAAGATGAGGGAAACGTTAAAATATTTATTTTTCATTATAAAAATGTTGCAGACAAATTTTAGGGATGCAACATAACAACGAAGAGTTTAGGGATGACATTCCCTTACCATGACCTATGTGAGGCCCATAAACCCTATCGAACTCAAAGTCCTTCTTAGGATTGTCCACAGAGTCGTCACCGGTATTTACACGAATCGAATGGTTATCTGGAAATTCGACCACTGATAAACCCTCATCTTCAAATAATGGTCTAGTACGACAAAAGAATCTTATATTTCCTGCAATATCAGAATTTCATCAGAGAAAAAGAAAAGCAAGGATTGCAAAAGCTCATGTTTTGAATCCACAAATATTAAAAGTCTGTAAACATGTTTACCCTTGTCTGTCAACAGTTCATTAAACAATCTTTTCCTCTCAACAACCAATGGATTAATTCTTGCCTCAGAATCAACAGCAACTTTATCTGAAAAGGATAAGATGATATTAGCAAATCCACGGACCAGATTATCACAGTGATACTGGTGGAATGAGGTTTCACTGTAGCTTTTCAACCAAACAATGATAGAAAGCTCGAAAATTTAAATAAGAGAGGGGATTAGATGTAATAAACATGATGAAAATGTCACGAAAGTACATGAATTACTATTTATACTTCCTTTATACTATATAACACAGGTCAAAGAGTTACCTAGCTTGTGAACCCTATCCGCAAGAACGCTAAGATAACGTGTAACCCGATCAAGTTTTGCAATAGAGTACTCCCTTAGATCACTGGCTTCTTGTCTCAACTCCAAGTAATCTTCTTTGGCACTCTACATAAGAGAAGATCACAACATATGAAGGAAAATAAGCTGTCGACATTTAGTTTGCATATCAATTGCATACCTTCTCAGCACATGAGCCATAAACATACCAGAAGCACATTAGGCAAGGTTGGATTCCATCCAGCTTTAAGGTGTCAAACTAAACTTAAACGGTGTTCAATTAGACGACATTACATGAGATTAAGAGCAACTGTATTAACAGTTTACACCCACTAGAGTTTCAGAAACGGGCAGTAAAGCCCACTTTTACTTGTTGAGTGCAGTAAAGCCAAATTACTTTTTAACTAAATACTATTACACCTAGAAAGCAAATGCAATTGAATGACAATAAGGTCGTTTAGATGGAAGGCCCTGAATTAGCAGCAATGTGGAGGCAATAAGTGAAAGTGCATAGCCGTATTCACAAAAACACAAAAGGACGGACCGAATGTTCGTCAATGCCTCCTAATAACCAACGCACTTAGGGTAGTTTGCAATAATCTTGATGCATGTGAGTGTACGCTGTAGACGGGACTGGTCTCTCAACTCTCAGAACTTCAAAGAATGCCTCTGCACTCCCATCTCTTTTTTGCATACTGCCATTATTATACCTAGTGGTTAAGAAGGAAGTGACCCCTTGACTCTTTAAATCAACATCAATAAAACTTAAAGGGTACACCTGAGGCCATCAATTAATTTTTTGTTTAAAAAAAAAAGGCATAGTCAGGAGGGCATGGCACATCATCAAACTTAGGATAACAATTGCGGAAGATCCTGATGAAAAGTTTGATCTGATAAATTTTGTCTCAAGCTAATTCCATTAAATGATATGCATCAGACACAGATTGAAGAAATAAAATTATTTGTACTTTCAAAGCACTAAAAAACGTTTTACCTCCCTATACTTGGTAAAACAGTCATTATAAATAACTTTAAATCACATTTATGCGATACTTTATTGAGAGGAAAAGATTACGCCTTCAGGGGAAAAATATCATAGTTCATTTTTATTAGGTGGCAATCATTCTTCATATTTCACTAGCTACTAAGCACCTCCATGTCACTAACATTTTACGATTGATTACTTCAGATTGTCCAACTCAAAGAAGAAATAGCATATGGCGACATTTCATACATAAGCTTTAAACTATTATCGATCATCCATCCCTCATGATTTTCATTGATATAATTTATAATGCATATTATTCAGGAAGACTCAGAATACTCACTAGGGACTGACAGATTAGTAATATCGCTGTTCATGGTTTTCACTCAATGGGATTCCCAGTCGGTTAATTGAAGTGACAAAAAAAGCTAACATGGTACTTAACAGTAGTTTCTTGGCTAGGTGACACAAGACACATCTTAAAAACCATCACCGAGTGGGAGGAGGCTTGAAGTTTCATCAATACCCATTAAATGACTGGATCTTTCATTCATCAAACGTGTTGGACCAACCTCTCATCACGGAATCCCTTATAAATACAAGGCAATATCTCTTGGAATTAAATCATAACTTTGCCAACCAGTTTCCAAGAAATATTTATTCTTTTCATGTCCCTCGCAAATATCTTTGAGTCTATACCAAATGTTTTAGATTCTAAGGACAAACCAGGTTGTCTGTCCCTAATTCTCAATCTGAGTCTATAGGGACAAGTAGCGGAATAAATAACAAATTTGTCATCTTTGAGAAGTAGGAAAATTTAGTCAGCTACATGTTTAACTCAAATTTGTAACGTCCCTTGAAAAATATTTATTCTGCTACTTCGTCTTGGTTCTACAATTCAACCTTTTATCATTCTGCCCATTCAGTTTGGCGATGATAGTACTCGATCCAATCAGTAGAAAACCCTTCACTCTTCTCTTGGCAAAAAGAGAACACGAAGATAAGAGAGGAGCAGATATGGAGCCGACAACCAGGTTATGGTCGCCGGTGTATTGTCTGGTAAAGAATCAAGTGAAATCCTAGTGAAACAAGGAAGAAAGGGAAAGAGGAAGGATCATATTAGAGGCAATGTATGCCGGTAATCAAAAGAAGGGAGTCCAAGACACATGGTTGGACACATACCCCTTACAATGTACTTCCCTTCCCATGCAGATGGGTAGATCAGGGTGGCCCAAACAAAAATTGCAACTTGATCCTATGGCCACGGTGATACAGACTGATCAATCATGCACTATGTTAACCGTTTGATCATTTTTAAAAGAAGACGTTGAGGAAAATAACCGGTAGACTTAAGCAAAGAACAGAATCTATGCTCTAACCGTTTGATCACAAGAGCTGGCATATTTAACATGTGAGGACGAAGGAGATACGTTCTTGTGGGCATGTGACATGGCACTGGAAGCGTGTAAAAAATGACAGGCAGTCAGTTTTTAATCAAATTTCTACTTTTAACTCATTACAAAACTGCATTCGTAGACATTAACCACTTCTTGGTACGGCATCAGTGGACCTATTTCCTTAAACTGTTCAATTGTATCTCAACACCCATCATGTTACACTTAAATAAATTTCCATTTTCAGCCCCTTCAGTAGGTCCCTCTTTGTCTAAAATCCACCAGAAACTAGAGTTCAAGGAATTCAATTCCAAATCACCCTATCGTAGCCTCTTCAACTTGCCCATTTGTATTGAATGGCATCATATAGATCAAAAAAATAAAACTAGTATAGGATGAGATTTAGGTCACCAACTCTACGTTCGGCATTTCTTTCCTAGTTTTCATTCATCCTTTAGTGTGAGGTATGAACCAAGACCGAAGAAACAGTCAACAGGTTGTTAGTTGCCAAGAGCATTGGAAACAGTAAAAGAGTGTTCTTTATTCTTTCTCCAGGTTATCCAAGTCATTAGGGGTTAGCTCCATCAAATAAGAGAGATATGCCACTCTTTGCTCAGAAAGATATAAAAAAAAATCCCTAAAAAAAATAAATCAGTGGGGCTAATTTCTACATTGGATGACATAAAACCATGCTAAAAAATAAGAGATAAAAATATAACTGGATTTGGGGGGCTTCATCTTTTGAAAAGGAGCATCTTTCTGTCAAAAACATCAACCAGCTCAGTAGTCAGACGACAGAAACACCTCCCATGGCTTAATGTCGGGAGGAAAGCATCATCAGACACATGTTCCTAGGGTGTTTCTTCTTATGAAATCATTCCAGAAGTTGAATATGGCCAAATGGGGCGCTAAGGAATAGAACTATAAACTCAGAGACCATAAAGTATGGTAACCGATTCAATGGACTCGCTCGAAATCAGACCAGAAACCGAAAACTATTCATTAACACGAGCTTTGGGGCTTCACAGGACCTTTCTGCCTCTGCCAAGGGGTTGATGTATGACGAGGAGGGGAGAAATTCCACCATTTCAAGATTCTGGATTAGAAAATCAGTCCCCCGCCATTTTTCTGTCCACTGTTGCCCTTGCAGAGAAGGTCTTTCGAGCACGGATGAAATCATTTGTTCATATACTCAGATGACACGCATTCATTATTTACAAGTAAAGAACACGCTTCCATCACAACCCACTTTCCAAAAAAAATGATTCTTTTACGCCCATCAATTCCCTTCCTCGCCCCTTTTCTTCTTGGAAATTGTTTTCTAGGGAGCAAGCACAATGGAGTGGGATTCTGCAATCCATAAATCCAATCATTCTCCAAGGATGGCAAGAAGTTAACGTCTCCAGGAGCTGAACCGCAGCAAGCACAGGTATGGAAGGGGAGCGGGAGCGGAGGCAGTACCTTGACTTGGTCCTTCAGCTTCTGCAGCTTCACGCCGACGGAGGTTTTGGAGAGTTCAGGATGGGAACCCACAGACGCTGCCGAGATTGAGTACCTCCGCGTCAGAGCTGCAGTGGCTGAACCCTGCCTGTTCTGCTGAAGGACGCCATGTTTGCGGCGATTATCCTGCTCCAGCGGCTTCCTCGGCTCGAAACCAGGGACCTCCCATGTCCACCGGTCCTTCTGCTCACCCATCACCACTCCCTCTGCTTCCTTCACCCGACTGCCTCGCCAATGCAAAACCCTAGACCATCGGCAACGGCCAGAAGCTCCGCGGGGCCGGAAAGAGGAGAGGAGGATCAGCAGGCGAGAAGAAATGGGCGCAAGAAAATGGCGCTTCTGAGGAAGCCCACGGCGACGAGGGACGAAGGGAAGCCGTGGTTGGCAGCGACGGACGGCTTAATCTATTATTCTACTGGCACAGGAATCCTAACCTCTTTCTGTCTCTACACCGCTGGCCCCCCCACATCCCTCCATCTCTCTCTCTCTAGCTCTCTCGTGCAGCGATGGGTAAGAAGTGGGGGTCACCTGACTCTACGGACACCAGTCCTCTCTTTTCTCTCTCCTCTCTAGCTCCCTCGTGGAGCGATGGGTGGGAAAGAAGGGGGGACACTCTACGGACACCAGTCCTCTCTCTCTTTCTCTCTCCTCTCTCTAGCTACTCGTGGAGCGATTGGTGGGTAAGAAGGGGGGACACCTCACTCTGCGGACACCAGTCCTCTCTCCTCTCTTTTTTTCTCTCTCTCTCTCTCTCCTCTTGTGGACTGTTCATGCTTGCGGACGAGAGGGTTGACACGCCAGCAGAGAGAGATGGCAGCAGACGACCTAGAAGAATCGATTCTGAGATACCTGTCAAGAATCGATTCCCAAAATCCGATTGTTATCCCTCGCGAAAGCGAGATGGCGGGAGTGGCGGGGTGAAAAGTCACCTGTCACAGGTGGGCACCGATTCGGCCTTCGGATGAGATTCCTTTTAAGCAAAAGTGGATAATGGACGACGACTTATCGGTAATTGTGGGATAGTAGCGGGACCTAAAACTAATTATCCCTACAACGAGGGATTGTCTACGGGCCTTGAGGGCCCAGCCATCGGTAAAAGTGCACGGATTGGGCTTGAATATGAAGAATAGCCCAACAATTATATCAAATGTGGGACCCACATCAAGGTCTCACTTGAAGAAGAAGATGTCGCTAAGATTTAGCAGGGGATCAGCAAGGGGAATCGGTTGGAGCAATACATGGGCCTGTTGACCGTGTCACACCTATTTTTATCTATATGTTTGACATGTGATCTGACCTCCCTACATTAGTCATGCATATTTTATGTAGAGAGAGAGAGAGAGAGAGAGAGAGAGAGAGAGAGGGTAGCATTTTATAACAAGTAGAGTTCATCAATAAAATTTATTTTAAGACCTTATGAGTCAACCAATTCAACTCAAGAACAACAAGTTTACTAAGGTAAAATTGTGAACTAACTGTTTAGGAGTTGACACAAATAATAAGAAGTAAAAAATGTCAATAAATGTTTGAGAGGAATAGGGAACCACAAAGACATTGCTATTAATATTGAGGGTACAAGAACTAAAAAAGGGTACCTCAACATCAAAAAAGGAAGAATAGACCTCTTGACTTGACCCTCATTAGAGCCAAAGTCCTCTTGCCATTGCAGCTTTTTATTCTTAAATTCTTTAAATGAATTTGCATATCAATTAATGTACCACTCATTTTTTTGTTGAAATTCAATGAAACAATTTAGTTCTCATAAAAATTATAAACTTTTAGAGCAATTTATATTACTTTTGAATCTTGTTCAAAGAAATAGTAACTCTATAAGGATTCACCACTTGAAAATTTCTTATTCAAGATAGATGCATAAATAGTACCTTGATGTTCATGATCATTGCATTGATTCTACTAGTATCATAAAGCAAAAGTATGTGAGAGAGTTCTAGTTTGAGGAAGGGGAAACCTCACACCTTCTAGAAATCACAATTTTTTTTAATTATTTCCTTTTAAATTTTATAAATATTGATGAGACATGATATGGTACTTATTGTTGTGTTCATCATCCCTGTTGAATCATTCATAAATATAGACTCTATACCTTTTTGAAGATAAGCAAAGTGAAAAGTGAGACATTGCCAAAATCTCAATGTCTAAATTATTTTCCCTAAAGATGTCATGGTCTCATTCTTGTTTTGATATTTCCCTTTTCGACAAAAAATTAATGAATTGAAATTAGATATTATTGTGAGTAAATCTTAATTTTGCTATAATAATTCATATTTTGAGGCTAGCTCTAGTAGTGAAAGTATATCAAAGAAGGGCTATGTTTTTTTGCTGTCTTGAGTTGTCTCTCTTTAAGAGCTAGCCAAAATTCTTATGCTTACAAGGAAAGCCATCTACTCTACTAAGAATGCTTCATATCTCCACAAGAAATTGACAATCAATTAAGCTATAGTAATAAAAGTTCTCAACTTTGAGAACTAAGATGCCATTCAATTTTATTGATATTGATGTTGTGAATGAATGTGAAAGTGAGAAGAATCATGAACCTTCTACAACTCAATGATAATTTCCACTTCCTCTAATTCTTCTAATTAGCATCTTGGTCGATCAAGGCTAGATTCAAAAAGTTGTGCATCAAGATTCAAGTGAATATTTCATAGTGGTAGTGGTTGCTTCAACATTTTTCTCCTCTTTTCTGCCTCCTTCTAGAGTCTCACAAACTCAAGAGCAAATTCAAAAAATAACCAAGGAGTCATTTATGTGAAGTAAAATTTTAAGCACTTTCTATCTACCTAACTTTATTTTAAGTCCTTCAACAACATATCATTATTATCACCAATTGATGGCAGAAATATTGTTGTTTACATTGATGTTTTATTCTCAATGTGACTAGTGATAATTTATAGACTCATTGAAGTACATGTATTGTACCAACAATTCACTATTTAAGTGTTGAAATACATATGGTGTGTCAAGCATTCCTTAGAATTAAAATCAAGTAGATTGGTGAGGCACATGTGTTTTGACTATAATGAGGTAATCAAGGGCTATTGATATTTATGGTTCTAAATGGAATAATCATATGTTTGTGGAGCTTGGTGGTAGAAGGGGTTCTTGATCTCAAATAATGAAATTCTTTCATAAACTAGAAATAGTTGTTGTTAAAATTTATATACGTGCCATGGATGGTACCCATCATCACAAGAGAAAGAAAGTCATTTCAATCATTTCTCATTCAATTTAAGATTCCATGAGACACAAAACTTTTTATTGGTAACCTATCTCTATTCAATTTTCATTTCTCTTAATGTAGTAGTTTTGTTACTTCAATTAAGTGCCTTGTTTTTAGAGAGTTTTTGATCTTTAACCTCATCCCTTAAATTAATTGAACTAGTTCACTAAAATAAAATAATCTTTATTGTTTTATATTTATTATCATTGCAATGAATTTGAGAGTGACATTCTTCTCTTTCGAGGCCTAACTAGTGCTCATAATGTTATTTAGTCTATTGTGCTTAAATATGTAGAAATTCTCCCAAAATATAGAGTTTAGTCATGATCCAAAACACTTTTGCAGTAAATGCTTCATTTTCTCTCAAAATTTAAATTGCTCTAGGACATTTTTTTCATTTGAACCACACCAACACTTCATTATCCAAGTTGACCATTGATGTCTTCAATTAATCATGTCCACTAATTTCATGCGTCTCAAAAAGTCATCACAAAATATCATCCATTTAGATTTTCTTTGCCAAAGAAGGACATTTATAATTTGCATCCTCCCCAACAACACACAACTAGATCTTTTATAAGTATGCATGTCCTACTCTCTCGAAAAAATCAATCATTGTCTTATCCCTATTGGGTTGTGGTCAAATACCTACAATCTTTGACCTTGCCTTTTGATAGGGTACTTTTGTATCTTGTCTCATGGATCCATCCTGATTTCTTAATAAGGTAATATGAGTGTTGTATTGTTGACAAAGTGACATCTTCTTCCATAACTTTGTGTTGTGACAAAGTGCTTGACTTATAGTAATAATTTTTTCCCCGTTTCTAGGTGAGATAGTATGAGTGTTTTCCTATTAATGTATGAGTTGCACTATGTGAATTAGTTCTTTCATTGTATTATCTAGTGACACCATCTTTAAGAACTTAGTCTTGTTCATTAGAATTCGATGAAGCTGCTCATTTAGTCATTTGACAATCTTCTTCAGATTCTTATATTTTTCATCACTATTTCTAGGCATCATGACTCTAGTACCAAGTTGATAAGGTTTCAAACTAAAAATATAAGGGGAGAGAGAGGGAGAGAGATAGAGAGAGAGAAGTTACTAGAATTAAAAAGATAAATAAAAACACCGCATGGTGAGAGATGATACAGAGGGAGGGTTTTCTAGTGAAACCCTAATGTATTACCATACAAGTAAATTTGAAGCACCTTTAACTCTCTGACTTTGACTTTGCCAAAAGTACCCAAATAACTAACCCTTAAGAATCATTCATTATACTTCTCCCTACACAACTCTCTTTGTCAAATTATTAATTAACCATCTAGTAACTCACCCTTCTCCTTACAAGCATAAGTTACCTTGATATTAGGCTTGATGGTGAATGAACACAACATTCCTATACAAACCACATCTCCTCAATCACTTTCAAAAGTTAATGTTAAAAGTCATTCAATTATCAACCTTAGTTAGTCAACTCATAACCCAAAATTATATTTTATCATTTCATGGATACATTCACAAAAAGGAGGCCATTAATGCTATGAAGAATATGATGAGGAATGGCTACCATTATAATGAAGATTAATCTAGAATTATATATTATTAAATATCTTTATAGGGTTTACAAAACAGTAGATAATACCAATTATAAGGATTTATATCTCACATGACATCATGTTGTATGTTTCTCTATAGCTTTCTAACTCATTATTTGGAAACAAAAATTTACTCTAAAAAAATATTAGAATTATTCCTTGAAATATAATTATGGTTCCATCTAGAAAGAGACATTTAATATGTGATCAAAGATAAAATACAAAAGAAATTATCATATGCTAAGCTCTAGAGAAGCTTCCCATGAAAAAGGAAATTTGAAAATAATTTTATATTTTAGAAAAGTACATTATTTTACATCTGATTACATTATTAATTATATTATTTTCAAACTTGATG